TTATCGTTTTAGATTCAAATCTTATCCAACAGTTTTAACTAACTTTTAGTATCGATCGCAATTTCAATTACATAAAGCTAAGTGCGTTATACAAAACTTGATTGAAACTTTTGATCGGTTTTGGGCAGAAACTCTCTGAGAACATTAATGAGTTTTGAGCGTTGTTTTGTGCCAAATACGGCCCAATTTTTTTCGTAAATACTGCTAAATTCTCCAAAATTCGGTCACGTATCATATACTCCGTATCTTTTTTCAATTCCAATACAGTAGAAGATAATTTTTGTCGTGCACGGTGCATCCCGAGCGCCGCCAAGGCCGGCTGTCGCCAAGAATGCGATCGGTGCCGCATTGCAGCTCGATGCACTGACCCGCGCGGCATCATACGCGTATGCGGACGGCAAATGATGCAGCGAAATTTTCTCCCAGTAGATTCCATGACAACATTGTGGATTTTGTACGTCCAAATTCTTTTCTACAATTTTTATTGTTTGCAATTCGTGTCTATAAAATAACTGATGAACTTGATTGTGCGGTTTCTTTCATCTTTGAGAAACTATGCGTATTGTTTGCATGTAACATATCAATATTACAGTTTGAACCTGTTTTGCAAGGTCCTGAGAATTCAAGTTGTGTTCGTTCGTAGTAGGTAATTTAATTTAAAAAATACAGACAAGTATTATACCCCGGAGAACGAAAAAGAATAAAATTGTGTAATCAAATATTTTCATTGAATTTAACCGATTGAGTCCCAGGCGGCATTAATTAATGTCATAACAATTGATTATCTATTGTGTCTAGATTCGCGGAGCTTGAAGGATTAATCAATATTGACATGTATTCCAAAAAACAATTTGCATGACGGAGTTTCTTCTTCATCTAACAACACCAGCACGGTGCTCTATTATGTCACTCATTGTTACGATTGATTCACGCAAGCTTATACCATCACATCACCATGCAATTCACTTTCCCCTCACGAGCTATAAGTACAATGCCTGCTCAATCACAATGGTGACCTAACCGACAAGGTTCTTCTACACATGCGTGAAAGATACTTGAGCGAATCCGCGCGCGAAACGTCCATATGTAAAACATTATGTCCATGAATCTCTCAAAAACGAAACGTCCTGTTGGTGATCATTCCAATGGAGAAACGACTGTCAGAAAACGCTTGCAGAAAGCCATTTGTGCGGCACGGACACCAGCCAGCCCGAATGGATGTTTGCGCGAAAGACAAAGTCGGCAACAAAGCTTGCCTAAACTAAAAACTTATCAGTCTTTCGCGCAAGTGTCCGGATACGACCTGACAAGGTGCCCATGATCATTCTTCACTCCTGTCACTACATACTTCACGTGCAATAATTTGCTGTCGCCTTAAAGGTCTTCGTGTCAACATTATCCAAATCCTTGGTTAAGGACGTAATTATCTCCGAATATGGACAAGCTTTGTAAACAACTCGTGAATGTTTATTGCGTTAAATAATAGCGTTATTTATAAGTAAGGTCGATTTTAAACCAAGTTCAGCCATATTTAACAATTTCATTTCCATTTATAAGTCTATCCGTTTTAACTTTCCTTGGTTGGATGCCAAAGTGCAAGCTGCATTGTTTTCTGTTCTTTTATTCGAACTTAATTGATACCTATTTCATTTTACGCTGCAGAAAGTGCCTTATTGTTTCGCTTGTGAGACTGAAATTGGTTTTCTGTATTGGTTCGGCTTCGTTATTGAACGTCTATTTCTTTAATGTATTTATTTAACTGAATGAAATTTTCTATGATTGGCTGTGTATAGTGCCTATAAAATATGTAATAAACATATTTCGTCTTCTTACTGTCAAATTGCATCACACAACCCTTTTTTGTAATTACGTACTGGTGACAAATAAGTATGATCTTTTAGATGAGTCTCCGATGAAACATTTGTAAGCGATCAACAGATAAAGTGTAATAAAATGTTGAGATTTCTTTGAAGTTTATCGCTCCTAATTAACAAGATTACCCAATTCTTCTGCCCTTCACATAATTTCTCACAAATTGGACTTAACAAAGATGTTGTATTAACTAATATCGCATGGTGGCTGAGCACAATATGCCATCCATCACCATGACGCCGCGTCTCACTCCAGTTGCGCTGACAGCCGGGTGCTTCGCGAATTCCATGCACTTTCACTGTAAGTGCCGGCTTTGCTTTCGTACGGCTAATGGCTGGAGATGGCTTGTTTCTGCTTTTATAATGGCCGGTTTGGATTCGAGTAATTTTTGCCGCCACATCGGTAAAATCTTTAGTAGTAGGTAGTACAGTCAGCGTCAAAAAGTTTGTGGCACCCAAAGTGGGCAAAAAGTTGACAACACAAGCGTAACAAACGCCCGTATTCACAAACATTATTTAGAGGTCTCACAGTGCGCGTGGACGCACAGGGTCATACACGAACCAATCACAGAGCTCTATTCAACGCTGTGCGTTTGATTTGCTGCGTCACTTAAGCAAGCATCGTTTGTGAATACGGGTGTAAGACGTGTTGCGAACGTTTTGGCTACTTTGGATGTCATGAACTATTTGACGCTGACTATACCTACCGTTGTTTGGTCTCGCTTTTTATGCATCGATAAAAGTGTGCGTAATTTCTCAAATGTGTGTTGAGCTTCGTTTCTATCAGCCTTCATGCTTCATAACCAAAAGTATCTGGTAGTTAACCTATTTGTCTGGTGTTTGAAGCTCAGTGACGTCAGTACTTTGGTAGTGTCTGCCAGACAATGTTATGCTATCTACACCGCGGTCATGAAATCTGTTTTGTGTACTTATCTCTTAACTAGGTATTAATAAGTTAAGATATGAAAACACGACATAAGAGTCTTAATTTCTCTACCATGCTGTTTACTTTGGGATTATTGGAAATAACGATCCAGTGTTACATAAGTTCCTCTATCCACAGTAATCCTTATGAATCTCTACAGCGCCGAGGTTATCCATAATACCATAAAGCGATCACGTCCTGAACGGTTCAGTTAGCGCGTTCAAAAACATAACTCTATTTATACCGACGAACTTCCTGCACAACAAGGGTTTTGTCACCGCTCCAAAACCGTCCTCCCAACAAAAATGAGATATTACTCCGTTAGAAATAGTCCACGTAACCACATTTTTCTTATTCGAATTTAACAAGACAATCGCACGAAAGTCGAATACAAAGTAAAGCTGAAACATAATAAATCAAAAAGTTTTAGCAGCTGATAATTTTGACGATAAAAGCAGAAAAGACATGTGCCGTATATTCTTGTTCGCACGCGATATCTTTTTCTATGTGATACTATTTTGGCTTAACATGAACATTTTAGCGAAGCGCAGTAAAGCATAGTAAATCTAGTATAATTTTTCCAGATTATTTCTTTTAACGTTCTCTAGAAAACCGAATAGCGTGGGTAGCTAACTTAATCCCACACATCTGTCGTAATATAGTAGGGAAGCCGATGCAATACCCAAGCCCACTTAAAACTTCGTGGCAGCATAGTTGCACGCCATCCAACTGTCCGTAAAAGCTGTGAAAGCATCACTTACATACAGCCAACCGCGGCTGCGGTCAGGATGTCCTAAATCCGGAACGACCTACTGTGGACCTACGCCGCACCCGCGCCGCGGAGCGTACGTAAACGTAACCTTTTCATACCTACCTCATATTTGCGTAACAGTTCAATGACACTAACATCACTAACACTAGAGCCCGTCTAAGGCGACCTAATTGGTAGCGCCACACACGATTATTACACTCGATGAAGACGTTGCTGACTCATTTTCGTTGTCCCTAATTCATCTGTGCTATCTTTATCTAGCTCAATCTATTCTACGTTAATGACACAATCATTGCGGTCTACAAATGCAAACTAATTTCGCTGGAATATTGTTGTTAAATGAAAACTGTTCCGACGTTAAGAAGCTTCAAAGTCAAGAGCAAGAGGGCCATCGAAACGTCGTCAAAGTGCCCTCGCGATGCGGGTCAAGAGACCTGAAATAACTAGACGGAGCATAAAAGACGCGCCACCTTTGACTTTGCGGCACGTCCCGCGGCTAAGTTTACAAACTAACCCTTCTATATCTGATACCAGTCTATTTTATCTATATTATAAAAGAAAGTCGTGTTAGTTACTCCACTTATAACTCAAGATCGGCTGAACCGATTTAGCTGAAAATTGTCAGGGAGGTAGTTTAGAGCCAGGAGAAGGACATAGGATACTTTTTATCCCGTTATTTATTGCCATTAAGGCGGAACAAAGTTCGCCGGGTCAGCTAGTATCACATAAAAATACCTAACCTTGTACACGTCCAGTAAGTTATTATTTATATCAGACGCGTTTACGATGAGCGTCGTGTGTAATGATGTATTTCGGTCTTACTCTGCAATAGCCGGGTAACGTGTTCACCATGTGGCGCGGGTCTTAATTCCCCCAGTTATGCAACATGTGACATGTCTTTTGTACCAACTTTCGACTTGTTTTATTTACAATTGCTTTAAAACAAACTTTTCTCATGAATGCGTCAGCGCCGCTAACGTCTACTGCACTAACGTTTTCATTCATAAATTTCGGATAAGCGCCGTCTGCTTATTATTTTTTAAAAGCTCAGTAAAAATTTAAACTCATAATATTTCGCAATTTTTCACTAGCCACTGGCATTGTTCCAAAAGGAGAATAGTTACTGCGTGTAATAAATTTAAAATTCGTATCACCCGTAAGAACCCTTCGGCCGGTGTAACTAAATATAATTTTGTTTATTGCCGACCTATTTTTCAATGTATTCTAGAGCAAGATAATATAAAGCGATCTGGGGTTTATTTTCGCAACGCTTTAGGTTCTTACGGTTTGTTTGTTGCAAAAACAGCTGCGCTAGATCAAAACAGTTCACTGCAACGAATTGTGACGGTATCCAATACACCTACGTGCATATTGCCTACTTTGAGTACGGTTTGGCCTCCACTGCTAGCGTCTAATTTCACTCAATTCACAGTTAACCAGCTTCTAGCAACCAAAACACAAAACAATGCAAACAAATCGCCTATTTTAATAAAGCAATCAGTGCAACAAGATGAGTTCTCGGGATTATTACAAAGTGACGTACACAAGCAAAGACTCTGAGCGTCCCAAGATGTCCACACTGGACTGTGTCCTCGACAACGACACAGAGTTCAACGCGAACCAGTTCAAACTTTACGATGACTTCACCACCGATCTGCGGATGAACTTTAACCCCATCAGGAATAACTTCCAAGAGCTAGCTAGGAAGGAGGCCAGGAGGAGGATCGGCGACCCCAATGACTCCGGTGTGGACATGGAAAACGGGAACCCTCTTGATGACGTTACCGCCTCTAATGATAGCGATTTGGTAAGTCTAGTGTGTAATTAGGGACATATAACTGTATTACTCCAGAGTAGACAACGTACAGAAGAAATGTTTGGTTGTTTATTCTTGTAATATTTTTTCGCTTAGGCGCGAGCGATTGCTTACTAGTGATGGGTCCTGGTTGGAAATTACGTCATCCCTGATGACACACAACTTTGGTTGACCAGAACATTCGAATTTTGTTCTCTCCCTAAAACGTCGCCTCGGTACATCCATATGACCTATGCCAAGAGAGCCCATAATAATATAGTTTTTTCTCTGTAATTTCTTACTCTGTGGTAATAATATTTATTATAGCTACGAAGCTGTTAGGATTCTGTTCTACATTTAAATTGAGCTATTTAGATATTCGCTACGGTCATTTAACGTTCGAAATAATATTTATATCCAAGTGTAATCACTTTCGAAAGTTTCTTATTAAATAGTTAATTAACAACTGCCGCCATGTTTTTAACTGATAGCAATCTGCTTTACTAATAATTGTTTCTAGTTGTTTCGAAGTATGATTCTGTATCGATATTTTGATGAAATTGTACTGCTAGATTAAGCTTGTGTATTATGTAATGTACATAAGTACTAGCTTGTGTTTGCATTTCGAAGGACCAATTTGTTTGTGAAACATCATGTGCAATGCAACTCGTAGCGTTATGAGCCTATGTATATTCAGAGCTTAATTCAGGCGTCTCAACTCTCAAGTTTGGGGGCGTCAACCTTCGTGAAGGTGACGTGAAATGCAGATCTGATAAAACGAATGGGCATGACTAAAGTCCCCCAGACGGCCTATTGTTTGTGACCGCCGGCCATTGTCCATTCAGCACGGGAATCGGCTGTTTCCGAATAATTGTTCCACGTGAAGGAAATTAACGAATAAGTACCGATCGTTACATAAAATCGAATGCATTGGACTAAATGATAATATTGTAATTGAATAACTAAACGCTTATTTGGTTAACGAGATGTTTAACATTAGTCGGACTTGACTGATTCTGTTATCGTGTAAACAACTTGTCTCATTATTATTGTCTAGTGACAGACAATAGTGGTAATGACTTCTAATTTGTATACATAATTCGAGGTGCTTATTGTCACGTATTCATTATTTTTGTCTTGAGTCTCGTTAAAGCTGTGTGGCTATGTGCGATTAGGCAATCCCCCATCGGATCAATGAGGTAATAAAAACTTATCAGTTCTTGTCTGAGTTAGTTTGGAAAAAGTTTCAGCAGAATTTATAAGTTCAATTTCTACTCGTAGTAAAACAAAAGAGGCAATGTTAGTTTAATAGTTCATATAAGTTTAATAACATCGTCAAAATAATCGGTATAGTTCCCCTCGCAGCTTTAGCCTCGTTTAATCAATCCCATGTCACGGGCACATGTGTCATGCGGCTCACACATCCACGGGGACCGGCTAATGAACGGGGCGATGACTTACGTAATGTTCGTAACACATTGTACTACTGACTCATACAGAGCGTGCTTTTCTCGGCCTGCAATTAAAATAATTGTTAACCGTGAGCAAACTAAAATTATATTCAATTTTCCACTTACAGAATTAGAATTGAGTTTTGTAAGAATAGATGTAAATTATTTCCAAAAACGTTGCCTAGCCGTCGAAGAATGTATATGATTTCCTCCGATTCAGCTTTTTCCTGAAAACAATGACTCATTTGGTGACAATGTTGTCATATTAGAATGCACAGCTTGACACCGCTACAAGGTACTTGAATCATGATATTATGTAACGGCATATTTAAAAAACAAACCCAATCGCAACGAATACGCGGCAATTGGCACTGTGCACATTATCTGGACAATTATGAATTAATTTTGTTTTAACAGGCACAGAGACAGTAATAATAACATGCATGTGTTACCGGCCAGCCTTGACCGGGCGATTAACTACGCTTGCTCATTTCGGGCACTCGTCTCTAGTTGATTACCTCACGACACTCACAGTCCTTAACCTTGACTCCGTTGACCATAAACGACCAACCTTTAAATTGCTTTCTCCCCGCTTGTTGCAGTTGGAGAACGAAGTGATGGTTGATCCCTGGAGCAGTATGGACTCATCGAATTCGCCGTTAACTGACTCCGGACCCTCCGCCAGCGAAGACTGCACCCCATCCACCTCGAGCGAACCTCCCCGCGGGCCCCTGGATGCCTCTCCGCTGTCCCCTGATGCGCGCCGCTTACAGAACCCAAAAGATGCCAAACCCTCAACGAAACATGTCCCTCCAAAAAGTACAGACAAGGCGCGCTCTCGGGACCTCACCCTTGAGCTGGAGACCCTGGAGCCTGACCCTCTCCCACGCCGGCCGCACTTCCTCGACGAAGACTACCAGCCGCCGTCCAAATCGAACATCGAATGCCGCATTCCCAAACCGCACTTCCTCGACCATTCGCCCTCGCCCGACGAGTTTGACGAACGCAGCGACATAACCAATCCGAATTTCTTAGACGATGAAGTCGATGGCGATGATAATTTAGCACAAAAGAAAGTCGGCGCTCTCCCGAAGAGGCCGGCCAAACCTCAAACCTCTACTTATTCCTCTCACGAAGATCGCCCACATAGGACAAGTTATAGAAGCACCTTGCACTATGGGTTGGAGAGTGTGGCGCGTTCCAGTGAGCGTGACAAAAGGGCTTCCCAACTCTACCGGGGGACCTGGCCAGGGGAACGCGACGTCTGGACAGGTCACGATTCGTCGAGCGTTCGAAGCTTCTCCAGCAACGGCTCAAACGATTGTCCTAGACCGTCATCCAATTTAGACAATAAGATGGACTGCGTATTTTCACTGATTTCTCTTTTGAGTTTGTCGCCCGAAAACAACGCAGATTTGAGTGCACCCCTTTTAGACATGAGTCGGTCAGTAGAAAGCTGCATCGCGATGAGACAAGCCGGTTGTATACCGTTACTGGTGCAGCTGATTCATTCTAAGGTGGCAAGGGACACGCGAGACCGCGCCGCGAAAGCGTTAAGAAATATTATTCACACGCAAACAGATGACAAAGCGGGTAGACGAGAGGCGAGAGTTTGGCGATTACTAGAACAAGTTAGAGAATACTGTTACGTTTTAGAAGACGTCGTCGAAGCTAGGAAAGAGGGTAAGGAGGTTATAGAGGATGATGCGACGAAGCATCCGAGTCAAAGCGTGGCCGCTTTGATGAAGCTATCTTTCGATGAAGAACATAGGCATGTTGTGTGCCAGTTAGGCGGACTACAAGCACTCGCCGCCCTGGTGAGCGGCGACCAGGCGGCGCACGGGAGCAGAACTGATGATAACACGTGCCTGACGATGAGGAAATATGCCGGAATGACCTTGACCAACCTAACATTTGGCGACGGAAACAACAAATCGTTGCTCTGTTCGTTTAAGGACTTTATGTTGGCGTTGGTAGAACAACTTGAATCACCAAATGATGACATGCGACAGGTATGTAATGTTGAATAACACTTGTCATAATATTTTGTTTTGTATAATATCTTGCATATGATAATAATATTGTTTGTTTACAGGTTACAGCGGCAGTACTAAGGAATCTTTCATGGAGAGCAGACACCAACAGCAAGCAAGTGCTGCGAGAGGTGGGAGCTGTCAAAGGTTTGACCAAAGCTGCGATGACCTGTCAGAAGGAGGCGACTCTCAAATCGGTATTATCAGCTCTATGGAACTTGACAGCTCATTGTTCAATGAACAAAGTAGCATTATGTTCTGTCGACGGAGCCCTAGGGTTCCTAGTCGACATGCTCAGCTACAACTCCCCAACGAAAACGCTGGCGATCGTGGAGAATGCGGGGGGCATCATGAGGAATGTCTCCAGCCACATCGCGGTCAGAGAAGATTACAGACAAATTCTCCGGGAGAGAAATTGCCTTAGTGTCTTACTGCAGCATCTGAAGTCCCCGAGCTTGACGGTAGTTAGCAATTCGTGCGGCACTCTTTGGAATTTATCCGCCAGGTGCCCGCAGGACCAGGAGTTCCTCTGGGACCACGGAGCGGTCCCGATGCTCCGCAGCCTCATCCACTCCAAACACAAAATGATAGCCATGGGCTCGAGTGCCGCTTTGAAAAACCTACTGAATTCGAAGCCGGGGAAAACGCACATTATCTCCCTCGATACGACGGCGCGAAGTATGAACTTGCCCGCTCTGCCGACCCTCGGCGCGCGGAAACAGAAGGCGCTGGAACAGGAGCTAGATCAGAACTTAGCCGAGACTTGTGACAACATAGAACCGGCCACGTCCCCTTCCACCACCAATAGAGACGAGAAGAATCTGTTTACGGCGACAGAGAGACAGATCGCTATGAATCTCGAAAGACACAGAATGACATCTAGTTCACCGCTCATGGGCACGCTCACGTCACAAATATCTCTCAGCCACAGTGCACACTTAGCGAGTTATCTAAGCTGCAGTAATACACTGCTGAAAGGCGCTCTAGTTACGCGGTCCAGCGGAGGCAGCTCCAACAACGTTAACAGATCGGACAGCAAAGACTCCGTGACCAGCACTCATTCAGACTCCGTCTTTGAAAGGGTCATGCGAACGGGCAAAGTCCCCGTGCCAACGCCGAGAAGTAAAGACTTGATGAAGGTCGAGACGGGCAGCGAAGCGTTTAAGGTGTCTTCGAAGCCGCTCGCCAAAGACGGCAGCTTCCTTCGGTACCCCGCCCAGCCGCCCATCCCTCCGCCCAGAAGTACGACCGAGTTGAGACCCAACTTTACAGAATCTGGTTATGACGTCGACCAAGATTCTTGCGACCAACCAGTCGACTACAGCAGGAAGTACTCTGAGACGAAGGTGACCGAAGCGGAGCCTTTAGAAAAGCCAAAAACTTCAAAGAAGTATTGCAAGAAGGACAGTCCGAATACCTTTGGAGATTACCAGGAGACAGATCTGGACCAGCCCACGGACTATTCTCTGCGGTACGCGGAGCATCAGTCCGAGACCGGTTCGGACCTGTCGGAACCGCCGGAGCCTTCGGACACCATCAAACACTTCGCCACCGAGGGCACTCCTTACGAAACTCCAATCATATTCTCAACCGCGACATCTATGTCTGACCTTCGCGTGATCGGCAAAGACGGGAAGCCGAAAACTCCTAGTACAAAAGAAAACCCAGAGGCGATGACTCATTCAGATGAGAAGGACACATGTTCGATCGAAGACCCGCCTCGGCATGACAATGACTTAGCGGCCACCACTCCTCAGGCGTCAATGACCGAATCTGATCAGAAACGGGGAGTGTTTGATACGAAGTTCAGTTCAGGCATGATCAGTCCTGAGAAGCCCGTGAACTACTGCGATGAGGGCACTCCAGGGTATTTCTCTAGAGTGAGTTCGTTGAGTAGTGTGGGCGAGCCGACTGAAGAGGATTGCTTGGCTAAGAAGAACGCCATGGCCACCATTAATGTCGAGCCGAGTCCTGAAGAACCAAACATTAACAGCTCTGCTAAGGACAAAGAAGGTAAAGCATCATTTTTATATCACATTATTTAATTGGTATAAATGCAACAAATAAAAAACAGATTGATTTCAATCTTTCTGTTGCACAACAATGAATAACTATATTCCGCTCTCACTTGTGCATAACTATACTAATTGTTCGACATTTGCTGGAGTTAAATGTGAATTTAACTTCATTCGACTGTATGATTATAGTTACATATTAAATGTTACGATTTAATAAACTGCGTAACATTTAAATGGATGATAAACAATTTGGCCATTGATTAATATATATTATTAGTTATTAGATCAAGTTTAGTGCTGGGATTGACATTGCAGGCGTAATAAAAAATTGCAATAGAAATTCTTTACACTGGAAAGCACTTAGTCTTCTTGGCTGAATGAACCAATGTCACACGCTTATGAAATCCGATACCGTATCTGTGACGAAGAATACGGAATAGAATAAAAGCCGAGTTTTTTTTTATCCACAGCGAGAAAGCTCTTGACCTTCGCCTAATTCAAATTCATTTCTTCAGCAAGTAGGTTTATAAAAAGTCTTTTACACTAATAGAAATAGGCTAGTATCCTAAAAAAAATATTTTAGTCCGTCTTTTTTAATATCAAAAAATATTGGACACGTATATTTTTAATTGTCAATCAAATAAATAATTACAAAGTTACGGTGCATTGAAGTTCCTTGCAACGTCACGAAGTGCTGCACTTTTAAGCACTCATTGACGGGTCTCTTCTTTTGAACATTGGCGCGCTTTATCTCTATAAACTTTTATTAGTTTGAAAAAGTGAGAAATACGTGTTGAGTACTTTTTGATAAGTTAACTGACGGACTAATTAGAACTTGCTTTTTTACCCAGGAAACATCCCTATTGACTGTAAAGATGTCTTTATTATTCTCCAGGCTCAAAAGCGGTAACGTTCGCCCGCGAGCCGGTATCCGTAGCGGCGTCCGGTGGAGGCTCGCCGCGCTTCGTGCAGGAGACGCCGCTGATGTTCTCGCGGTCCAGCTCGCTTGGATCGCTGCCCGACTGTTCGCATGACGACCAGGGATCCGTGCTGTCGGAATTCAGGTGTGTAATTACTTCTGTTACCTTACTAATGTGTCATTCAGGAAAATAATTTGCTTAAACCATCTTTGTACAGTCAGCGTCACATGGTTAGTGATACACAAAATAGTCAAAAAGTTCGCAAAAGCATCTTTGCTACAATTGTAATAAGGTTGTGTTGTTAACTTTTTGGTCACTAACACACTCCTGTACGCGGCCATCATAGGACCAATCGTAGTGCAAATCCTTGGGGGTCTTTTTTACAATAGACATTCTATGATTGTAACGAACTCTTTCCCCGTTGAATCAACTCTCACTGATACATTGATGCAAAGACGATGATCGGTTTAAATATAGAAATTCAACAACTCACAGGTTTAAATATGTTTTAGATTCGATTCACAATACTCGCCTTGAACTTGCTTCCAAAGCTCAAACCCATGCAATAATAATTATGTAGGTCTTGTAAGTCTGATGCAAACTTTATAGTGGCTCGGAACATCGCACGAGTCGCTGCGCAATACATAATATTAGCCAGCAGGGCGAAGAAACCTGCGCGCACCTGCACTCTCAGCTGATAACCGAGCCGCCATTACGTTTGAATCGGAATGTACCAATTTGACATCTTTCTTTAATTCATTGTTCGTTCGTTTCAGCCAAATGACGTCCACTGCTGGACAAAAGTCTCCTCCAAGGTTTTCCACAATGCACGGTCATGCGCTGCCCGCATCCAAGCTCTTCTCGCGACCTTTACCAGATCTTCGGTCCACCTAGTAGGAGGCCTGCCCACGCTACGTCTTCCAGCCCGTGGTTGCCACTCGAGAACTTTCCTGCTCCAACGGCCATCGTCTCTACGAGCTGTGTGCCCCGCCCACGGCACTTGATTTTAGCAATTCTGCGAGCTATGTCGGTTACTTTGGTTCTCCTCATTTCTGATTCGATCACAGTCTACGATCAAAGTCAAAGTCAAAATTTCTTTATTTGTTTAGACTAATAAATAGTTCTTACAAATCGTCATATGCTCTTAAGGAGCCTCTACATGTCTCATAATCTTTTTACCCTACCAGCGCTTCGAGACCAACATTTGGCAAGTGCTGAGAAGAAGCGCCGCAACAAACTCAGTCACCACTGTCTGCCGGTTAATATAAATAAATAGAAATAGTAGTAGTAGGTACATTCGATTCAGGAGCAGTTCACTGAATTTACCATGCATTCTTGTATGGTGTATCATAAGAATGGGTATACAAGATTGCGTGGTATATTAAACAAGGTAGTGACGTGCTAATATCTAGACTTTACAAAATAGTGTAATAAACCAAACTTACTATGACATGTATACCTCTAAACTCAGTCTGAACTGAGTTACGAGCATTAGAAGTTTGATGATTTTCATACTAGATTTGCTTTTTGCGCGCAAAGTTTTGTAAGAAATTGCAACAAAATAGTGAGATTATATGTGTAAACAAACAATACCATCCATTAAGGGCTCCAGACATCAATGTGGAGCAAAATCAGCGCAATAAAAAAATAGCGCAATATTTTGTTGCAATTTCTTACAAAACTTGCGCGCAAAAAGCAAATCTAGTATGTAAAATCATCAAACTTCTAACGCTCGTAACTCAGTTCAGACTGAGTTTAGAGGTATACATGTCATAGTAAGTTTGGTTTATTACGCTATTTTGTAATCAAAAAACAAAGTTTAGTCAATGGCCGCGCGAAAAAAAAAAGACGCCACCTTCCATACAAAATCTGGTATTGCCATTTCTGTCTTGTCAGGGACCACTTTTTTTTTCAAAATCTTATGAAAGGGGAGGTCGATTTCTCGCCCACTGTGCGCCGTTTGCGTTGTGTTGACTCGACTCATCACGTCACGTCACTTGTTTATTACGATGTTTTCGCGGACCACTTGGAATGCCTCCAGGGACCACCGGTTAAAAACCACTGGTTTAGAGAGTAACCATTGCAACATTTTTAATTTGTACACCGCAAAGGTATATAACGACATGTTGATACCATTTTAAATGCTAACTTAACACTTATGTACACATGTTTGAACAAATAAATTTATCTTTATCTAACATCTAGTCCCGAAATAATTAAAATTGTACCGGACAACTGATATAAAACGCACATAATACTTTTAAGAGAAATCTGTAAAATGGTTGTGGCAATAGTTAGCTTAAGGTCCTGCTGCCCTGAGCCACAGACGAATGTCCAATTTCATGATAATAAATAACTCGCAGCTCCGTTTCAATGGCCCCGAAGGACGCCGTCGGGTTTTGAAAGATAGGCTCCGCCCACATAACCTACGGGTTGTCCCCATCACCTGCTCCCCTCAACTTTTATAAATCTTTTCATGTGTTAACACAACATGTAACGTAAACGTGAAATGATAAAATGTTGAGCAAATTCAGCCAAAATTGTATCTTGAATTTGTTCTGCTAAATATAACTCCATTTGTCACCAAAACTAAATGAGTAGCCTTGACAACTGATACTTTTTCAAAACCAAAGATCGAAGCTCGCAGATCTACACTCGCGAGCAAAAATATGGAATCACCCTATTTGTTTCGAGCGATCACAAAAACTAAATGACTAATAGAAGGCAAATAAAAATGGCACCATTTTAAAGGTAATATTATAAACTTTAAATTAATACCACAGATACATACATAGTCATTCAGTTTTTAAGTTCGCTCGGTACAAAACACAAGGGGGTGATTCCATATTTTTGCTCGTAAGTATAGTATGACAATGACATTGGCATATTTTGTCCACCAGAGCCGGGCCAAATGGCGTCGGTGTTCGAGGAGCGCGTATCCCGGTTCGTGGTGGAACACACGCCGGCCGCCTTCTCCGCCGCCACCAGCCTCAGCAGCCTCACCATCGACACCGAGCCCCGGGACAAGGTCAGCCCGCGAGCCGCTCGTGCGAGCCCCACGCTAGTGTCCCGGGTCGTGGCGGAACACACGCCGGCCGCCTTCTCCGCCGCCACCAGCCTCAGCAGCCTCACCATCGACACCGAGCCCCGGGACAAGGTCAGCCCGCGAGCCGCTCGTGCGAGCCCCACGCTAGTGTCCCGGGTCGTGGCGGAACACACGCCGGCCGCCTTCTCCGCCGCCACCAGCCTCAGCAGCCTCACCATCGACACCGAGCCCCGGGACAAGGTCAGCCCGCGAGCCGCTCGTGCGAGCCCCACGCTAGTGTCCCGGGTCGTGGCGGAACACACGCCGGCCGCCTTCTCCGCCGCCACCAGCCTCAGCAGCCTCACCATCGACACCGAGCCCCGGGACAAGGTCAGCCCGCGAGCCGCTCGTGCGAGCCCCACGCTAGTGTCCCGGGTCGTGGCGGAACACACGCCGGCCGCCTTCTCCGCCGCCACCAGCCTCAGCAGCCTCACCATCGACACCGAGCCCCGGGACAAGGTCAGCCCGCGAGCCGCTCGTGCGAGCCCCACGCTAGTGTCCCGGGTCGTGGCGGAACACACGCCGGCCGCCTTCTCCGCCGCCACCAGCCTCAGCAGCCTCACCATCGACACCGAGCCCCGGGACAAGGTCAGCCCGCGAGCCGCTCGTGCGAGCCCCACGCTAGTGTCCCGGGTCGTGGCGGAACACACGCCGGCCGCCTTCTCCGCGCCTTCTAAGCGACAAAGCTTATTAGGGACCCCAACGCTAGTCTTTCGAGCGTCATGGTCTTTCCAGCGCCCGCGCAATGTTGACGCAGCGCTAGCTCATGCCAATGCAGCGTTTTTTCGGACAAGTAATGCAACCCACTCACTCCGCTATTGCATTAGTTGTTCGGCAGCCAATCTGACGCTGATCCAGCTTCGCATCGACGCTGCGCAGGCGAGGCGAAACGATGATGCTTGAAAAACGCTAGTGTCGAACATCTACTGCTGGACAAAAGCCTGTTCCAAGGATTTCCACAAAGACCACTGAGCTGCCTTTATACCGTATCCAAGTTATTCTCGCGACCTGCACCAGATCGTCCGTCCATCAAGTGAGAGGCCTGCCAGTTTTACATCTTGTGGTCTATTGTCTACCCCAACAGCTATCAATACCTAATCCACTACCCCTGAAATTTAGCAATTTTGTGGACTATCTCGATTACGATTGGTACTCCTACGGATCTTCTCCCCATACATTTAATTGAATCCGTTCTTACGTTTTAATGAGAAAATAAACTGGACTCCAAGTTTAATTTTGACATGTTGTTTTTATAGACTTCCCTCCGATTGGTGGATGAGTGCCAGCCAAACCCTTCCGTGAGGCCGATAGACGACCAATTAGAATCGGACTCCGAGAGAGATGAAGTCAGGTACAAACTAAATTCACTAATTTTTACTACAAATGAACATAAAACTTCTATAGAATATAAACTCATCTGTATTTTTGTCTAACAGGGACCATGTCCATCATTTACCACCTTCAAGTTCCACTCCCAACGCTCCATATAAAGGTAAGAACTAACCTTATATTTTGTCTTCCATTTTAGGTTTTCAAAAGAACCAATAGCTAACAATGAACAAATCCTTGCAGGCTCTCAAACGCCAAGCGACGTGTGCAAAGTATACTTCACCGAAGACACTCCAGCGATCCTATCCAAAGCGGGCAGCAACTCCAATCTGTCCGCGCTATCCATCGACTCGGCGCCGTCCGGGTTGCGTCCGGCAGCGCTGGGTGCGTCCGACACTAGTCCGGACGCCAGGAACGCCGGACAAAATGAGCCGGACACCTCTGATAGCTCCAACTTGAGCGACGCGGGAGATTTGCTGGAGGAGTGCATTCAGAAAGGGATAGCCAAGGTATTTTGATATCATTTTCTTTGTATATGGTGTAACATGTAAATGGTGTATAGTTTCTGAAGCAGTGGTTATTAATCTGTTATTGTTTCACTGTATGTTTTCCGAACAAAATAAAATAAAATAAATAAAATATGTACTCTTGTTTATCGACTTTTCTCCGTTTGACAGAATTTAGCACTTCTCAGCGTTTTGTACCATTTGGAACGCCATCTCGTAACGGAGTCATTTAGAGATTTCGGAACGACATCTCTTTCATTTAGAGAGCCATTTATCACCGATATTATATTAATCGATCAACTAAGATACTTCACCATCATCATCATTACAGCCACAGGACGTCCACTGCTGAACATAGGCCTCCCCCAATGACTTCCACATCGCACGGTTGGTAGCGGCCTGCATCCAGCGCCTTCCTACTACCTTTATCAGGTCGTCGGTCCACCTTGTGGGTGGACGTCCCACGCTGCGTCTTCACCATCATCTCAGTAAAAATCTCTTGGTCCTTAGAAGACTGGGATTCATGTTCTGTGACAAGAATGGCCAATATTTCTAACAAGACTGTCATTTAAAAATTTACATCTTTATTTCCAGGTTGTGAAAAACAAGGGACCTCCATCCGACGTGTCTTCCGTTCCCTACACAGTGAGAGGCGACGTTTATGTAAGATCTACGTTTCGTTAACTTGTGATAACAGAATAAGATTGAGATGAGCGTAAATAAAATGTTATGTTTCTTCTGCAGCGCTCTCTGCCGCCATATTTGAGGTCTTCCACTGAAACTGTCAAGATGTCCCACGAGTTTGCCAGGAATATTCGTGATAGGTGAGTTTTTTTTTGTATGTATTCTTATATTTAAGCCACGATAGCCGAACGGTGAAGGGGTCGGACTGGCCGACTCGTGATCCGGGGAACGCGGGTTCGGTCCCCGCCGCCGCTCGACTATTGTGGTGAGCTCACTCGTGATACAGGCATATTTAGCTTAGTACGAGGGGCTAACGGGACTATTCTTCTTCTTATTCGTTACGCTCTTGGCAGAGCGGTCGTGGTCACGTTGAGGCGTTGTTGACATCGGTTGTAGAGGCGGATACAACTCTCCGCACGATCTCCCTCCATCTCTCTCTATTGGCAGACTGTCTGGTGCAGTCACATACGCCGTCTCCCACTGCTGCTTTCACTTGGTCGGTCCAGCGCATTGGTGACCTGCCACGCGATCGGGTTCCTTCGACTTTTCCCTGGACGACCAGTCGTTCTATGGAGTTGTCATCCCGCCTCAAGACATGTCCGAAGTATTGCAGTATGCGCGACTGTACTACGGTTGATAAACGCTGAGTGACACCAAGCTCCTGGAGTATGGACACATTGGTATGGTACGGAACTCTGTCCATGATCATCTTTCTTCAGCACCACATCTCTAAGGCATCTATTTTACTGTCGTCGTCTTTAACTGTCGGCCGTTTGGTGTAGTGGTTCAGAACGGACTACTATGCCGATAGGTCTCGGGTTCGATTCCCGGTCGGGCAGAAATTGAAATGATGAATTTTAATTTCTGTGACGGGTCTGGGTGTACATATGTATAATATGTATGTATTTAATAATAAAAAAAAGTATATAAGCAGTATATCCGTTAAACTAGCACCCATAACACAAGCATTGAGTTGCTTACTTTGGGGCTAGCTGGCGCTGTGTGAAATTGTCCAATATCATTTATTATATTTATTTATTTATCTATTTTACTCTTTTCCAAGTCGCGTACTGAACCGCTGAATACCGCGTAATGAATGCGGTGACTCACTTTTTTTTAAAGATAATAATAGTCCCGCTATTATTATCTTAAAAAAAAGTGAGTCACATTTTGACTTTACTATGACGTCATCAGGTTGCAAACTCAATCGATTGGCACTTTATGGAGCTATAATTGTTGACATTCCACCAGCTCGCACTAAGCGTTTCGATGACTCTTTTATAATGCGAACTGCTAGGGACTGGAATTCGTTGCCTGCTGCTGTCTTTCCCGAAAACTATACCGGGCCTCTTCAAGGCGAGAGTGAATAGGCACTTACAGGGCAGATATGTACCATCCTAGACTGCATCCCACTTAACATCAGGTGCGATTGTGGTCAAATACCTGCCTTGTCATGCATAAAAAAAAAAAGAATAATAATTGTTTCCAGCCGCAGCTGCAGTTCAGAGCGCGGTCCCGTTGCCAGCCCGCCGCCACTACCTCCTCGGCCCGCGCCCGTGCCTGCTCCGCCGCGTCCGCCTGCACACGACCCGCTCGCTGCCGGTACGTACCAACTAAACGGACTTACTTATGCTTACAGTGTAATTATTTATCCGAGCATCTTCTCTGTAACTTGTCTTATGCTGGATTTCTATATTCAATCCTAATCCAAATCAGACGGATTTGGATTGGTTTTTCATGTTTGTACATTTTCATTTATTGTTTATAAGACTATTTAAACAATATTAAAGTGTAAATGCATCGAACATTTTGGAAATTTGATCTACAATTGAATTCAATTTGACAGTTGTAATCCGGATTTGCACAAGAATTGAATATGGGAAACGGGCGTTACTCTGTAACTTCTTGCCTAACGGCCGGTTCACACATGTCTCCGTTGTACTGTTCCGTTTTATCGTGTACGTTTTTTTTCGTCGATGGCGTATGTAGTTGTATGAGCGACAGTAATACATACATCGACGAAAAAAACGTACACCATAAAAAGGAACAGTAAAACGGAGACATGTGTGAACCGGCCGTTAGACAAGAAGTTACAGAGTAAGACAAGTTACAGAGAAGATGCTCGGATAAATACCACTAATATTATCCCTTAACCTGGCTCTGGTATCCACAGAGACCACATCAATTTGAACCTTATGCTGTGAAGTTACGGTTGAAAACCAATGACTTTTTTTGAACCTGGTTAAGGGTTAAATTAATCAATTTAATAATAACCCAGATACACGTAACGTAAAGCTAAATTAGAGCAAAAGAGATAGCAATATCGATAGAGAGCGTAAGCTGGGAAACCGCAATGTAAAATAGCGGTTTGGAAATGTGAGCGTTATATTACGCATGCTCGGACTCTTTTATTGAGCTAGAATTCTTTTTCCCTAAATACCCAAATTAACATGCTATGTGTAAGCTACAGTTTTCTCCTAAACTTCTTACTAAATACCAGCTCTATACAGGGTGATTTTTGTACCAGTATCCAAATTTTCAGGATCGACTCAGAATCAGTAACTTAATTGATTTACGTAAAGAAAACAAAATTTTTCTCCATATTTAATTATTTTCATCCGCTGCGCGCGGTTTCCAAATTGACTCACGTGGAAAATTTGCGTCGTTCATGGAAAAAAATGTACACACAGTTAACTGCAAAGCTAAGAGACATAATGGTGAGCGAAAATAAGCAATAACCTTTAAAACTTAGATATGGGCACCCGCGAATTAGACTTTCAATAATTATTTTTTTTGCGAAAAATACCACAATTAAAAATAATTACGATAAAGTTGTATTGTCAAATTGTTCTAACGAGCTTATTAAAAAAATTTGGATACTGATAACAAAGTCACCCTGTATAAACTTCCAAAGCATAAGTTCTAACACTTCTTTCTCTCCATCAGGTCGCAAGAACGCCGACCGCTCAGTGCGCTCGCGCGACCTCGGCGCGGAATCTGGTAGCTCACTAAGCTTAGAATCCTTTGGATCTACGGACCGCGAGTTATTTGAGGAAACCGTGCAAGCTGGGCTACCGGAGCGAGCGCGCCGCCCTGCACAACCACGAGACGGGTCTCTGAGCTCGCTGAGCAATGACTCCTTTGGATCTACTGACAAGGAGGTGAGTAGCTATTATCAGGGAACAAAAAATCCGAACTAGCAGCTCGCTAAGGTTTCCTGTCTGCTGGAATGGAGCGAGCATCTAATGAATAGATACGGAATGGAGTTGCAGTCTGAGCTTTTCATACGCGAAGTGAGGCCGCGGCGTGTCATTCGATATTCACGCTCTGCTCCACATCGCTTCCCTACTCCGGTACTTGGTTCTGTATGATTTTTTAAACCAGAGGGCCTAGTGTGAGTGAGCGCTCACTAGTAAGCGGTCAAAAAATGACATTAAATGTATGACGGTTGTACTTGTACAGCGCCTCTAGCGGAAAACGTTCAAAAACTAAAATTTTCATACATTTTTTGTAAACTCACACTCAGCCCACTGTTCGCAACTCAGGAAGTTTGATGAAAGATGGAGATTTTACCACGTTACATATTATGTGTTTCTTATTTATAAATAGCATTCATGACAAGCAACAATTCATTGATAAGCAACAAAACTTGAACAACTTTTCGCCCTGTCAATGCATAATAGACGCTACATCACAGACATTACAGCACAATTTACCTGTCGTCAGGTGTTCGAGCGCTGCGTACGCGCGGGCATGCGGCGCGGCCGGCCTCGAAGCGCCGAGCGGCGCCCGCCGCGCCCGCGGCTAGCGAGACACCGCGACCACGAGCGCGACAGGTATGTGATACTAGTTTATGGACTTTAAGTCGTAGCGATACGGTTCAAAGTAATTTGAGAAATTGTGTTTCTTTTATTTATCAAACTGTAAATTGTTAACCGTTTAGCCTAGTGATTCGCATGCCGAAATGTTGTTATGCCAAAAGCTCGAACGCCGCAAAATTCAAATATTTAACCTAAACGCAGACGCCGATAGTTGGGTCCAATTTTAATTTGTATGAAAATCAAATCGGTGTAATGTACGCACTTCCATACATGTCCATTGTCCATACTGATTAACAGCCCGACCCAACTATCGGCCAACTAAAAATCGGTGGTCTGCGGCTAGGTTTAAAGGTACGAGCATATTATTGATCTGAGTGTTTCTGTAAAAAAGTATGAAGTATGGTTATCCGTTATCTAGTATCCATTATGTCAGCTGTGCTTAATTTCGGACTAAATAAAACATCTAAAGATTATTCATCATCATCATCATTTCAGCCACAGGACGGCCATTACTGAACATAGGCCTCCCCCAAAGATTTCCATATCACCCGGTCAATAGCGGCATGCGTTTAGCTCCTTTTCGTTACCTTTATGAGGTCGTCGGTCCACCTTACGGATGGACGTCCAACGCTGCGTTTTCCAACACATGGCCTCCACTCCAGTAGCCTTATTCACGTAACAAATCTACAACGACTAAAAATTGCTGAGTTGCGATCCTGTCGAGTACTCGTTCTATCGAAATGACTTTTGAGAATACGGATTAAGAACTGTTTTTCAATAGGATGATTTCTAAACGTCAACGAGATTTTGACTGTGTCAAAAAACCTCGCTGCCCCATCGGTCGTCAATTCTGCGCACTATGTGCCCTGCCCGTTGCCATTTCAGCTCGCTAGTCCGTCAGGCTATGTCACCGACTTTTAGTTGGCCGATAGTGAGGTCGGGGCGTTAATCAGTATGGGACAAGATGAAAGTGCGCAAAGTAGAATCGAGCCCAACTATCGGCCTACTAAAAGTCGGTGGTCTGCGCCTATGCTAAAAGCGAGCTAAAGATTACTCATTTATGTAATTACGGGACTAAGCAGTGAACTCTAAACACAAGGGCTGCCACAATAGATCAAACCTGGTCGAGCTGGCTCAAATGAAGGCCCAAAAACCAATAATAATAAATAATAAATTTTCGTGTCCAGACGAGCCTCAGCCGACCGGGCCCTCCTCCGCGACGTGATCGAGCGCGGCGCGGCGGCGGGCCCCGCGCGCCACGCCCCCGCGCGCCCCGCCCCCGGCCCCGCCCCGCCGCCAAAAAACGGGGCCCCGCCGTCTGCGCCCCGCGCGCGCGCAGGCCGCGGCGCCCCCGCGCGCGCCACACCTGGCTGTGACACAGGTCAGACCACAACCTCTCTAGGGACTGACGTACACTCTCTAGGGACTGATGAACAGGACCCTGAAGCACCGGATGATTCAGCCGGACAAGATCGAGCTCCGGGTCCCGATGCGCTCTCTCTAGGGACTGACGTACACTCTCTAGGGACTGATGAACAGGACCCTGAAGCACCGGATGATTCAGCCGGACAAGATCGAGCTCCGGGTCCCGATGCGCTCTCTCTAGGGACTGACGTACACTCTCTAGGGACTGATGAACAGGACCCTGAAGCACCGGATGATTCAGCCGGACAAGATCGAGCTCCGGGTCCCGATGCGCTCTCTCTAGGGACTGACGTACACTCTCTAGGGACTGATGAACAGGACCCTGAAGCACCGGATGATTCAGCCGGACAAGATCGAGCTCCGGGTCCCGATGCGCTCTCTCTAGGGACTGACGTACACTCTCTAGGGACTGATGAACAGGACCCTGAAGCACCGGATGATTCAGCCGGACAAGATCGAGCTCCGGGTCCCGATGCGCTCTCTCTAGGGACTGACGTACACTCTCTAGGGACTGATGAACAGGACCCTGAAGCACCGGATGACTCAGCCGGACGAGATCAAGATCAAGGTCCCGATACGCTCTCTCTAGGGACTGACTCAGCACCCGGCGACCGCGGACAACAAGCTCCGGATGCAGTCACGGCCAGAATTGAGGACAACGATGAAGATCCAGAGACAGAATTCGGCACAGGTGATGTGGAAAACGGTGAGAACCTAAACCCAGATGGAACGTCCAACGGTGAACACGTAGTTGGATTGGAAACCGCTGAATCAGAAAATTTCGTCGCCTTAGCTGAAACGGAAGCTCCTGTGAATATGGACACGGAATGGGACGATGCTGCTCTGGATCTAGACGCTGCACTCGTGCTAGACGTCGATGACTCGGCTGACGAACACCACACAGCTGATGACGCTGAAACAAATGAGTATCTGTTCGATAACAACATGTCGCAGAGCACTCACGTTAGGAACGCAGAAGAAACATTCAAAATACACTCCGACGCCTATCACAGTATCCTGCAAATAACCGAAGACGAAAACGCAACACAATCTTCCAAGCCACAAAACCGGGTCCAACCTTTCCAGTACAACATTAGCCACGATGATAATTTCACAATAAACGTTACCGATACGAGTCCAATTTCTAAAACAAGTCAAATAGAAGACGCAGCAGATTTGCTCAAAATGTTAGAAGAAACTGGACCATCGAAGAGTTCGCTCGCCCCGTCCATAGACCCACTGTCGGCTTCCCGGGGATCCAACGAGTGCCTGGCCCCGAGATCCGCGAATACCACCCTAGAATCTCTCCCGGGAGACGATCTGGATAGATCTAATGAGTCCTATGCCGACGTCACAGATGGATCTTGGAGCGAACCCGGATCCCCTAAAGCTATCGACACGGGAACCCTAACCAGGAAAAAGAAGCACGAACCAGAGTGGGTCGATATAGGAGCAGGGAGCAAACTGCCGAAACCAGAAGACAAAAGTGCCGCAGACACGTGGAACGATGACACGTGCCCCGATGACGTCACCTTCCCTACGATCAGTGGGTCAGTGCACCTGATATCATCTATTCGGAGTGAAGTTGTGGATGTGAACACTACACTACCAGACCTCTTGGAGAAGAGTGAAGTAGTCAATATCTCACTCTCGCGTCCAGATTTGACTGAGAAGTTGGGTGGAGAGCATACTGAAGTTGAGGAATCGACAAGGATCACGCTCGATGACGTGGCTGAGCCGAGCTTCGCGTCGCTAGTCGATGATGGCGAACACAGGTTTGACTCGATCATATCCTCGGCCATAGAAAAAGAGGCAGCCAGACTCGCCGCCCAGTTAAAGTTCTCGCAATACGGCATGGAAAACAGTGTCACGTCGTTGACGTCACTGGACCTGGACAACGTTAGACCTCCATCCAACTTGGGCAGTCTCTTATCCCTAAGCGCTTCAGGACAATGGGAGGAAACAGCTCCGAATACCAAAAAGTCTCAAAAAAGTCGCAAGAAGTCCCTCCCTGTAGCATTCATGGTCAAACGCGCATTGAGCAATTCCATGCATCAAGGCAGCTCTGAACATTTAGATAGCAATCCCGTCAGCTTCCTAGACAATGTAAAACCTCCTTCGGAAATGGAAAACATAGACATGGAAGGCAGTATGGTATCAGTGTCGAGCATAGTATCAGAAGTGGCTGAGATGAGGGAGAAAACACCCGTCGTGTTTGACTTGAAGCAGCCAATACAAGACTTCCCGCTTTGCAACCCTTACGCAATCTTTCAGGACTTGGATAAAGTCAACCCTCCATCGCTATTTGACGAAATGGCTGAGTCTACGATAGAACTAGAGCCGACTACCGCTCACCAAGTTTACGACGACTGCATCTCGAATACTTTAAATGTTGTAACAGATATCCCTTCAGGGTCCGAAAACTGCACGCCTTTGCCTTCAGACATCAGCAGTGTCGAGTCGACACCGAAAAGACAAAGAGACCCGCACTATTTGACCCCAAAAGAAAAAGATACCACTCTAAAGATAGGTACCAAACTTACACTATTACGGATACCGTGACGGAAAGTGATATAGTTCTGGAAGTTGAAGAAGACTTCGTGACTTGGACCAAGTCGGAAAGTGACAGATCTGAGGAGTACGTCACTGCGTGTTCTGATTCTAAATCGAAGAGGAAAATTAGTGCGAAGCAGAGGAGGTTAGAGGACAGAGCTAGGTATCAGACTCAAACCGTTAATATTCAGAATATAATTGCTGAAACGTCGCAAATTAAAACACCCGACCCGCACATCGAGAGTCTGAAGCAGAGGCTGGCTGCCAAAAAGACCATGAAACAAAAACGCATAGAAGATGCAGAAAGATTTAGAACTAGAACTCTCAGTGAGGACATCCCGCCGTCTCCAACGTTCGTCACAAAAGACGCTAATTTCGAAAATCTCGAAACAACCACTGGCTACGACAGCCTGTCGTCCAACGAGTTGAATCATCAGCAGATTCTGGATGAGAGGCAGAGAGACGATGACGTGTTCTCGAGGGACGCGGACAGCGGCCACAACGAGGACGACTTCGAACTGAACTCCACCCAGATGCAAACCTACACGAAGAGCTTCAGAAACTATTTGCCAGTGATCGAAAGCCCGGCGGCGGTAGACATGTGCGTAGTTAACAATTTGAAAAATATTGAAATGACCGCATCGTACAGGCGCACTATGCAAGCGCAAGCCGAGAAGAATCAGCATCCGAGCAGCAGCGACTTCGCCAGTTACGAAGGCGACAGCAACTCCGAAGACCGAGCCCATTCGGAGTCGGACCAGGAGTCGGGCATGTCGCGGCCCAAACCCAAGATCATCAAGCCTAGCTCGAGAAGGGACGAGAGCTTAGATAGCAACGAATCTTTAGAAAAGGACGAAGCTCCCAAAGCTATCAGGGGCAGAAAGAAAGCGATGTATGTGTCCCCCTACCGACGAAACACTCCAGCCGCGAAGAAACCGGCCGCAGCGGCTCCTTCCAAACCCACTCCAAAGAATATCACACCTCCAAAGACGGCCACCAACGTCAAAGCTCATCCTAGTGCCAAAATACCGAACAGAACGCCCACTGCCTCCAGAACTCCGAGCGCTAACACTTCCCCGAAGAAATCTATACCGAACAGATCGCCGACCAAAATAGCTCAACAGAAGCCCGTGTCCGTTCCGCTGTCGACGCCGGCCAAGCCTCTGCCGCTGGAACGGCAGGGGACCTTCACCAAGGAGGAGAGCTCGGTGCCACCCAAGGACTTGCCCGTTCCGGACAAGAAGAGCACTGGGCCTCAGTACGGGAAAGCGACGTCTCCGACCAAGCCGACCGCTTCCAACACCTCCCCGTCTCGCTTACCGCAACTGAACCGGTTCTCGCGGCCGGCGGCGAAAGCCGCTGCGAGCAAGCCGGCGCCAAAAGCCACCGCCAAGAGGCCCGCGGAAACTCCCATGAAGAGCTCCCCGTCGAACCACAGCCTCCAGAGCAACGACAGCGGCAAAACCGTCACCCTGGCCTCGAGGAGCTCGCGGCAGGGGAGCACGTCGAGCGTCAACTCGGTTCAGTCGTCGAAAACGAACACCAAAGACGTGGAGAGTAAGATCGCGAGTTTGTGGAAGAGGGTGGAGCAAACTAAGAAGCAGCCGAGTAAGCCAGACAAGCGGGTATGGATCGAGAGCGACAAGCCGGAGACGCCGAAGCTGATCCGAAGCTCCACTTTTGAAGGGCAGCCTAAGCAGAGCACGGTAGCGAGCGCCCAGAAACAGAAGTCTGCTATCGGCATCCGCGTGTCGCAAATCCCTAGCTTGAGGCCCAAAGCAACACCCGCCCGCACCCCTGCCCCTGGCACAAGCGCTGCTAAAAAGCCGGCGAATACGCGGGTATTCGCCAGGAAACAAGTGAACGGCCAAGTAAATTCGTAAACGTTATGTTCTGACGGCAAGTGATTTTTTATGATGCAATATTCTGATGGACTTCAGCATGAAGTGATCTATCGAATTTAACTTTCGCAATGTTGTATCCTATAAAATACGATGATTGACTGATGTCTTCGCACGCTGAAACGTAATTCTTGTAGATTATGTAAAACGAATGATTGAGCAATTAACAGTTGATTTGTGATGCTGATTATTTTGTAATTTCCATGAAAAGTTTACAGATTGTTCGCTATTATTTGTTTGAAGAATGTTTATTGTGAAACCATGTTAGTGATTCCTTATGATTTTATTTTATAGTAGTTTTATTGTATATTTGTTGCATTTATTCATATAGGGACTAAAAATTATATATTTGTACCTACAACTAAAGTACGTAATCGTTTATTGACTGCAATTTTTAGTTTTTCTTAGAATATGATATAAAGACTTATCACATTTAACGAAGCCGGCATAATATTATTTTTATACACCTACAGATTGTTTAGTGATAAAATGATGTTTGATGTATTTTACAAACTGAACTGCGGATGGCGTCAGTGCTCCTTGTAGGTGAGAAATAACCAGCCATTGCTTAGTGCAATTATATAATTATAATACAAAAATAATTAAATTGTACACTTTAATGTAGGATGACTTTTATGAGATAAGGTGTTACAGGGATATTGTCGACGCCACCATATTATAATCTCACTAATGAACTCAATAGTTGGGTGAGCGGTTTTGTTATCTTTCGATATTGAAATTATAATATCGATGTCTACACAATATTCCTCTGGCTCATTGCAATGAAGCCATGCTTTTTATCGAAGTATTTTACTATTTCTCAGATGTAGATGTAATAAGTATATTTTTAAAGCTGAATTCAAAGACCATTTTAACAGACGCGTTTTCAAAAACCACAGCACAGCTAAGCTTGAATCGCCAAATATTGAAGGTGTTCGGGAAACGAAAGCTTCTACCGTGTCAAGTGACAAAACATTAGTACAATAAAGTCAATAAATCACCAACAATTTGAATCTTATCAAACCATACAGCAAAAAAACTTCGCATTTTACTACATACCATTTCAGTTGAGAAAATTGAATGTTTCTCGCTGAAATAACCAAGTAAAATGTCGCCCGCACATTTCATTGTAAATATTTCACACCACAATCGTAGTTTTTAAGGTTACCATATAAATACAATTTGTATATTTTTCATAATTATATTATAGCAAAGGAAATGTCACATCGCTTCTGAGTAAAACTGCGGGCATACCTGTGCGTATGTCACAATTTTTTACGTCTAGTCAAACTATGGATAAGCGGGATTCATAGAAAAATTTCGGCTAAGGAGAGTAATTTTTACAAAAAAGGATCGTATCGGTTGTTATACCAATCCATGTAATCGGTAGGTTTAGCTGGCTTCCTCTAGATAATACTTCCGAACATTCTAAGACTTTGTATTGTTTAATGTTGTAGATCCCACGAAACTTCCACTCCCCTAGCTTTATGTTAATGAGGATCAAAAGCATGTTCCCTTGAGAACGAGAGCAATACCCAATGTAATGTAGTACTTGGCGTGGAGAAACGTGTCCTAAGCAATTTTATTGTAACTTTATAATTAAGTATGTATTTAGCTTCAAATATTTCACGTTTAGAAAAGATTTTTTGTAACAGGTTTATTAGAATTATTGTAGTCTGTATAATGAATTACATCACATGTTAAGATTCTGTTGAATTATTTTATATACCCATGTATTTATTTTTTGAACTTTCGAGTACCTGTAGACCCTTCGGAGAATTGCGTGACGATAATCATCTATTATTTAATTTATGTATTGGGTTTTAAAATAATTCTGTATTTTGTTTATTTGACGTGTGTTGTTTCATTTGACTACTCTAAACACTGTAGTTCATCGCCATCCATATTTTCATGATAAAAGCCAGTTTAGTTAAATAAATATAATTAGTTGTAAGGTACCTAATTTGATGGTAATAAATGATACTTACCTCATTTTTGGAATTTTATTTTTATCCTATCATCCTTATAAGTTAACAATGTTCCTAACCTAACGACTTTTTAACTTACTCTCTTGGGAAGGAAAGGTGTAAAATAAAACCACCAAAATACATTCACATAGTAATATATCGTATTGTTTAAAGATCATGTAACACAATCAGATTTGAGTGGCATTCTACTTAGAACGGAACGTAACATGCATACATATTATTATTTTTATTCGTAATATCTTATATGTAAAACCTACTTCCCTTACAAATATCTGCTTTATAATAAGTAACGTACAAAATATAGGTATATAACGTGTAAACTGTAAAGTTGTATTATAACAAAAACTATAAGTAATTACTGTTACCCATGGAGGCATGTGGAGGTAGTTCGGTATTTAATACAATTAGTATATAACTGAGCTTATAAATATAAAAAAAGCTATCAAATTACGTATCCATTAATAGGCAATAATAAGCAAGCAGTCCCCCAAGAGATATTCTGTCCTTTCTAGGAAGACTGCTTTCTGATGCTTAGTGCGTAGTCTCTTTTCTAATCTGACAAGTTTGAGTAGGATTCGTGGTGGCGCTGCCTGGCGATAAATTACAAAACATCAATCCCCATCGCAGTCATTTATTTTCAAGTGATTTTTAAAAAGGTTGCACGATCCCAATGTAATTAATTACAAACCTATCACTGTTCAATGTTGACAGGACAGTTGTGCGTCCTTTACTTTTAACATGAAAAGAACCCGCAGTAAGCACTCTGGTGGAAACATTATAATTATTTCGACATGGGAGACCACGCCGTCACTGGTTACAAGGATATTGAGACTTGAAATCAAAAAGGCGCCTCTCGCTCACGCGTTATACTGTGAGAGTGAGAGCAGCAGTTTCGGTTTCCAAACTCATTACTTTGCGCGAGCGATACAATAAATATGTTTATAAAACGAAGACTTACTTTAAAAAAAATATTCCAGAAATACTCGAATGAGGAAACGTTTAACAGCAATTTCTATTTACAATAATTAGAAGCATGACGCACAAAAATACGTTTTCTTAAAAGTATACAATTCATTTCAAACATTGAAGCGAAAGCTGGTAAATTATCCTTCCCATCTAGCAGCTGCCTAAAACCTAACAATCGTCTTTTCGGTCGTCATTTCAAACATTATAATTATGCAAATTCGTCCATATTTCTTATGAAATAAAGCGGTGTCTACATTGTTTGATCACTGGGATTCCAAAATGATCTCCTTAATTCTTAGACCATCAGTGATTTAGGTCTCCTGCGCCTTCCCACACCGCAAACATAGTTTTTAGCATAACTTTAGGCCGTTAGGTTAATTTCTAGATCACTCCAAAATGCATTTGTTTACATTCGTTTTCTACTACTGATATTGATTAATAACCAACCAACCTGTAATTTTGATGGCAAGGATAATTTCGAGAAAAAAATCTATTTACATGTACCAAATTTTGCAATTAAGAAAATATTCGTCATACATTTAAAATATACGTTCCATAGATTTATTATGCATTTTAGAAGCGCTAAAATATTATGTTTCAATTAAAAGAAATTTAGATTACTATACGCAACATCGACCGGGTTTGGACATATTTTTTTGTATTTTTTTATTATTTTTTATTTATATTTTAGACACCGATATGATGTGATTTGAACTAACATGCCACTCACAAGTGCTTTTTAAATACACATACATCCTATTTCTAAAAAATACCATAAAATGTGGCACTAAATTTGATTTTAAAAGTAAAATTACTGTAAAAGCACAGTATTTCCGCCGCAGTACAGATAGATGTACAGTACATTTAACACTCATACGGATTTGATACATCACCTACTGTTACAAGAATATTAGACTTCAAAGATACAACTAAAGAGATAAAACCCGGTCAAAAATCTTATATTTTAAAGACAGTTTTAGATGGAAACTATGTTACACTTTGCGGGTATTGGGGTAGTATTATGCAACCATCTGCTATTTCGGATGATGTGAATCATTACTACTCGAGTTTATAACGCTTCCGTTAAAATAGAACCACAATACCCTGTGCTCGATTCTAACCTAACACCTAAAAGCTAGGGACAAATACGGTCGCAAAGGGCACAACGACAATATTTTTCTTCTACCACTATTCTATTACACTTAAATCCTGATGAGGTAAAATACAGCTCAATAACTGGCTGCATAATATAAATATTATTGATAAAACTGTATAATAAATATGATTTCTATACACAAATATACACTGTTAACTATGCATCTTAAAAACCATTTGTATATTAAAACTTCAAAAAATATCGTACCGATCGTTCCCTTTGCGACGAAATTTTACATCGAAATGGTATAATTTGAATTTATGATTATAGAAGCTTGAATAAGTACTATTTATTGATAAATGAAAGCCTCTGCAGAGGTTTACAACATAGTGTATGATTTAATTATGCTATTTAATTACTGTCATAAGCTCAATGTGCCGACAGCGATCGAATTAGTGTGCAGTAGCGACCTGTAGGTCGAGGGGCGCCACTATCGACATAGAACTACTGCACAGTAACACTGGGGGATCATCTATACTCGGATATTTTATTCGAATAAATAATTTGACATTTTAGTTGGGGACGACTACCGATAGTAATCGTCGATGTGGCAATATGAACCTTGATCAGTGGCAATTAATATGTCAAATTGTATATTCGAATAAAAATCGAGTTTAGCTAGCGTGAGTCGCGCCGTCCATCGATGGGACGGCGAATATAATTTCAACGTTAATTTTACAGCATGGAGTCTTCGGACTCTGCATGCGTCACCAACAGCAAACTGTCTCGAGGTCTGCGTCGCGACGGCCTGTACCGAGGTACGTGACGAGGCGCCAATTTTGCACTTTCGTTACATTATCGTGTCAAAGCCTATGATTGTTCGATAGCTACACCGTGGTCTATTACATTTGCTTTCGCGCATCTGACTTTATTCCGCATTATATCCCTGACTTATATGTCAAATTCAAGTTCATAGAACTTATAATACCTAACAGTCTTTGGATACGTTTATCACTAAGACCCTCGCCTCACCCTTGTAAATATCTCTCTCCAAAATATATTTCGGAGTTTATATTTCATATATCTTTCTTTTAAATATACATCGACATTTTAAAGACGTATTTTTTTTATCAATTTTCTTCGTTGAAGTAAAATTGTCTCGTATATGGTGGCTCGCACCTGGTAGATTTAGAACGCATATGGACACACCGGAATTTTTCGTTTTCTTAACTGTGCACTACTCTCTTAATACGTATCGTTACTGTACTTCCATATGCGTGAATGGTTGTCGTGTCCTCTCTGACGCGGCCGGCCCGCGCGCGACCACTTGCGACGTGCGCGTGCAATATATGCGTTAACGCAATTAATTGTCTATTGGTAGATATGAATTTCTGTTGTTAAAGCAGCCTTAACTGCACATGTAGGCCTTTTCGCCTGTCGCTTTCTAATATATCTACCAAAGTATCACAATGAGCTTCGTGCCATTCGTTGGCAAAAAGTCGCAAGTGTCGCCGGCTCGTATCCCGGTGGCGGGGCCGAATACAGCGCTGTGAGTGTACTGCCGCGATGTTACGTACACCAGAATCGGTACGACTTTAATCGTTTACATATTCCGAATTCCGTATATTTATACTCGATAAATAACTTTACCTTTGTACTCACTCGTTACGCTCACTAATCTTAAAACTAGATGTACATAAAAATATCACAGCACTATCGATTCTCTTACGCTAAAACCGGACGCTTGGCGTCGGCTTTCAATACAATAACAACAAAAGGAATCGAAATAGAAATGCAACATGCGGTGTCGCTGGACGCAACGTTGCGTTATTATGCGGATAAATATTATGTCTCAAAATTATTATTTTTTTGTTTTTATAAAGATCAAGTTTGTAAATTTTGAATTCTAGTTATATTGAGTTGAAAACTAGTATTATTCCTATTATTATGAACAAAACAAAATGACAACAATATAAAAATAATGTATAAAAACACTGCATTGACGTTCGCTTAGGATATGATGTCATCGTAGACAAATAGCGTTTTTATACGTTAATACCGGAGAATGAGTTTATATTTTCATTTTTTGAAGATATACAAAACAAACACTTATTGTGGACTTTATAATCACCAACTTATGCAAAATTTTAAAAGGCCAAATAGCCAGATCGTTGGAGATATTACGTCAAAATTAAAACTATCCAAAGGGCGTCCAACGACATCGTCGTAAGCGAAATTGAAATGCAAATTACTAAGTGCCGCAAATTACCGTTATTTACAAAGCTGTAGTCCACCGAAACTTAACTAACTTTGGGTCGATTCTTACAACAATCGAAAAATTCAGGAACAAAAACTCCTAAAACACTTAATCCAGAAAAGCCAGAAGTAATTTCATACCTTTTACAATTAGTTGTGACTAATACAAAGATCACACGCATTGTAAATCTAAACTGTCGTCAGCAATGTCGATCGTTTCATGGCACACGGACATTGCGTCGCTCCTGGGGGTCGATTTATGAATTTCATCGACTTTTTGAATTCGTATACGCAATACTAGCACACGTGTGAATCATTTCGAATGATAAAATCCTGTACTAAACTATTATAAACTGAACTTTCTAAAGAGAAAAACAATGAATAAGTTCTGTAGGGAATCAATGAACAAATACATGTATGACATTCCAAAATCGACTCCCTGGGTCCGTAAGACGAGATGCGATTCTATCACCGACCAACAATCGCTCGTGTATTGGATTTATATCTCGTGGTCGCATGACGTTTAAGTATATTTTCCCCTTCAAACGCTTCTATTATGTAGTCAGCCAAAAAATCTGTTTTAATATTAGTTGTTATTTGGTATTTATAACACAACAAAGACGATAATCGCTTGTATAACAATGTCAATGAAACTAACAGTGAACAAAAACTAAACTAACAAATTAATATAGGTGCAAAAAGTAACCTTATTGATATTGACAAGATATCTGAAACTAAAATTAATGCTACCAGTTTCTTGGCTGATCATAAACTAGAAGCCTTGTCTAGACCTGTTAGCTTTGATCTAAAATATTGGTTAAACCCTGTTGTTCGGGATATAAGAACATCGAATATTGATCCCTATGTCATAACATAAGTAATAGTCGAAGATATTTAGCAGATCACTAACAAATAGGAAATAACGTCAATAGAATCCTGCATCTCATCTTAGGATACTTGAATAACGAAGATAATAAGCAAAAAAACTATAATAAAAAAACTTAAGAAACTAAAGTGAGGTAGCAATATTATGAATATAATTACTCATCTAATGTTTGGTGGGATACATGTTAATAATGTATAAACAGTTACACTACAAAATAGCTCCTATGGATTACTGAGGTATAAAGTCGTTACTGTGTGAGGTAGACTTGTGGCCGGCAGGCGATTTCGACCATTTGGTACCGCTCTGCCGTTATACAAATACTATTATAACTATTTATCTCTAACTTTCATGTTAACAGTGAATAGGGAACGGACCGTGTAGACAGACATATATTTTTTCCATTTACACTTAAATCTATTTCTGGATTACACTGAACGAAAAGCTTAATATCTAAATATGGAAACTTTTTTTTTTGTATGAGTTCACACACATTCGTGTTACTCATTTTGTTATTTTGTTTTTTTTTTAGTAAATTACGAGTACGGTCAGCTTGCTTAGACAGTGACAGTGCAAGAAACAAAAATTACCACCTCGTCCTTATGATAGACTAATAAGGTTCAAATTAATATTGGAATCTATGACGTGATTATTGACAATAAAGTAGATCGTACACTATTCAATAAATTTATTATACTCTGTGACATCATTTTTTTATTTTTACTTGATACTGACTAAACGTGCCAACCGTACGAAAGCCATAATGGGGTACCACACGCAAAGCTTATTCCAGATGGCGCCAAAAGCGGTCCGGGCATATCACACTATTGATTACGTGCAAAAATACAAACTTGGGGGCTTACGGAACTGAATAATATTAATTTCTCACTTCTTTCCTAACAAAGTTTTTGGGAATAGACGATTATTACGATTAAAACTGACTGGTATTGAACACAGGAAGTGAATTGGAATAAAATCAAGAAGTCGTTCGGCAATATCAACAAAACGTTTGCGATGACAGTTATTTTATTTTATTTTATTTTTCTTTATTCAGAAAACCACAGCTCTTTATAATAATAATACAAACAGGTATTTTTGTTCTTACAGCCAATAATGGATTCTATATATTATTACAATCTCGTAAAAAAACAGTCAAAGGGGCAAAAAAAAAGAAACATAGGCTTGCATGCTGGTTGTGTGTGTGTATGTGTGTGTGTGTGTGTTAACATTCAGATGCGCCACCTGGCGGCAAATTTCGCGCGGATCCCCATTAAAAACAGCACTACACGGTCCGTTAATTTTACAAACATTTAATAGATATCGGCGTTCATCACCTCTGCTAAATCCGCGTAGGCCAGGTCGGCGTAGGCGCAGTCGGCGAGTTTGGTGAGGACTGGCGGCCAACGCGGCTGAGTCACCAGCTGTGGCGGCGCGTGCGGTAGGCAGTGCTCGTCGAGAGGAACCAGTTCTGGGCCGTATTCGCACGGCACGCTGGCGGGGAGCGGCACTGGGGTGGCTGGAAACAAGGTGCGAATAAGCAATCGAGTGTTTGGCCGCCAAGTAAAGTCCGGCCGCCGAGCAGATAGAATTTGGTCCAATGACCTCAAACTACTAGGATATTGCTTGCGTATATTGCGTAATTATGTTGCTATCGCGCTCGAACACTCACGGCGGCATAGCGTGTCGCACAGTCGCAACAGCAATATAATTAAGCGCGAGTGATAAGGATGGGTAGCTTGGGGTCATTGGACGAAATTCTATCTGCTTGGCGACCGGACTTTAGCAAGGACGAGCCTAATATAGACTCCGCGCAAACGCACAGCCACCGGTGTATGTCACGCGCCACGTCCTTTAGTACGCAAACGAAAGTAGTGGATGATTGCCACGAGTGAGTGGTCGATAGCTGCCTCTAGTGGGCAATGGCGACCACTAGTAGTCGGTGACCACTACAATTGTATAGTGACCGCCACCCACCGGTGAGATAATGCGAATTATATTTCAAAATAATTTATGTAGGTACTTAAACAGCTTGTCGCCAGGCACTGGTAGCTTTCGTCAGTGGGCAAGAGGTGACTAAAAGAGAAATATGCGAACATCAGGACTCACCAGTATGAAGTTAGCGCCCAAAAAGACAAGAAACGTTAAAAAAATGGCGTTTGCTTTAAAATTTACTAATTCAAGTTCAAGCATTTTGTAACACACGAAAAGAATAATCAACATCACACTCACCAGTGGGCATCATCGGACTCGGCACCCAGAGGTCGGCTTCGATCTCGCTGATCTCCTTAGCCCTTGTATCCAGCGGATCCAGCTCCTCCAGGGTCATCAGCTCATCTAAGGTGTCATCAGCGCGCCAGCCGCACGACTCGTCCGACTCCTCCAAACTGGTCGGGGCGTCGACAGACATCTCCGAACTAGACGGATTGCTCACATCCAACTTCTCGTTGCTAGTTTCTGCAGGCTTTTCGTAATGGTTGAACGTGATCTGCGTGACGTTGTGGATTTTCTTCATGTGCTTTCTCAGATTCGGAACGCTTGCGAACGTTTTGGGGCAGTTGGAACACTTGTAGGGCTTGCTGTTGAAGTGGATGTTCTGGTGCTGCTTGAGCAGGTAGAGCTTGGCGAAGCCCTTGCCGCAGATGGCGCAGGCGTGCTCCTAACAAATACAAATAATTTATTTTTGAAACACAGGTAAGGAGTAAGGTATACAAGCAAAAGATGTTTTCAAGCCGTGATCAGCCTTGTCGGCATACAAATGTTAAAGCATGTGATAATATTAAAAGAAAGTAATAATGAGCAGATTAAAGGCTCCCACAGACCAAACGCAGGTCAGAAGCAGTGCGGGTCAGTTGCAGCGCGGCTGAGGCACACTGAAAGCAGCGCAGTTTCAAAGCAGTTGCAACGCGGGCGGTTGTCAAAAAATTCAATATTCGAAAACCGCTTTCAACGCGCTGCTACCACCCGGAGGGTGTGTCATGCTAATATGGCCGCCATAGTAATACAACAGCGCGGGCCCGCGCTCGCGCCGCTTCTGTCCCGCTCCCGCGCCGCCTGGTTTGTCGTTCGGCAGTTGCAGTGCGGTGCGGTTGGAGCGCGTGCGCGGCGTTCAAATTTGGTGTGACACACTTCAAAGAGTTTCTTGCTTTACAATTTGCGCGGGCCCGCATTCAAACTGCGCTGCTACTGCCCCGCGTTTGTCTGCCGAAGCATTACATGTCAAAATCCTAAATGTCAATGATACCTTGGCCTCGTTGTGCACCTTCATGTGCTGCATGAGGCGGTGGCGGTGCGAGTACACCTTGCCGCAGATCTTGCACACGTGGAGCACGGCAGAGAAGTGCTGGGTCACATGCTGGAGAAATGATAGGTTGTGATTAGTAAAATTATTAGCTTTTTGTACTTCTTCAACAAGCTTCTTCTGTTTTTATGATCACTTTTTACTTCTATATCTACTAACCTACTTGCAAAGACCCGCCCTATGATATTGTGCCCTTCTATGCCCAACAGGGTTTATATTTCGATCACTGTAGGTATGCTTTTCATTTTTATAGAATGCAATAAATAAGTACCGTGATTGACTATAGTGCATCGCGTAGATCAAAGCGGCATATTTCCGCCTAGGGCCTACCTTTGACAGTTCATAAAATTTTCTCCACTACCCATTGATTGTTGGTGTATGTATATTTCGACCTACTCCTATATTCATTTGGTTGAATTCATTGTGAGTTCCAAGACCCTGGGGACCCAAGTTATCCCCAAGACTAAAGCCTGGTCCGTGAGCACGTAGAATTTTCTTCAATGACCCCTAGCTACCCATCCTTATCGCTCGCGCGTAATTATGTTGCTATCGCGCTCGCACACTCACTGCGGGTACCAGTCGCACAGTCGCGACAGCAACATAATTACGCGCGAGCGATAAGGATGGGTAGCTAGGGGTCATTGGACAAAATTCTACGTGCTCACGGACCGGGCTTTAGCTGTCTTCTGCAGGCCTACCTTCATGAGCAGGTACTTCTCCCCATAGCAGCGCTTGCACACGGGGCAGGAGTAGCGCTTCTTGCGGTGCACGGGCACGTGCTTGAGGCAGGCGGCCAGTGACGCGAACCGCAGGCCGCACTGCTGGCACCAGTTGCCTCCAGCGTGCTCCTTGCGGTGGAGGACCAGCTCTTTGGGTGTTGCGAAGCTGGGGATGTCAAAGTCATCTTTAATATAATACTATTAAATCCCTACAGTCGAAGGGGGAAACAAAAAATACCTCTGTATCCTACAAGCAACGCCTTGAACGACATAGCAACCATCTGGCTACACAGCTCCTGAATACAAACAACTGCCTATTTCGGTTGAAAGGAATGCGATTGGCTTCCATATAGAACTTCCGAGTAAAAAAACCAGGGAAATTATGTTGGAAACCAAATCTAAAGAACGTGTTATTTATAGCATAGTGCACTGCTGGCACCAGTTGCCGCCAGCATGCTCCTTGCGGTGGAGGACCAGCTCTTTGGGTGTTGCGAAGCTGGAGGTGATAGATGATTGTCAGCGAGGTTATGTCGGTCATTAAATCTAAAGAACGTGTTATTTTAAAATGTATTAGTAATTTGTTACTGCACAAATTAGTAATAGTCCCGTCAGCCCCTCGTACTAAGCTAAATGTGCTTGTTACGAGTGAGCTCAAAACTATAGTCGAGCAGCGGCGGGGACCGAACCCGCGTTCCCCTGATCACGAGTCAGCCAGTCCGACCCCTTCACTGTTCGGCTATCGTGGCTTCAATTCGAGGCTATTATAGCATAATACGCTCTAATTAGCCCGCACTGCTGGCACCAGTTGCCACCAGTTGCCACCAGCATGTTCTTTGCGGTGGAGGACCAGCTCTTTGGGGCGTTGCGAAGCTGGGAATGGTAGATGTTTGTTAATGAGACTGCGTTTATCTGTTACGAATTCGAATGTGCGAGTGCACAGGTCTAAAATATGGTTTATTCCCGTAAGTCATGGGCTGTCAGTTCAGCATACTATATGCCCTGCTTTGCTGGATGCTGCTACTAACTGGTCAATCTGGAAGTAATTGGGGGAAGTCTATGTTCACCAGTTAAACCTTGTGCCTAGGAAATTAAATTCATATTTGGGTCATTCCATGACAAATGTTACCGAGGGTGAAAAACTAAATATGTTATTTTCGCATTAAATCTGATGAATTTTGAAAGTAAACATTCCAAATTATAATGTGCAACAAAAAAAATCTGCAAGAAACAAGTAATTTTTAAGTTATTAGTCTTCAAAGTCTATACTTAAGTCAACAGACTGTCTGAATGATCATTTTCTCTCTAATTATTGGTAATACGATTTTAAAAAAAACTATCAATCTGTGAAACGTTTTGCCACTATATGATTTGAGGGTATTTATCATAGAATTGGTAGATAGCGCCATAGTCCAAAAAAAAAAAGATAATCANCTCGTATTAACATTTTCATTTATTTATTTTCACCAACATACAAGGTCAATAACCTAATTCGATAGAATAAATTATTTTAACATAATCAGAAGTGCGCACGTTACACCGATTTGGTATCGGCCGATTCCTCATAAAAATTATAAATGGACTAAACTGATAAGTGTAGTCTGCGGAGTATCTTATAGTATTTACGTACTTCGTTAATCGATAATCGAGGGGTCGGTTGTATTAAAGTGACGTGTTTGCAACTCAACAGACACTTTTACGTCTTTTTTACACTCAATTGATTTGTGACATATCTATTTAGACCACACATCTGGCTTGTATTGGCGACATTAGACTCTATAGTCTGGTCCGTGAGCACGTAGAATTTTCTTCAATGACCCCTAGCTACCCATCCTTATCGCTCGCGCGTACATATGTTGCTGTCGCGCTCGCACACTCACTGCGGGTGCCAGTCGCACAGTCGCGACAGCAATATAATTACGCGCGAGCGATAAGGATGGGTAGCTAAGGGTTATTGGACAAAATTCTACGTGCTCACAGACCGGGTTTTAGCTATGTCTTCTGCAGGCCTACCTTCATGAGCAGGTACTTCTCCCCATAGCAGCGCTTGCACACGGGGCAGGAGTAGCGCTTCTTGCGGTGCACGGGCACGTGCTTGAGGCAGGCGGCCAGCGACGCGAACCGCAGGCCGCACTGCTGGCACCAGTTGCCACCAGCATGTTCTTTGCGGTGGAGGACCAGCTCTTTGGGTGTTGCGAAGCTGGGGATGGTAGTTGGTTATCAGTGAGGTCATGCTAGTCACTCAAAATTAATGCAGACATATCAACTCGGAAGGAAAGGCATCAACCGTATCGCTTTTTGCATCGCCTTTCGCGCGCTTTCAATCGCGAGGCGAGGCGTTTACGTTACGGTGCGGATTAAGGCCTATTCAAACCTGAGCGATATGCGCTGCCGCTGTGGGTAGAGGCACATACCACGCGGGTTTCGCTCAGGTATTTACTAGAGCGTTTTCTCTGCCGCAGACGGTAGCGAATACCGCTTAGGTCTGAACAGTATTATTACCGCATACCCACTGGGTTTTCTCTGCCGCAGATGGTAGCGAATACCGCTTAGGTCTGAATAGGCCTTAAGTGTGCATTGAAGTATGGAGTTTCATACACAGAATACTGTTACTGACCGCCTGCAGTTGATACGGTTACGGCGGGTTGATAAATGAGCGACGATCTTAAATCTAAAGAACGTGTTGTTATAGCATCCACCAGCAGCTCTCTGGCAGTTGCGAAGCTGGTAATAGTAGATGATTGTCAGTTAGGCGTTTATTACCGCTAAAATATAAGCGCTATTTACGCGCCAGTGTCTATGTATTGGGGTGGCTTTTTAAGTTCAAACAGGGTGCGGTCTTCACAGTTAAGGCGATGAATGCTGGTTACAGAATCCTGAGAAATTTATTTAGACATGTCGTATAAAAATTTTCGCATTGTTTAACTGCTGCTGCAGCTCCTAGATTGATCAATCTCTATCCAATTAATAAAACTACAGGAATTTATTATGCAGATAAAAACAAGTAGGGATTAAGTTTTTGTCAACCGCCTCATGCATTGTCCACAGCATAGGCTTCCATCATATTCTGGAAATCAAAAAAATATCTATGACATCACTCACATCTTGCCGCAGCCTTCCTCCGGACACTGGCTGTAACAGATGTCATGCTCGGTCTTATAGTGATCCCGGAGCCTCCTGGCAGTCTGGAGCGCGTGTCCGCACTGCAGGCACTGGAAGCCGCCGTCGCGCGTTCTGGAGTGAGCCTCCATGTGAATCACGAGCAGGGACAGCCGGGGAAAGCTCTTGAAGCACACTTCGCACCTGTACGGAGACGCTCAGCAGTTAAAATCAAAATCAAAAATATTCATGTTTGACCACTGGTGGCACTTATGAATGTCAAATACAGTAAAAAAAGGCAGCCCTTAAGGGGCACTTGTTGTCTTTTGGGCAAACATATGGCAAGTGCTGAGAAGGAACGCCGGAACAAACTCAGCCACCACAAGTTGCCAGTAATTATCTAACGGTAAGGATAACCAACTTCAAGTACATCAAATATGTGCCGACTGAACTGACCACGCAAATAACAATAACTCGAGTATTCAAGTCCACTGCACAAGTATAGGATGTATACTGGTATTCTGCCACTAATGCAGCAGTAGCAATACTAGCAGTTTGTTCAATTAAGATTAAAATTGCGAAAGTATTATAATTTGAGTTTATCATGCGTAACACAGGATATTTTAATTCCATAACTAAGCAGTGCTGTGTTTATAATTTTTACTGTAAGTGCTCAGCATTGTTAATAAATTAAACTTTTATATCTCAATTTTTATTTATAACTTAGGTTGTTAGAAGAATTGACTAAAAAGTCTAAAAAACCATCCACCACCAATACAGACCAATAATCGCACAGCACTTTGATTCTACTACTGTCAAGTGTAGGTATTTCATACAAAAAATCTAATTTTTGAACACAGAAAATTCGCAATTGCAGAAAAGGCTGAACATGTTTCATACTATTGTAAAAAAAAATACTTTGAAAATGTAGTAAAGAAAAAATCAAATCAAATCTAATACTTACTGGAATTTGTCTTTGGTATAATGGTTATAGCAGTGGTTAGCAAAGACAAAGTATTTGTCATACTCTTTTGCACAGATATTACAGCCGTAAATAATTTTTTTATCGTCATGTTCTAACATGAAATGATTATCGAAATCTGGTCTGGCTTTATAAGTTTTTTTACAGATCGAACAGAATATACCGCCAAGGATGTCTATGGAGCTATCGTTTGAAAATTCTTGGCCCTCAGAATCTGAATTGGACTCATTGTCTTCAATAAGTACATCGCCAAAATGCTTAGCCAGGTGACTAGTAGCGTTTTGAATTTCGTTGATGCCCTCATCGCAAATCGGGCAGAAGTAAGAGATGGAGCAATGGTCTTCAATGTGTTGCTCGCAATCGTTCGTATCCTCAATCTGCTTGTTACAAATTTGACAGTTATAAGGTGGGTTACACTGCTCATTCTTGTGGCAAATTTGATGCATGGCAAGATCTTTTTGGGATTGGAATCTGAAATAATAAAATAGTTTAACTTTAACACAAGCGCATATCTTTACTAAATTAAATGTTTATCTTCCATAATGAATAAAACATATTTAGCAAAACGTATTGGAACTTACCTAACATGGCATGTTGAACATTTGAACTGATGCAAAGATTCATAATGGCTGACGAGTGCTGTTTGCTTTGAAAACTGCTTATTGCAATGGGTGCATCTGCAAGTACATTATACCAGTTAAATTCTAATAGCTTGTAATATAAAATAAATAACAATTATACTACAAACATATCAAAATATTGTAATGAAATTGTATTGTACTCACCTAAATTTATCTTTCATGACATGAATTGTGTAACAATGTCCTCGAAAACTGGGGTAGCCAACTATGTCTTTATAACAAACAACACATGTGTACGTAATATCTTTGCTACCAGTATCATGTTTTAGGTAATGTGTGTCATATTCCTTTTTATTTCCAAATTTTGTGTGACAAATGCGGCAGTAGATGCCACCGATTTTGTCGATGGTGGTGAGCTTTAGATGATTGAACTGAGGCTGGTCTGAGGTCATCCCCACCGGGACCCACTTTGAAAGAGCAGCCATATTTCTATGTATGATCCATCTATTGATATTTTAAGTCATCAAATGAATACTGATGTTGGGGCTATTGCAAAAATCATAATAGCGTGTATTTTTTCTTACATTTTTAAGGTTTTATTTCCTGAAATCACAAATATATTGTTTTGTAACAAGTGTAACAGAGCAAACATAATGTTAGTTGACAAAGTAAGTCACGCTGGTACCTTATGGGGTAAAAAAAGGCTCTGGAGAATCATTCTTGCGAATACAAAGACACCGCTCGTTTTACACCCACATTCTTCTCTACAAGCACACAAGCATGCCGGTTGCATAGATTTATTACTTCAGGCGGAAATTTAAATATTTAAACACAATAAATTTATGGAACGGCGCTCCATTTCTTCAATAATGCGTTATCAACTGGTTCTAATTACGGCGACTCCTTGTCATAGATAAATCCGTACGATTGTGCAGCCATCATCCGAAAGCAAACCCAATGCTCTGCAACAATTTGTTCTAAATACTTACAAAACCAGACAAATACTTGCAGATACACATCGGATTAAAGTCCCACTACATTTTACATAATAACAGACGAATTTTATGGTAAACTTTAGTAAAAATGCAATACCGGATAACANCTAAATAATTTTGCATAATCACATGTGGTAAGAGATCCCTTGTATTTTGTTTACTTTAGAATCATAATTGGTACACTTTCGAAACACACACGATGGCATTTTTTATTTATTTTGGTAAGAACACAGGAACTTACAGTGTGGTACGCACGCGATTGCGCACGACGCAGGCCACACGAAGACTAAACACAAGACGTCCCAATTGGGACGTATTTGAGTATTCACAACGCGAGCGCTTATAACATATCTGCTTTTGTTTTTATATAATATCATTGCAAAAAGCTTACAGAGAACGGCTCAAAATGGATAAACATGATGGAACAAAAATAATTTTATTAAAATAGTATGAATGATTACTCCCTTATTTCATTTCTAACCCCTTAATATTACCCCGTATTTGGGTGCATACTTACAAATATTTCGAATTGAATAAATGAAGAGCATTCACAATATTTCGCCTATGTATAACAAGCCTTATGGCCTTACTATTTCGTTACTACCGTTTCGTTACGTACATTTTTTTTGAGAAATACTCATAAGTCATAACGCAACTTATTTTGTATGAGTTACATACAAATGTCCAGCCGTGAGTACATTATGTAAAAACTAAAACAATGTACTGTAATCACAATAGTAACTGTAATCTTTTAATATCCAATAGTTTTAATGCTTATTGATTTTCGTAAACAAATATTTCATGTTATATTTCATCAATAAAGTTTCATTTGATACTTCAATAGTTTTATTTTTAACCGCAATACATGAAAAGGAACGGATCATAAAAAAGTATGACAGGTATATTTAATCTGTGGGCAGCAGACGCCATATTGTATTCAGCGCCACCTACTGGACAATCTAGCTCGGTACTAGTTTGTTTATCGTTCAACCAATACTAGGGCCGTTTCCTATCTGTCTTTAGACATACTCTCTAATCTGTGCCGGATAACAAACAACGCCAAGAAAACGTGTGAATTTTGATTTTGACAGATGGCTAAAATCGATAAAAATTCTTGCCATACTAAAACCACTTCAATCTACGCAAAGAACGAATTTCAAAATCTCGCATCTACTCAAATGCTCTGTGACGTATTTCTATCGCTCTGTTTAAATCGGGAAAAAAAAAACAAGACCTATCCTCATTGGTCCGCTCGGGTTCGCTGCTTGGGCCTCGAATCTGTCAAAAATCAGTCAAAAAAATGTCAACGAAATAATTTTCTGAATTTTCAGAACATTTTGTAATAAATTAAAGAATAAAATCGAAATGATAAAATTCAAATAAATCTTGTGCCCTGCATTTCAGTCAAGGACTAAACTTTGTACCTAAACGTTAATTTCACTGCGTGTTAATCAAGAAAAACCGTAATTAAAATTCAAAGGATCGATCTTTTGGTAAGTTTTATTAATTTTAAAATTACGCATTATTTTTGTGAGTTTCAAATATTAATCCGTGATTTGAGCTCTTTACTAATTATTATCACAATAAAAACTAATCGGCGACTATCACAATAAAAATTAACTTGACAAAAGTAGAATTCTCGCAAAATCCGACGAAACAACGCACATATATTTTTTTTTTCTATTTACATTTAAATAGTATCGCTGTTTGATGTAAATAAAAACTGTGTTTTGTAATCAAACTAACTTGGCGAGTTGCCAGCCGGGTTCCCGAAATAGTCGACGTCTCGCAACTATGAGTAGTTTACGTTATTTCGTCCGGAGAGATTGCCGATCGCGTGAGAAGACTCCATAAGTCCGCCATGGACCGCCACCATCCGCTGCACTCGAGCTTCCACGGCTCCATGAGGAGCAGGGACTCCTCTTCCACGGCTGGCAGTGACCCCAGAGAGAAAATCAAAGATTGTTTCAGAAAATTTATAGCCTTTATGTTTACCCAAGTGGGAGTCGGCGCGCTAGTCGTGTGCTACGCGATACTGGGCGCAGTTAGCTTCATGCACATCGAGAAAGACAGCCCAGATAAACAGCTGAAAGAAGTAAGGCAGTGGAGACAGAATTGTGCCGAAAGATTGTGGAACATTACTGTGTCAATGAATGTTTTCAATGAGACAGCGTTTGTGCTGAAAGCTAATGAGGTGCTGAAGGTGTTTCAGAGTAACATAACTGCCGCCATTCATACAGGGTACAGTGGCAGAACAGCTGAAGATATCTGGTCATTTCCTGCTGCATTGATGTATTCTTTGTCAGTATTCACTATGATAGGCTATGGCAATGTTGTGCCCAAGACTGTATGGGGGAAGCTTGTTACTGTCGCATATGCCTGTTTTGGTATACCAATCTACATTCTCTACTTTTGTAACATGGGCAAAGTTCTTGCACAGTCCTTCAAGTGGCTGTATATCACTGCCCATGAATGCAGCCGCAGAGATGATGCCTTGTTTGAAGATGGAGAGATAGCGCCCAAGAGAAAAATAACAGTTCCGTCTACAGCTTGTTTATGGGTCATATCTTTCTACATACTGACTGGGACTATAATGTTTGGGGCTTGGGAGAAATGGAACTATTTGGACTCGACATACTTTTGTGTTATTAGTTTGTGCAAAATTGGTTTTGGGGATTTTGTTCCGGGAGCCAATATTGCGGATTCCGCTGGAGGGTCACACTTGAAGTTAGTGATCAACTTCATTTATGTGCTACTGGGCATGGGATTGGTGGCCATGTGCTACAACCTGATGTGTGAGGATGTCAGAGTCAAGGTCAGAGAATTAAGAGATGACCTGAAAAACTGCCTGGATGATATCACATTGAAAATCACTGTTTGCATGAATGATACCAAATACTACCACCATAAACAAACCAGAAACCTGAAATGATTGAAGTTGTATTTTTTTTACAGTTTATTGATATTATTTTAAGTAAAGAACTGCATTTTTAACAGTATTTATAACTTAACTATTATATTATTTTGGTGAATGGATGATTAGTGTAGTTTTAATTATACTAAAACATGTATTATGTGCTTCTTTGTGAATAAAGTTAAATATTTTAAACATATTCTTACTGTTTCCTTATGATTGCCTGCACCTGTCCTATATGATATAAAAATGCTTATCAATAGTTTATAGGTATAGGATTAGGCTTCTTCATCTCTGCCAGTCATTGACCTTCTCGATTATGGTTCTTTAGAAGCTAAGGGCCGACGCTAAAACTAGCGCGGGTGAACGGAGTGTCACCACACACGTTTGGATACTACGTCACACGCATGCACTGTTTTTATTCATTTTTTTTATTCATTTATTCATTGCATCATGTAGTACATTGGATTACATTGTTAAATTATTTTTTTATACAGACTCGCGCGCCCGCGCGAGTTATAGCGGAGGCCCTAACTTTAAGGCCTATGCTAAACTTGACATATAATGTAAACAAATGTTTGTCATGCCGAGGCCGCACTCATTGCGATAAACCGAAGATTCGAGCTATCGCGATGTGTGTAGCCGAGTATTCGCGTATACTTCGGTCCTATTTTGCATAGTCGCAAGAACATCGCTCGGTTGTCGCCCGAATGTTATCGCGATGAGTGCGGTCTCGGCCTCAGTAATCTCACAATGCTGATCTATAGTTAAACAGCTAAAATATCCGAAATGTTATTTCCTAAGTATATTTCCTAAGTATACGACGGCTGAGAAAATATCTACTTGATGAACAGGAAAATTTGTAAACTAATATTTTTTTTTCTAAATAAGTAAATATCTTAAAAATATATAGGATTCTGAGCGACTGCAGTGGTATAGTACCGATCCCAAGTATTAGTAATACGTAGGGCTGTGGTCAATCTGGTTGTTTTTACATGACCTAGGTAGGATTAATAATACTAACACACACATGCACATATACATTACATACACAACACACACTTGAAGAGCACTGTGTTTTTTATTTTTTGTTTTGTGTAAAACTTAAATATTAATGTCTTCCCACTTGATATGGCTGCCACAGAATACCAGCGTTATACTCTAGGTCTTGACCTAGGGCATAGCATATGCTGAGTGGCTACCATTTTTGGTTCAAATTTAACTAGGTACCTACTTAGTAATTATATTGTTGTAAGTAGTCTAAGGATGTTAGGACTAAATAAAAATATTTTTCTTTCTTTCTTTCTTTCTACTGATCTGTTGTGAGAGAAATAAATAAGTAGTATTTTATTATTTATAGTAATGCGCGAGTAGCGCCGCCATGCTGCCGCTGCGGCTGCGGCGCGTGGGCGGGCACGACGGGCGCCTCAACGACGCGCTGTTCCAGCCCGCCGCGCGCCGCCCGCCCGGGGACGCGCCCCGCACGCTCGTCTACTTCGGCGGGGACGTGCAGGTGCTTAATCTCGATTGCTACTCAGACTCAAACTTGCGACTAAATTCGAATACGTTTCGCACGTTCGTTTACTTCGGAGGGGAACTAACCCACCACAACCCATGGTTCTTCCTGCCTCACGGCGTACGAACCGAATCTCGGGAGAGCGCGCGGGTACTTGCTCTGGGCTCTTTGGTTTCGGAGGGGAACTGTAGGTGCGTACTCAGAGTTGCTGATGCTAGGAAAGCTGCACCTGTCCAACGATGCGCCATGCGCCACGAACGCTTATCTTTATGGCGGGCATATTCGATGCCAGAAAAGCTGTATAGCCCGCCTTATGATGATGCGCCACAAACGCTCGCCTATTACGACAGCGGGGATATCCAGGTGCGTACTTAAAGCCCACTCGCGCTGAAACTCTAGTATGGTCAGGCTGGACTGGTGTCACTACTGATCAGGCGTATCGCACTCGAATGTACTCCCAGTCGTACGATCGTTGTACTGAAAGATACTATACTTATCAAATGTGTCTTATATTCAATTCCCTGTCTTATATTCTTGCACGTGATCTTCATTGAACTAATATTATAAATCTGTCGCCAGGACTATCCGGAGGTGATGCAGGCGCACCGCGACAACCGCAACTACGCTAAGTGGAACCTGGAGAACACTGCGCGCATGCTCAGCCTCAATTTCCCCGCCACACACATCCTCGTCGTGCGGCCCTCTAGGTAGAGAAGTGTATACACTTTTTGTTGCAATATCGGTCGTATTATACAACTGCGTAAATCATTACAGTATAATATAAATGATTGTTGCGAATTCGCCGCCCCTATCACAACTACATAAAATCTCACAGGAACAGTTTTTTTTTGACGAAAAGCATAGCCGGTACTTTTCAATTGGGTGGGAAGGTTCTGGAGTGGAGGCCTTGTACCTTAAAATGCAGCGTGATAAATCCACCCACAAAGTGGACCGACGGCCTCATAAAGATAGCAGGAAGGCGCTGGATGCAGGCCGCTACAAAACCGGGCGATATAGAAATCATTAGGGAAGGCCTATGTTCAGCAGTGGACGTCCTGTGGATGAAATGGTAATTATTTCTCAATTTTACTGGTAATGATACTGGTATCAGCTAAGTATTTATCGTCTGTCTGAATCTGAACTCTACTGCCTTCAGGATAGAGTACAAGAGCTTCAGCTGCTACGACAATTTCGTGCCCAGCAACAACGCGGGCGTGCCCGACCACACGCCTACACACAGCGCGCTTCATCACCTAGAAAGGTACAGTACCTTTACTAACAATTGTCATTGGTTTTCGACCATGTGGGTGCCTGGTACAGAGCAGACAATAAACAAATAATGTTACCTACGTAAATTAGAAACCATTTCGACTTGCTTTTCATACAGACCAATGGGATTCGAATCGAATCGAAAAAATAATTATGCTTTCAACACCTTTCTGCCTCGCGCTTGCCGTTGCTACAACAAACAATTCCAAGAATTAGACATACTTGGGTCTAATTTAAGTAAGTTTAAAAAACAGATCCGAGATTTGTCTTGTTGTGGCAACTAAATTGCAAGCGTCAGGTGATTTTTGCAGTTCGCTCCTTTATTAATTAGTTGATGATTTTTCTTTTGTCACATTGTTTACTTTTTTATGTAATATTTTTCACAACAAAATATTCATAATGGTTTGCCCAACTTTATGTGTATATTTTACTCTGGAAACTTAATTGGTTTATGTGTTGTTTTACTGCACCTAAGTTAAATTATATTATAACTGTATGTTTCCCAAAAAATAAATAAATAAAATAAATAAATAAATAAATAAATCCTATATGATTGGCATCATAGCTCAAGTACCTACCTTTAGCAGGTCGTCTATAATAATTATCTAATTGATAATGATCTTCTTATCACAGGTTACTGCAGTCAGTGACCACTCGACTAAAAGCCCTGCCCACTTCAGAATTGCTAGAAGCTGTCTCATCTATTTCGCTGCCTGAAGAAATCGACATTGAAGATTTACATGTAAGTCATCATTCAGAACTGTATTCATGAGGATTCAACAAAATTAAATGAAAATTCAGTTACATGTGATTTTAACATCGGATGTCGTAACATAACTCTGGATTGATTGAAACTAACCGATACAACTAAACATGCCCAAAAGCTCAATAAGATTCTTTCAAGTCTGAAATGTCATAACCAAACTGGTATTAAATCGAGTGTTTTTACTATATTCTGGTCTGCGAGCACGTAGAATTTTGTCCAATGACCCCATGCTTATCGCTCGCGCGTAATTATGTTGCTGTCACGCTCGCACACTCACTTCGGGCGCCCGTCGCACAGTCGCGACAGCAATATAATTATGCGCCAGCGATAAGGATGGGTAGCTTGGGGTCATTGGACAAAATTCTACGTGCTCACGGACCAGGCTTTAGTGTCCCCGTCCACGACTCTCCCAACTGTTTTGATAGTGAACCTCGGAGACGTTATTCAAAGCATCATGGACTTTATCAGCTGCAACATAAAGTATATTTGTGCGCAGAACGCGTCGATCCACGCGGCGCGAGACGGCACGCAAGAAGGCGGCGCGAGCGAACACAAGCCGTGAGTAGGTTTAGTTCCAATGGATGTCGTGAATCTTACATTACTTTGTTTTTATTCTTTATCTCATTGAGGGCTTCCCCATTGTATCTTTACTATTACAATTGTTGATGTCTATTTCACTTACCAAAAATCCGCTATGATGTCTTTAAATAATGAATTGTTTGGGTAGTTGACTTCATTATCATTACACAAGGCATTTCTTTCAATGTCTACAAACAAATGGGTTGGCGTACTGGTGTCACATCGTTCGTTTCAGCCAAACGATGTCCACTGCTGGACAAAGGCCTCCCCGTAGGATTACCACAACGCCCGGTCTTGCTGCGTTCGCATTCAGACACCTCCCGCGACCTTCACCAGATCGTCGGTCCACCTAGTCACATCATGAGTTTCTTTTCCACTGTCAATTGCTGGGCCATGAGCCCTAAAAATAAAGGGGCATAACAAATTCAACTAACATAATAATCGCCTAAATTCGTCGAGCTCTAACCCAGAGCAAACGCCTGGTGATCATAGATTTAAGTCCTACTTGAGTCGATGAAATGAAGCTAAGTTCTAGATCCCAATAACAATGTTCATTTGCAATTCAGATCTTTCATAACATACCTCTTAACTCCAGTGAGACCGACCCGCTGTGGTGGCGAGACACGCTGTCCCTGGACGAGACACGTCTGACACTCGTGGGCTTCAGCAAGGGCTGCGTGGTGCTCAACCAGCTCATCTACGAGTTCCACTACACCAAGACGCTGACGCCGGGCGACCTGCACATGATGAGGTGGGTCCAGACACACTGGAGACACTGTCTCACGCGAGACATAAATAGTAAATAACAGACCATTTTCGAGAGGCCATTAACTAATAGACCGTCCTTATCGAATAGTGACTGAGTTTCTTGCGCTGCTTCTTCTCAGCACTACTGGCCTATTTAATGTCCCGAAGCAGTGGTAGGGTTAATACTGGGACGTGAAAAAGTGCTTTTTGAAAGCCTATTTACAAAAATAAATTAATTTTTTATGAGTTTTAATTTCTGGTTTTGCTCCGCTTACTCCTTCTAAATTACAAGAGGGATTTTGGTACGGTTTTTGCAATAGTTGTCGTTTTTTGTCAAAAAATTATTAGCATTTACACAGCACACTGGCTGAACTTAAAAAAATTTCAACCAATAACATGTTTATACTCAAAATTTAGTTGCTTGAAGAAAATAGAAATGTCGAGATACCAAGCCGGACTCTCCTCTCCCATTCTCTATCTATGGTTCGTAGAGCGCGGGACCGAATGTTGTAACGTAGTAACACAGTTCGTTCACTCATTCGTTTCGAGCGTAGGTAGAGTGAGAGAACAAATGGCAGTACTCAGTTCGTTCATTCGTTCGTTCCAGCAGGGGTTGTAGAGTGAGAAAACGAATAATATAACCACAGCTCATTCAATCATTGCGATCTCCCTGCTGCCGGACTTCTTTCTCCTCTTGCATCTCCGTCAGCAGGGGTACGCCGTGACAACAGAGGGCCCCCGCTGAAATTCAGTTTCAAGACGCCCTGGCGGTCTTGATGTATGCTTGATGTTTGTCAAAGGGGCACAAGTACATAGTTATCTGTCCACTTGTGTATCTCTCTCGAATCTCATGATTTGTAAAATAGTGTTGTTTTTTATATCTATGTATAATCGACGCAGATAAACACACACACACACACACACATACATATTCTCTTGCACAATAACACTTGATATTGAACAAAACTATGTAATTAATTATAAGGTTTAATAATTGTATACATCTATTGAAGAGCGGACCCTCCAAACACAGGCATTTTTTGCTTAAATGGAGGCTCCAATCTACTTATTAACCAAAGAAACCTTGTGAACGAAATATTTTTTTTTTCTCTGCATATATCTACGTCTTGCCCGCTTGTATACCTTTCTTTCAAATAAAAAGTTTTCTATTCTATTCATTCGTTCCGTAGGTTCATCTCGCGCGTGGAGGCGATGTACTGGCTGGACGGCGGCCACGCGGGCGGCAAGAACACCTGGATCACCTCGCGCAGCCTGCTCGAGACGCTCACACGGCTCGGTAACTACCCTCATCATTATATTTATAACTACCCGCAGCAGATCTGGTCTCCATCGTAGGAGCACGACCACCTCTAATTTGCCAGAGACAAATGGAGGATTTGGCTTATACTCCTCACACTGACCAGATAGATTGGGGAGGCTTGTTCACATTATATCCCTAAGGCTGCGTTTCCGACGCGAGGTAAATGAAGCGATACTATCGGTTCTTTACAAACACATCCCTACGCATCCTCATTTCTGGTGGAAACGCAGCCTTAGTCTCCTCTTCCGATATCCACGGGAAGAGTGAGAACAGGTTTATTCATCCGCATTTTAACAATAGCATTAAGTACAGCGACTGCACATCTAATTTCCTATGTTTTTGGTTTAGATGTAAACATCTACGTGCACGTGAGCCCGTACCAAGTGCAAGACGAGGGCCGGCCGTGGATCGGACGCGAGGAGAAGGCATTCACTGGGCTGCTGAAGAAACTCGGCGCCAAGGTAAAATCACAAATCAATGTCACTGCGATGGCAATGTCGCGTAACTTTTAAAATTAAATAATCTGCGTGTCATTTTGAACTTTTGAATTTTTTTTTCATATTCATATCAACTTTATTCTTGTTCTGCTAAAGTTCCAAAAAATTACACTGAATATTGCCCGAAAAAGGTTTAGCCTTTAACCCATCGATCCCCAAGCGGTCGCATACTGTTATGTCCGCGTAACAATGGTTTTAGACATTTATTTTACAAAAAGAATACAAATTCACTTATTAGAAAAACACATTAATACATTAGGGCTGATTTTACCACCTTCGGATAACCTTCAACTGAAGAACAAACTTATCATTTTGACATATTGCCCATAGTGGAACTATCCATGTGCCATACTTATTTTCAATCATCGTAATACTAGCCCTCAATAATAAATAAGCAGCGAGTGCCGATTCGCGGGGCTTGAAGGGTTAAACTGTCCTTCACAAGTCTTATCTTTTGAAGCCGTACTAGTTTATCAAAGTTGAACTTTACGTCAAACTTGGTAGGATACAAAGTACATTAATTCTCAAAAACCATATCCCCAGATCCGCAGATACCTGCACACTCAACCAGGCGCGGCGCAGTCTCTCCAGATGCACTTCGACGTGCTCGCGCACTTTAAGCGCGTGCAGGACGCCGCGCCCGCCACGCCGCCGGACTCTGATGACGAGCACTGAACCGGCGACAACTGCGAGGTATTTAGGGCTATCGTTTTTATACTTAACAGTTGGCAACCCTGGCGANCAAAGTTGTGCCTTCGCGAGTTACCTGGAAATCGGGCTTTCGAAATTCGTTGTTTTCGTAGGCAAAAATCCAATTTGAACGAGATTTTGTCAATAGACATTCCGTAAAAACGTATGATAATTACGATGATATAAGTCAAAAGAAGCTATAACAATAAATTATATGACTAAAATCATTTCGAAATCTGCCAAATTCTCGATTTCTGCATGAAAAATGTGACAACGCTCTTAAGCTAATACATACGTATACATCCTCAAATGAACCCTAACAGGGTATTACAATATTCGGTTATTAATAAAATTATCACTATACAATACCTATTGTGCAGGACATGTGTAATATTTTTGTGAATTGATTCTTGTTGTCGACTACGCAATGAGAGTCTCAAAATATTTTCCACTGTCACTTTTCTTTCAACAAATTTTCAGGAAAATTTTCAATTAAGTATCTACCTATTCTTAAAAATCACATAACTTCGACATGGTCTTGCCCAATGCTTAGAGCAGTCACCCGCGTAGATTTGAGTCCCAGACTGCCTATTATGTGAAAAATAATTTTAGATCCCAATAATTTAGACCTTTAATAACATACCTTGTAACCCCAGTGAGACAGACCCGCTGTGGTGGCGAGACACGCTGTCCCTGGACGAGACACGTCTGACACTCGTGGGCTTCAGCAAGGGCTGCGTGGTGCTCAACCAGCTCATCTACGAGTTCCACTACACCAAGACGCTGACGCCGGGCGACCTGCACATGATGAGGTGGGTCCGGACTCCAGACACACTGGAGACACTGTCTCAGGCGAGACATAAATAGTAAATAACAGACCATTTTCGAGAGGCCATTAACTAATAGACCGTCCTTATCGAATAGTGACTGAGTTTCTTGCGCTGCTTCTTCTCAGCACTGGCCCATTTATTGTCCCGAAGCAGTGGTAGGGTTAATACTGGGACGTGTAAAAAGTCTATCTGCAAAAATAAATGAGTTCTATAAGTTTTAATTTCTGGTTTCGCTCCGTTTACTCCTTCTAATTCACAAGAGGGATCTTGGTACGGGTTTCGCTCAAGATTAATGCTTTGTATTTAACCTTTAACTGGTGACATGGTTTTTGTGTAACGTAACTGGTGACGTACGGTCTGAGAGGCCGCTACCGTATCAAGACTGTAGCATAGAAACTAGGTAAGGTAGCATACCACAATCTTTAAAAACAGATTACTAGCATATAGAAGAATTAAATTGAAATAAAATAATAAACTCTAAATATCATTTTTAATGCAGAACTTGCTGTTAAATTATATGTAGTAATAAAAATAAAAAAACTAGAGATGAGATCGATAATCGCAAATAAAGAAATTTAAATCAACAAATTATAACAAAATTAGTATTTTTTATTATAGTTCCAATGATAATCAATTTAAAAAAATCTATCACACATAGGTAACCTATCATTTTAGAAAACTGGCAGTGGTGAAACTTTTGTATTTTTTATTGGCTGTCAGGGCATTTATTGTTTGGCATAAAGTGGACCGTCATTTTCACTTTCTGGCTGATTCTCGTCAATTGGTCCTTCATATTCAAAAACACTTTCTTCGGCTTCCGAATCATGGTCACTTTGCTCCTGAACGATGTTTTCAGGAACATATTCGGCTTCCGACCCAATTGAGTCTTCCTTTTCCGGATATTTTTCAACTGGCGAATTTTCAAGTCGTTTCATAAAGTATGGCACTATATTCCCAACTAATGATCCTACGCTTCTTTTTTGGAGTTATTTAAGTATCAATCGCAAGTAAAAACTGTAAAAATACGAAAAAACTGTATGAAAAAAATGTCACGTAACTGGTGACATGCGGTCTGAGAGACCGCTGCTGAACTTTACATCGATGTAACTTGCCGATTTGGAGCTGAATGATGCAAATATCCTTATCTACGGCGTAGACACAACTAAACTTGAAGCTACTGAAGCGGTGAAACATGGGAAGTACGGGGAAGGGGGTGAAACGATGTTTCGCTGACGCCGCCCGGCCTGTGAGACCGCTTGTCACCAGTTAAAGGTTAAGTCATTTTTTTGTCAAAAAATGCGTTTTAGTACGCTTACGTGGCGGGTAAACCAAAAAATTTTCAACTAATAAGATGTTTATACTGAAAATTTAGTTGCTTGAAGAAAATGGAGATACTAAGCCGGACTCTCTTCTCCCATTCTCCATCTATAGTTCGTAGAGCGCGAGACCAAAATTAAATGGTGTTACGTAGTAACACAGTTCGTTCACTCATTCGTTTCGAGCGTAGGTAGAGTGAGAGAACAAATGGCAGTACTCAGTTCGTTCATTCGTTCGTTTCAGCAGGGGTTATAGAGTGAGAAAACGAATAACATAACCACAGCTCATTCAATCATTGCGTTCTCCCTGCTGCCGGACTTCTTTCTCCTCTTGCATCTTTGTCAGCAGGGGTACGCCGTGACAACAGAGGGCCCCCGCTGAAATTCAGTTTCAAGACGCCCTGGCGGTCTTGATGTATGCTTGATGTTTGTCAAAGGGGCACAAGCAGTTATCTGTCCACTTGTGTATCTCTCTCGAATCTCATGATTTGTAAAATAGTGTTGTTTTTTATATCTATGTATAATCGACGCAGATAAACACACACACACACACACACACACACACACACACATACATACATACAAATACACACACACACATTCATATTCTCTTGCACAATAACACTTGATATTGAACAAAACTATGTAATTAATTATAAGGTTTAATAATTGTATACATCTATGGAAGAGCGGACCCTCCAAACACAGGCATTTTTTGCTTAAATGGAGGCTCCAATCTACTTATTAACCAAAGAAACCTTGTGAAAGAAATATTTTTTTTTTCTCTGCATATATCTACGTCTTGCCCGCTTGTATACCTTTCTTTCAAATAAAAAGTTTTCTATTCTATTCATTCGTTCCGTAGGTTCATCTCGCGCGTGGAGGCGATGTACTGGCTGGACGGCGGCCACGCGGGCGGCAAGAACACCTGGATCACCTCGCGTAGCCTACTCGAGACACTCACACGGCTCGGTAACTACCCTCATCATTATATTTACATTATAACGACATTTTCTTTGCAAAACAGTGCCCCGATTACGCTAATATTTAACGTTTCCAATACATACGCACTTCTTCTCCAGTTGCGCTCCGTTTTTCAATCCAGCTGAGGTGCAAATTCGGTATCACGGTAATGGACGTACCTACCTAGTATTTTCATTGTCACATGAGATATTTAGCTTTACGTTTACGTCTATGCTTCGTTTCAACTAGCTGTCAAAACGACACCGCGATACGGATTTGTCAAAACAGCTGATGTTCGTTCGTCGTCCGGGCACGTTAAAGATAAAAAAAATTTGCGTAATCGGGGCCCCAGTTTTTATTAGAACAGCACATAACTTATTGCAAACTTACTGCAATAGTTGAGGTGTGCAGAATGATGTTTTTGTTACGTCATATCGTCAGCGAAACTTCAGACAAGTGTATGCTGTGTTGCCTTGCCATGTCACCCCTCCCGCACCGTTGTACGCAGAAAGCAACTCAGCTTTGCACTATGCCTGAAAAAGATGCCAAAATGTGCAGTCATGACATTCTACGTTTCAAGTTATTGTTACACGGAATAAGTCTATATTAAATTTATTTGTTTAAGATGTGAACATCTACGTGCACGTGAGTCCGTACCAAGTGCAAGACGAAGGCCGGCCGTGGATCGGCCGCGAGGAGAAGGCCTTCACTGGGCTGCTGAAGAAACTCGGCGCCAAGGTACACAATAATGTCACTGCGAGTGCAATGCCGCGTAACTTTTAAATAATCCGCGTGTCATTTTGAACTTTATTCTCTTTCTGCTAAAGTTCCAAAAAATTACACTGAATATTGCCCAAAAAGGTTTAGCCTTTATCCCATCGATCCCCAAGCGGTCGCATACTCGTATGTCCGCGTAACAATGGTTTTAGACATTAATTTTTCAAAAAGAATACAAATTCACTTATTAGAAAAACACAATAATACACTTAATAATAATAAACAGCAAGTGCACGCAGCTGATTGACTAATCTATTGTCCCAATTCGCGGGGCTTGAAGGGTTAAACTGTTCTTCACAAGTCTTATCTTTGGAAGCCGTACCACAGAATAATAATAAGTACTACGTACAGAAGTTTTACTTCGCGAAGGTATTTAAAAAATGTATGCTCAATGTCATTAACAATATGGTGTAATTTAGCCTGTCTCAAGAGTTAAGCACCATTTTGTTGACAAACGTCAGTGATCGGCACTGCGCCGAAGCTATAGGGCTGACTTCGGTAAAATGATGTGACGTGAGGTGCCAAACTGCGGAAAATGGCGGAGTAAATACATGAATCAGCATGAATTATCATGAATAATATTAACTACTTATTTACTTCTCAGTGTCTTGAGCCAACTTAAAAATGTACATTCTGTTTTTATTATTATTTAGGCAGTTAAATACTGCACAGTATTTAGTACACCATTTTCTTTATTTTCTTCCATCACATACACAAGAATACACGTGCGTGAGTCACTGTTCGCTCGTATGTGAGGCCTTGTCAAATAGTATCCTGTAGGTGGGCATCGTGCGTGTTTTGTTTTCGATGTAAACTCGCGGAGATGAACAGGCCTGGCCGTACTAGTTTATCAAAGTTGAACTTTACGTCAAACTTGGTAGGATACAAAGTACATTAATTCTCAAAAACCATATCCCCAGATCCGCAGATACCTGCACACTCAACCAGGCGCGGCGCAGTCTCTCCAGATGCACTTCGACGTGCTCGCGCACTTTAAGCGCGTGCAGGACGCCGCGCCCGCCACGCCGCCGGACTCTGATGACGAGCACTGAACCGGCGACAACTGGAGGTATTGAGGGCTATCGTTTTTATACTTAACAGTTGGCAACCCTGGCGATTGACAGGACCTCACTCTACAGTGGCGCCATCTTGATGAGTGCAAATGCGATAGTCCTCCTACCACTTTAGCGCTCACAAGTTGGTGCCACTGTCTTCGCTACTAGCAATTGACAGGACCTTACTCTACAGTGGCGCCATCTTGATGAGTGCAAATGCGATAGTCCTCCTACCACTTTAGCGCTCACCAGTTGGTGCCACTGTCTTCGCTACTAGCAAGTGACAGGACCTTACTCTACAGTGGCGCTAACTGGTGAGCGCTAAAACGATAGCCCTCATTCACGTAAAGCAGTGTTTTTCAACCTTTTTCATACGTTTTATAATATTGCAAAGATGTTTGTAGAGACCGAATACTTCAATCCATACAACATTTGCATAATTAGATTTCGGATTAATCTGTCTTTATAAGAATTATTTTTTACTGAAGTAGTTTTTACGACCTCTCGCGACCCCCCTATAGAGGACCCTCCTGGGGGGTCGCGACCCACAGGTTGAAAAACACTGACGTAAAGCATGCAATACACGTTGGCCGAGCTTAGGCCAACGCGAGCGTAGTCAAATTAGTACAAGGCAAGTGGTACTGCCTTGACGTTTGGCAAGTTTGTCGAAAAACAATGTAAAACATACGTGAACAAACATGTGAACATTTTGGAGTGCGCGCGAGCGCCTTTAATTTGTGCCGATAAACCGACAACGTTCCGAAGTGCGGCAAGTGGTCACAAGTTGTAACAAGCTACGCCAAGTGAGTTCTATACACGTTGGCGGTTGACTATCTCGGCCAACTAGGCGAGCGACACCGAGCGACGGCAAGACAATGCAAATATACTGTGTACACCTTGGTATTGCCGTTCACTCGGCGATGCTCGTCCAACGTGTATTGCAGGCTTAAGAAAGTACAGGGGGCGTAGTGTGAGTTTACGTCAATAGATTTTAGTTCTTGAAAGTTTCCGCTAGGGGCGCTGTACAGTCCGTAATACATAATGTCACTTTTTAATGCAGTCTATAACGAATGCGTTTCACGTAAACTTACGCTACGCCCCCAGATGGGCGATTGTGAATGATATTATTCGATTGTAGAAGTCATTCGAATAACCTTACGAATTCATTCGATTGTTCCTTCGAATATCAAATTAAATTAGACTTTATTTTGCGAAAGAGACCAATTTTGTATTGCAATGTATTCACATTCATTCATTCAAATGAACTAGCGGTTTCATTCGACTAGCAATCGATTGTTTTTGTATTCAATTGTTAATATGAGTAGTATCAAACCATTTGATTGTTGAAATCGATAACAATCGCCCATCTTTGTAAGAGAGCATAATATCCGCGCTAATAGAAACTGTAATTATTTCTCTCGCATGCGGCTCTTTCGATGTAAAGTTGCAGCTCTTCAGTTGTAAAAATGTGTGTGTTGAACTGCTAATCATGTTCACAACAATGTTTGTATTGAACAAAACGTCCAATTAAATTGCTAAATAGTTTTGGAATCAGTCACAGGTGCATAAATTACGCAAAATAAAAACTACGATAAAAAAGAAACAACAAAAATCTCCAGAAAAAGATCCCCGAATCGAAATAATGAAGAGAATGTATTCCAAATTTTTGAAAACCCATGTAAAATAACCCCGTTTTCTTCGTAGGCGTGGTCAATCCCTTTCTATAAACATGCCAAACTAGTTGTAAATCCAGGTCTGTTTTTACAAAATAGGTATTTTCATCCGCATAAACTTGAAACATTCATAAATAAATAGGTTAAGAAGTTGTTCATGAACTGGACATTGATTTTTAGTAGAGCTCAAACAATTTGACAAAATCGGTCCTCGACCAAGGTGTATAAGGTGGTTTTCCAATAATAGATTGTTATTTATACATTTTAAATGTTGTACTATGCAACTATGCAGTGACGTATGAATTTCTGAATGTCTGTGCCTGCTATATTAATTTCACAGCTTCATTCTCCAGCAAAAAATACTAAAATATAGTTTTAGAGATAGTAAACAATCTCAAAATTGAGAATAAATGTTATTTATTGACTAACATAATAAATATGCCATTGTTGGAGCGTTGCTTTCGCGTGCGGTGAGTTATGATGGAGGCAACGGTTAATTATAATGTAGAATTTATATGTAATACATTTTATGTAATGTAGTAGTAATCCTAATCACAAATGTGAATTTTACTGGTATCAGGACGAAGCTCAGGGTATTATTGAGCACAAAATTATATGAAGTATGTAAAAGGGTCGCTTTTGTCTTTTCACACAATATTAGATTGAATGGCAATTACGAACCAATGGGATCTTCATTTTAGTATCTTATAAATTAATATGCGAGTGTCCAACATTTTTAAGAGTAGAGCGTTCAAGATACCAGTTTTATACAATTTTCGTAGCGTATGCCATATTGTCCAATAACGGATTTTTACATCATTGAAAGTAATGAGATAATTGGTGTAAATAAAAATTGAAACAAATTAAAATTATTTTACTAAAGTAATTTGGCGTTGTGATTTTAAAAATGAGATTCAATTAAAAAGTTTTATTAGATGTATAAATAGGCCTAAAATAAGAAAAATATTTGAAGCTACTTTGTGAGTGTTATATTTTTGTTTAATATCTCATTTTTTACAATTATTTCTAAAATATTAAAAAGACTCCATATTGTGTGTATAAAACATTAATTGTTATTAAATGATAATACATTTCTAAAATGTATACTAAGTTGTAAAAAATCAAATTAAATCCATTGATTTTATTATTTCAATTATAAATGTATTCACATTTATTTAACTTATATCAAGTATCACAAATGACATTATTTTAGTGTTAAATTTAAATACTATCAATGTGTGAGGATACCTGCAAGTATTTTAGCGGTAGTATTTGTGTATAGTGTAAATAAATCAGCTTGGACAACGCTTTCATGAAGATTGATCTCAAGTTAATCTATATGGCTATGTATTTTGAAAATAAACCTATTTTGAATGTACTGATGTAGTTTTTTTCCTTATCTATGTAAAAAATAACGGACCAATTAACCTCTATGTGTTTACAATTTCTATGACAATGTTTTTATTATTTAGGAAAACAGGTAGAGAAATAATAGAGCAAATTCCAATTTTAACATTTTATTGGATAATTCTTTAACCAAAAGTAGAAAATAAACCCGCAATAAGTAGTTTCTATAACGAAAACACACACATCCAAGACTATCTTAGGAATTACATTGCATTTTCCAGGAGCATCAACACTGCTAATCAAAGATAGAAAATAATTCTTTGGGAATACATCTCTATCAATACTCGTAGGGCTAAGAACTCACTGTCTATAATTTAACAATTTGTAACGTAGAAACTTCATGTGTGAATTTTATAATGCCTTTTCACGCGTAAGAAGTCGCGGGATCATCTATGTAGTATAATACATAGCGACGAAGAATATAATGTCAGTCACATAAGTGATGTTGAAACCTTATAACTACTATCACTGGTAGCTCCTGGAAACGCGACAATATGGCGAACGGGTTCGTGGACTAACAGGAATGATTCCGAGATCTCATAAAAATTACATCGATTATACTGTTACCTTACATTTACGAGAACACATTGTTATACAAAGAGATGCGCAGCACTCCCCAAGTCACTAGCGTACATTGAAATAATTAGGCAAGTGTGTTGTATACAGCATTTCATTCAAACAATCTATAAGTACATTATAAGATACGGGAATTCCATGTTTGCCTTGTGAACTAAGTTAACCCCCTTATGCATAAAAGCAACAAAAGGAGGTAAAATACATAATAATTCCCTTGCTCAATTATATCAATATACGTTCTTGTGTACCTTTCCATAGCGTTTGATTTTGTTTTTTATCTGATTTTATCACAAGTGCGTACACACATTACACACGCTGTAACATAAATAAGATCTTTGTATGGAGAACTTATGTACTGGACAAACATTTTACGAATGAACAGGCCAACTGTTCACAATTACTTATTATTTTTTACATTACATTTTGCTGAATAGGGGTGTTGACTGTACTCAATTAAACTTCGTACTGGAACGTGAATGAATAAGAGCCAAGAGTTGATGCCATCTACTCAAGAAAAGATTTTGTATCTGTATAAGCTAGTCGCGCTGACGACTTGCGATTTGTTTTTATTTATTTATTAATAAATAAATAAATGTTTTCACCTTAACTTTAGTAGCGCGATCCATACAGATGTTTTTGTACTGCTCACGAGCAAATAAATAATCAACACTATGTAATAATAAAAGTTGGAACTTGCTCTGTAACCACCTATTTAAGGCAAATAAATGAATATTATTATTATTATTTATTTTTCGCATCTTTCCTCCACCTTTTTAAGATGGGTTATTACATCTGTTATGCGGGCCTCAGCCAAGCATATTATTATTATTGCTAACTAGTTTGTACACTCTTTACTAGTTGATTGAGTGACGTCACTGCAGTTACGTCACTTGTACGGGTTTTTTTTTTCAATTCAAAATACAGGATTCAACACCCCTATTGATTGCAAAGTAGAAAAAAAATTGATCGATAATGTTTGGTGACGTGAACAAACCTAAAGATACATTTATATTGCTGCGTAGCGAGCGACATTGCATGAGACCATCGAGAGATGAGGCTCGGTTTGAGACAAGTATAGCGTGACATGTGCCCTAAGCACGAACGATTCTCGTGATCGTTTAAGTAAGGCCCGGTTTCCACCAAGGCGGAGCGGAGAAATGTTTTGAATAACCAATCAGATTGTATTATTTCCACATCTTTTCTCCGCTTCGCTTCGGTGGAAATAGATAGAGCGGAGAAGAGAAATCTGTGTGTTTTTATATAGAATTTGACAACAGCGGCGGCACGGTGCGGTGTTTCTTTCTTTTTCATGCATGACAAGGCAGGTATTTGACCGCAATCGTACCTGGTGTTAATTGAGATGCAGACACAAATGGTACATATCTGCCCTGTAAGTGCCTATTCACTCTTGCCTTGAAAAGGCCCGGATTATAGTGTTCAGGAATGACAGCAGTAGTCAGCGAATTCCAGACATAGACAGCAATACTATGCTACACACAGATATCTCTCGTCTCGTCTCCGCTCTGCCTTGATGGAAACCGGTCGAACTATACTGGTCATCAGTGGCGGATTTACCAATAGGCCAAGTAGGCCAGTGCCTAGGGCGGCAGATTTAGAGGGGCGGCAAATTTAGCTATTTTTTTTTCACAGGAAAAAATATATATTATACGTTTACCTACACAATCCATATATAAATAAACGATTAATAAACGCACTGTAATATATACTTATGTGATCATGAATTTTAAAATATTTCAATAGCGTTTCAATAAAAATAAAATAAAAAACTAGTAACACAGGATCTCCGGAGCCTAGCACGAGCACCATCTCTCCACAACTTCGTGTATATTGTTTTACAGGGTGGCCCAGAAGAAAATTCACTTTTGAAAATTCAAGGAAACGAAAACTGTACATTTTTGTAGAACTTTAGCTATTGCAATTTAAAGGAAATTTAGTGCAATTTATTTTAAAATTTACTTTCTTTTATAAATTTTATCGTACATGTGATTCCCTTGACGTTTACAACATTCGGTCAACATACATCAACATTTTGGAAAACTTTCGTAAGCGCTCCTGCACACGACGCCGCCGCCGCGCCCGTCGCCGCGCCTTTGCACTGTTTATGCTATTACGCGCCGCGTGAACACCGCTGCCGCGCAGCCGCCGCGCCGCGCGCGAAATTATACTTTGATGGCGCGGTGGCGGCGCGGCGGCGGCGCGGCGGCGGTTTTACTCGGTGCTTATGAACAGTGTAGCGGCGCGGCAGCGGCGCGGTGGCGGCGTCGTGTGCAGGAGCCCTTAGGCCTCAGCCTCGAATTTAGCGGGCAGCGGCGCGGGAGCGGCGGCGGCGCGGGATTGGGGCGGGCAACGCAGACCCGTTCTCGAAACAAGCGGGCAGCTCGCGCGGCGCTTTAGCGGCGAAGTGTTGTGTTCGGGGTTGTGTTGTCGAGATATTTGTTTTTATTCGCAAACGAAATGTCTGAACAACGGCGACAATTTTATTTCGATTCAAATTTATTCCTAACGCTCGATTTATTGTGGGAAAAAGAAGGAGTGCGCTGCCCGCTCGTTGCCCGCTCCCGCGCCGCTGTTTTCGAGAACCGGTCTATTTGATTTTACGCATAAGATCCTGCCGCTCCCGCGCCGCTACCGCCGCCGCCCCGCTGCCCGCTAAATTAGAGGCTGAGGCCTTAGAGTTACCTCAAAATGGATTCGGGATGGATGAATGCTGCAGAGTTTTTGGATTATTAGAGTATACTCTGCTCATAAGGTAACCCCACAAAAAGAAGTCTGCTGGAATGAGATTAGCGCTTAGAGGCAGTGAGATTCCACCACTGCTTAATTGGTTTGTTGCATTGAAAGGATGATTAATTTTTGAGAGCGCTATACTGGTAGGCTGAAAAGGTTTTTGATTTCAAAGCTGCAAGATTCGCAAGGTTATGACCGGAGCGCTTGGTTTCATCAAGATCGGGCTACGTGTCACACTTCAACTGAGAGCATTTAGATGGTAAGAGACATGTTCCCACAAAAAAATAATTTCAGGCAGGGGTGACATCTCCTGGCCACCAGGAAGCCCTGATCTCACTCCAGAAAATTATTTTTTGTGGTTTTACATTAAGAATAGAGTATACTTTTATAATCCAACAACCATGCAGCAACTGAAGCTGATCATTCGACAAAAAATTTAAAATAGGTTTCAAGGTAATTCTGACGAACGCATTCAAAGATTTTGATGTATGATGATCGAATGTTGTAAGCGTCAAGGAAATCTCCTGGGCGATGTTATTTAATAAAGGTAAATTTAAAAACAAATTGCATAAAATTTTCTTTAAATTGCAATAGTTAAAGTTCTATAAAAAATGTAGGTACGTTTTCGTTTCCCCACCTTAGGATTAGTACATACTGCTGTTTTTAGGTCAACATTAAACTCTTCAGTACATAGCGGGTTGCAATAATTATTAACTGACAGAAAAATATCATTAAGTTCACAATCATAGTAATAACGGGATTAAACTAACGTATTGAATTTCAAAAGTCAGTAGGTAGGGGCGGCAAAAATTGAATGGCCTACTAGCGGCAAATTTGTAAATCCGCCACTGCTGGTCATTACAAAAATCGGCCCACCTACGTGTTACAGGAAAACTCGTTTCTACTGACACAATCATGGTGCCCCAACAATATAGGTGTTTTTTGAAAGCCCAATAAATATCCTTAAAGAAAAACACATTTAATTTCTTAATAAACGATTAACATAAACGCGATATACAATAAATGTAACTTGAAAAAAGACCTCACTTTGGGCTCACCTCTGGGATCAATTAGACCAATTTTTATGGTTATAAAACCAAATAATGATCTCACGTGTCCTCTTTAACAGATGGATAGCGATTAATCCCAACTTAACAGTTATATAGCCATAAAAGTTGCCCAAGCGTAACTACCTATTTTTTGAAGAAGTGACTGGATTCTTCTACAGACACATTTTGGGGTAAAAACCTTTCCTTTAATGAAATGAAGTTTAGAACTAGGCTTTTAAATAGTGTCAATATTGGTGGGAAGTGGGGATGCATACGTTTGAAAGTGCTTGTCGCGGGAGGGTCGATTTTTGTGATGACCAGTGTATTTGACGCTATATAATAAGTCATATTCCTTGTGAAACCGTAGCAGTGCTGTTTTGTTTATCATACAAAAAAAATGTTTTGTTAGTGCTTTGAGTATTGTAGTTTAGACCGTATCATGCAGTCGCCCGGCACCCAGCATCCGTCCTTCTCGCTCCTCACATGTTCTGGAAGCGGCCGTCCTTGTCCAGCATGAGGATGTTAGGGTTCTCCTTCTCGAAGTCGGTGGGTTTCCGCGCGCGCATCTGGTCGGTCCACTCGCCCTCGCCGGCGCCCCATTCGCCGACTTTCTCGCCGATGACGTCAACTTCTTCTTTAGCTCTTATCTTCTCCAGCTGGAAAGGGATATTGGTTTAGTTAGAAGATCATTGGTTCTCAAACTTATTTGAGAAGCTCCCCCTTTCGACCATACAAAAAATTCCGCGCCCCCCTCNACACGCTCGCACACACACACACACTCACACTCTCATATCATTGTATTTTTGTGGTATTTTTTATTTTATATTTTGTTTAGCCTGTCTATTTAATTAGAACTCAACACTCTGTACCTCTAGGAATCTTCTAATTATTTAAATGTATAACTATTTAATAAAATAGATTCCGCAGAGTGGGCCTGGTGACCTGTAATACAGATTTTCTTAAAATCTACAATAGGCACCAGCTCTCACAATGCAATCTATAGTTTAACGGATATATTATAAGAAATGTTTCATAATTTATGTTGTGAGAGAAATAAATAAATAAATTATTATTATTATTAATTATTAACTAACACGACTTTCTTTTATATATATAGAGTACACAGATGGCCCGCGCCCCCCTTTAAAGGTCTTTGCGCCTCCCCTGGGGGGCGCGCCCCCCACTTTACAGTACAGGCAGCGACCAATAGTTTGTGACACCCCAAAAAGTTAATGACACAACCTATTCCAATCGTAACAAAGATGTCTTGCGAAATTTTTGGCTACTTTGGGTGTTATGAACTATTTGACGCTAAATGTACTCAAACAATGAAACGCGCGCGGGCGCCACTATGAACGCTCGAATGAGATTTAATATGTTAGAGATTGAAGTTGAAACTACTACAAACTATCTGGTGAAAAGTCGAGGAAGTCCATGGGGGAAGCTTTTGTCCAGCAATGAAAAACACTAGGTTAAAACGAGGTTGTTAGCCAATCAATTTTTGCAGTTCTTATGAGCTAACAAAACGTGATTCTCATATTATTTCTATGACAATACAAGCTGATGACGTCACTTTTTTATAACGACTTCTTTTACCACTAGATGATAAGTGTCTGACAGCCTATCAGGAACTAACATGACAGATAAACTACAATTAATGTTAATTATGTTTTAGTTCCACAGATCACGCACAGAGATATCTGGCAGAAGTCACAATTCCTAATCATTAGCAACTATTTGTTAGTCCATCTGAAGCAAGTCCGCACACGTCCAGAACCGCCCACCATTCCTAATCATTAGTAACTGTTACTATTTTTTAGTCCATCTGAAGCAAGTCCACACACGTCCAGAACCGCTCACTATTCCTAATCATTAGTAACTGTTAACTATTTGTTAGTCCATCTGAAGCAAGTCCACACGTCCAGAACCGCCCTAACCTGTTACCTCCGAGTCGTGCTTGGCGAACTTGTCGAACATATTAGCATACAGCTGCTTGTCCTTCTGCCGCTGTTTCTGCACGGCGGCGCGGCACACCAGGACCTGGTTGGCAGCGGCCTGGAAATATTCGATTATGACCTTTATTTCTTTGGGAATACGAGTTGAATTTGAATCTGGAATTTAGTTATTCTGTAGCATGCTATTGGGTACGGGTAGTACCCAACGATTTTCAGGTTGACTCATACGTTTTGGAGCGCTTTAAGCAGCTGAGCGATTATAATAAATAACATAGTAGATTTCATTATGAAATCTATTTGTTTAGGGATACAAGCTGGAATAGATATGGGAGTTTAGTTGGTTCTTAACCTTATAATCTGGCTTTACTGAGGCCAGGTTTTCACCAAAGCGAAGAAGAGATGTGCTTGAATATACAATCAGATTTCTGAATTGTATCTGAGAGGAGAGGTGATGTGGAAATAACGAAATCTGATAGGTGATTCAAAGACATCCGTTTTTCTTTCCATTGGGTGGAAAACGAGCCTTACACCGCAATTTTCTGGAAGTCCTTCTCCATTGTCAGATTCATCCAGTTACAGCAGAGATGTTTTTTCCACAAGACAGTTTCATGATAATGACCAATTCGATCTTCAACTACACAATCTTCTGAAAATTTTCGACCACTTTCTGGCTCTCCCAGCCCTATCAGTTATCCCTTTACCCAGTCCCTTTACAATGACCAAATCAATCTTTATCTTTTTTGGTAGCAAAAAATCTAACCTTATTCTGGGGCTCCAACTCCACAATCTTCTGGAAGTCTTTCACAGCTATCTCAGCCTCTCCCAGGCCCAGTAGTGCTTGTCCCCTACGGAACAGTCCCTTAACGTTGGTCTCGTCAATCTTTAGCGCCTTGTTGGCGTGATCCTTGGCCTCGAAGTGGTGTACAGGTGTGACCTTCAGGTAGACCAGGGAAAGGTTCAGGTGCGCGGATAGAAGTAGTTCTTTGGCTTGGGTTTTGTTCTCTTCTTTTTCGCTGCTGTCTTCTGGCATGTCTGTAGGTAAAGGGCACAAATTAAAACTAGTTTCTTTGGTCCTTATGATATTAAGGACATTTGTAAAGGAGGATGGATGTATAATTCTTGTTGTTGTCGAAACAAACTATTTACTCAATACAGTTAAAACTGTGTAATATAATAATATCTCAAGATTGCTTACGCCCATATTCACAAACATTACTATGAGGTCTCACAGTGCGAATGGACGCACAGGGTGACACACGAAACAATCACAGAGCTCTATTCAACGCTGTGCATTCGATTTGCTGCTTCACTTAAGCAAGCATCGTTTGTGAATATCAAAGCTTGGCAAAGCACTTGTAGTGTATGCAAAAAATAAAATTCAACTTACCATCTAGCAAACTGATAACCCTCTTGTACATTTTGATGGCCAACTGGAATTTGCTTGCTTTGAAGTAGTTTGTGCCCTTCTCTTTGAAGATTTTGGCCTGTTCCAGCTTTTCTGAGCCTTCCATTGACCACGACTCTTTGGCTTTCTCGAAGTTCGTGAGTGTGACGGTGTATTCTACTGCGGAATTCGGAGGCACGCCTAGTTCTGCGTTTCCCTCGGATTTGAAGGCGTATTTGGGCTGGATGGTTATCCTGGACTTTTCTCCCTTGAGGAACTTCTCGAGGGCTCGCTCGATGCCCTCACAGATGTTGTTCTCGCTGCCTTCGCCGAGGTGGAACGTGACTGTTCTGGTGTCGAATATTTTGCCGTCAGCCAATAACTTGCCCTCGAGCTCAACTGTAAGATGAAAGGTAAAGGTATTTTTGTAACGAATGTGGCGACGATTTTAAACCTAACTTACTTTGCTGGACTTGCTATCTTGTTAGGTATGTGAAATTATTATCATAGTAAACTTGCGCAAACGCAAATGACGTTTTTGAAAGAATGAAAAAGACAGTTNTAGACTTTATTGAACACAGTAAGCACAAATTATAAACAATAACAACACAAAACGAATATAGAAAATAGTGGGCCACTGTGTCAATAGGCTCCCGCTCAGCATCAGCATTTTTGAAGATATTTTAATGATCAAATTTAAAAAAAGAGATTAATAACGAATGTTAAATAAACATGTTTTTCGTAGCAGAACTTCACGTGGATGTATAATATTTCAGGACGAAGAAATTTAAACTTCTCCATTTACATAATCTAAAAGATGTATCAAATAACAGCTTTCTAGTCGCGATTGTATTATGGCGTCCAGCGTATCGCTGTACGTCGTATTATCTTACAGAGGTTATTGAGCGTGAATTTTCGTCTTTCTCGAATGTATGTTTAACTATTTTAAAATTGGAATATAATCAACAATTCACTCACGAAATATTAAAATAGTTGATTATATTCCAATTTTCTCCCTAAGAAAAGTTGATTTCGAAAAAAGTAAATTCTTTTTGTACTTTTTAAGAAAATCCGTAAACGAACTAAGGTCGCTGACATAGCCCGACAGATTAGCAAGCTAAAGTGGAAATGGGCAGGGCATATAGTACGCAGAACTGACGGCCGATGGGGCAGCAAGGTTCTGGAATGAAACCGGAAAACGCAGCGTGGGACGTCCACCCACAAGGTGGACCGACGACATCGTAAAGGTAGCAGGGAAGCGCTGGATGCAGGCCGCTACCAATCGATCAACGTGGAAAGCATAAGGGGAGGCCTATGTTCAGCAGTGGACGTCCTATGGCTAAAAATGATGATGATGATGATGATGATGATGATGATGAAGAAAATAGCATTCATATTAGCTTTACCTGTGACCAACGCGCCATCGTTGGGGCTGTCGAAGCCGGATCCCTGCTCTACGATGTGCCGCAAGATGCCTTTGTTCTTGTTCGGGCTCAGATCCTCCACTTTCCAGTCGATCATTTCAATCTAAAGAACACAGTTTAGTTAATATTACATTTGAAGTTTGATGAAAAATATTATGGGAAAATCCTGATAGCACGCACTTTTACGGAAAGGAAATTGTGGTGTGTGGTAAGATTACAAAACCGCATTTATGATAATGGCAATTACTTATTCTGTGATAATGGCTAGGAAAAAATATTAACAAATAATACTGAAAAAATCGGGAATCTCATGTCTATGCAGCAAGAGGTGATATTTTATAACGTTTTTTTGAACAGTCCAATAATACTGCAAACCTTAACAAACGCGATTTCTTATAAAATTAAGATTGAAATCTTGATCCTCATTAGAACCCTTCAATTAATTTCAAACCAAGGTCTATCTGCATTATTATCTAATGTAAAAAAAAACAATCATCCCTTTCAAATCTCACCCATACAGAGCCATCTTACCTCAAACTGCAGGGTGGCATTGGGCGGGATCTTGGGCGGGCTGCCGGCGGCTCCGTAGGCGTACTCGGGAGCGCAAGTTAACACGCACACCTCGCCCTTTTTCATCGTCGCCACGCCCACATCCCACGCCTTGATCACCGAGCCTGGAGAAGAAGTAATGTATAGTCGACGTCTCAATCGTCCAAGAACTTTGTACAAGATCTGCACTACCTATTTATGACTAGTGTGTTTTTATTATTAGTGTGACTTCTTGTCATTGTCATTACCAAACTATAATATTATGTATAAGCTATGTACTTAGTTTTTCATTGGTTGCAATAATCGTTTTTTCTTTTGCATTTTGTAGCTTGCCGAATTTTTACTGCACTGTAAAACTTTGCCGCAACCCTAACATCATTTATACATTAAGTAATAGTTTAATTTTGTCGAAGCTCTGCAATTTACTACTTTAGATCCTATCTGTGGACAATGGTGCTGGTTGCATTGTTACAAAATTTTCAAATTATTAAGATTTAGTACATAAGCCCTCAATGTAACTGTTTGTTGTCCCAAATAAAGAAAAAAAAAAGGCTGTAAAGGCTAGTGCTGGGGAAAACTTCTCCATTTTCTTGACCCAGCACTCCCAGACTATATGTCTATCCCCCCGACCCACCAAGAGCAGGCTTCTTTACCGCCTTGGTGGGTCAATCCGACGGGTAACTCCACCCATTCTTGGAAGTTGGCACGCCTGTCGGACCCAATTGACGACAAAGTGAAAAAAATTTGTGTCACTAGCGTAAGTATAAGTTAGTTGTAATAGTTCATGTAAGAACATCCCTCCTATAATAAAAATCACCAAATGAGTGGCTAAAATGGACGAGAAAAAAAACAAACAGCTTCTTTCTTCCATCGTCCAAAGTCGTATTCTCGCTTTCTTTGGCATTATCACACAACAACACGTCTGTTGAACGACTTGTCGTGCAGGGATAGTTCATAAAGGCACAAGAGCGCGCGGCAGGTCACCCAAGCGCTGGACCGATGACAAAACCGCACTCATTGGTCCACTCCACGAGTGTACAAGAAAGCCAGCAATGTGACAACCACGACCACTCTGCCAAGAGTACCAACGAAGAAGTAGAGTCGACAACTCATCTAGGAACTTTTTAGTTGCTAAATAGCTCCTATTACTGAATCAGATGCCTGTCTTAAGGTAGTAGATGTGTCGTCGTCTGTATTACATCTACACTCAACATCAAATAAACCGCACCTTCCGCGACGCGAACTTTAAAGATTTTCTTCTGACACAATCATGGTGCCCCAACAATATTGGTGTTATTTGAAAGCTCAATAAATATCCTTAAAGAAAAACACATTTAATTTCTAAATAAATGATTATCATATACCATAAATGTGACTTGAAATGAGACCTCACTTTGGGCTCACCTCTGGGATCAATTAGACCAAATTTTATGGTTATAAAACCAAATAATGATCACACGTGTCCTCTTTAACAGATGGATACCGATTAATCCCAACTTAACAGTTTTATAGTCATAAAAATTGGCTCAAGCATAATAGCCTATTTTTTGAAGAAGTGACTCTGGATCCTTCTAAAGACACATTTTTGGGGTAAAAACCTTTCCTTTAATGAAATTAAGCTTAGAACTAGGCTTTTAAATGGTGCCAATATTGGTGAGAAGTGGCGATGCATACGTTTGAAAGTGCTTGTTGCGGGAGGTGCGATTTATTTGATGTTGAGTGTATTCAATGTTTAGTCAAGAGGAGCACATCAAACTATACATACATTTATGATATATTGCAAACATAGATGCCACCATATCAAGCCTGTTCTGGCGGCGTCTGTATTATACCTAATTAAATTTAATACATGATTCAAAACAAATGACGCGAAAAATGACCATCATAGTAGTATTCTACACATTTTTTTATAATGTAGCAGTAAGTAACAGCATGTTTCCTCTACATCAATCTTTAATTCCAATAATACCCTTCGGTAATACAAATACATGCAAATGTTGTCCTTCATGAAAGCGAACAATGTAATCAAGTAATTAGCTATGCACCATACATGTTTAATTTGAATTATTTTTAAGTCAATGGATGTTTTGAAGTCAATGCTTCCATAATTTGGTTTTTAAGTGGTGCTCTGCATGGAAGGCCACATGGCAACAGAAAGCAAGTAAAATTAGACTAAGTTGAAGATAGCATGTAAAATACAAGATGGTAGAAGGAAACAGTGGACAAGTTAATAAGATGGGAGAAAATATGAAGAGAGCAGGCAGTGCTTATTGGATGAGGAGACTGGGACATGAAAAGTGCTTTTTAAAAGCCTACTTGCAAAAAATAAATGAGTTTTTAGGATGCTGTGAACCCAACATAGCTGGGCATTAACTCGTTAATCCGTTAATCGTTAATTAACGAAGTTAACATTTCTATTAACGGATTAACTTTTAAGTTAACTTTAAAAAATGTTAACGGACTCGTTAACTTCCGTTAAATTATCCTAAGTCCGTTAATCGTTAATCCAGTACCTACTATTTACCAAAAACATGCAGCAGACACGCTGAAAAACGCGTTCTGACAAGTACGTTCCGGCTTCCAGAACTTCCAAAACCCAAAACAACAGTTTTTGTAACCAGATCACCAACGCAACGATATAAAAAATGCATTTTTTTAAATTTATTTACAACTGAATTTAAGACCAGTTTTCCTCAACCGATTGAGCTGAGTATACTTATGTAAGTACGATGACAATCCAATGTTATGGTACCATTGAGCTGGTCTGATGATGGAGTCAGGAGGTGGCCATAGAAACTCGTAAGTAAAACGGCGGAATCGCATCGAATTTGGGTTCGTTGGATTTGTCATTTTGAGCACTTTAGTACTAGATGATGTCCACTTGTCCANATTATCTTACAGAGGTCAATGAGCGTGAATTCTCGTCTTTCTCGAATCTCTAATTAGAAATTCCCTCTTCACTCACGAAATATTAAAATAGTCAATTATATTCCAATTTTCTCCCTAAGAAAGGTTGATTTCGAAAAAAGTTAATTAATTTTGTACTTTTAAGAAAATAGCATTAGGCGATTATCACACTGCGCCGCGGTACGCGGGACGACAGATTTAATCATTGTATGCAAGTACCTCAGTTTGTATAGAAAACACGCGCGGCACAACACACTGACAACGCGTCTGCGCGCGGTTTTTTTATATGAAATCACGCGGACCGCGGCGCAGTGTGATAATCGCCTTAATATTTATAGCTTTACCTGTGACCAACGCGCCATCGTTGGGGCTGTCGAAGCCGGAGCCCTGCTCCACGATGTGCCGCAAGATGCCTTTGTTCTTGTTCGGGCTCAGATCCTCCACTTTCCAGTCGATCATTTCAATCTGTACATAATTTAGTTAATTTGTTATAAAAATAATGGGAAAATACTGATAGCACGCACTTTTATGGAAAGGAAACTGTGGTCTGTGGTAAGATTACAAAACCGCATTTATGATAACGGTTAGGAAAACATTATAATAAATAATTTGAATATTTTTTTTTTTTGTAGGGTATAAGAGATAAATTCGCATTTATTTATTCGGACTTTTTTATGGTGCCCTGTCAATAAGACAGTCCAAATAAAACTTAAATGGGGGGATTTGAAATATTTATTCTAATTGGAACTGAATTAGAAATACCAAGGACTATACAGCCTGTATAGTCCTTGGTATTTCTAATTTTCTGTAAATGTTGTGTTAAATTTCCTGTATAATACAGGTAAATTACAATCACCCTTTTAAGTAAAGACTCTACCATTCAAATCTCGTCCATTTCAGCCACAGGACATCCACTGAACATAGGCCCTAAAGATTTCCATCCCATCCATACCAGAGTCATCTTACCTCAAACTGCAGGGTGGCATTGGGCGGGATCTTGGGCGGGCTGCCGGCGGCTCCGTAGGCGTATTCGGGCGCGCAAGTTAACACGCACACCTCGCCCTTTTTCATCGTCGCCACGCCCACATCCCACGCCTTGATCACCGAGCCTGGAGAAAAGGATAATGTATAGTCGACGTCTGGTGGACCGACGACCTGATAAAGGTAGCGGGAAGGCGCTGGATGCAGGCCGCTACCAACCGTGCGATGTGGAAGTCATTGGGGGAGGCCTATGTTCAGCAGTGGACGTCCTGTGGCTGAAATGATGATGATGATGATGATAGTCGACGTCTCAATCGTCCAAGAACTTTGTATAAGATCTGCACTACCTATTTATGACTGTAAAGGCTAGTGCTGGGGAAAACTTCTCAATTTTCTTGACCTAGCACTCCCAGACTATATGTCTATCCACCATCAAGAGCAGGCTTCTTTACCGCCTTGGTGGGTCAATCCGACAGGTAACTCCACCCATTCTTGGAAGTTGGCACGCCCGTCGGACCCAAGGGACGACAAAGTGAAAAAATTTGTGTAACTAGCGTAAGTTAGTTGTAATCACGTAAGAACGTCCTTCCTATAATAAAAATTCCTAAATGAATGGCTAAAATGGACGAGAAAAAAAATCGTCCAAGAACTTGACACCAAATAGTGTCTTTCTTCAATCGTCCAAAGTCGTATTCCGCTTTCTTTGGCGTTATCACACAACAACACGTCTGTTGAACGATGGAAGGTTGAAGGCACAAGAGCGCGCGGCAGGTCACCCATGCGCTGGACCGATGACAAAACCGCACTCAATGGTCCACTCCACTAGTGTACAAGAAAGCCTGCAATGTGACAACTATGACCACTCTGCCAAGAGTAGCCACGAAGAAGTATAGTCAACAGCTCATCTAGGTACTTTTTAGTTGCGAAATAGCTCCTATTGTAACTGAATCAGATGCCTGTCTTAAGTTAGTATGATGTGTTGTCGTCTGTATTACATCTATTCAACGTTTAGTCAAGAGGCCATCAATTGATACATTTATGGTGCAAAGTATGACCTATTGCAAACATAGATGCCACCATATCAAGCCTTTTCTGGCGGCGTCTGTCTGTATTATAATGCCTAATTATATTTAATACATGATTCAAAACAAATGATTGAGGATTCCGGGTGAAGCTCGCTTCCACCTACGTCCTGATCATCACTTACCATCAGGTGCGATACAGGCCAAGAGCTTACTTGTTGTGGATAAAAAAATGACACATAAAATTACCATCATAGTGGTATTCTACACATTTTTTTTATAATGTAGCAGTAAGTAACAGCATGTTTCCTCTACATCAATCTTTAATTCCAATAATACCCTTCGGTAATACAAATACATGCAAATGTTGTCCTTCATGAAAGCGAACAATGTAATCAAGTAATTAGCTATGCACCATACATGTTTAATTTGAATTATTTTTAAGTCAATGGATGTTTTGAAGTCAATGCTTCCATAATTTGGTTTTTAAGTGGTGCTCTGCATGGAAGGCCACATGGCAACAGAAAGCAAGTAAAATTAGACTAAGTTGAAGATAGCATGTAAAATACAAGATGGTAGAAGTTGATGAAAGAAGATGACAAGTTAATAAGATGGGAGAAAATATGAAGAGAGCAGGCAGTGCTTATTGGATGAGGAGACTGGGACATGAAAAGTGCTTTTTAAAAGCCTGCTTGCAAAAAATAAATGAGTTTTTAGGATGCTGTGAACCCAATATAAAGACTTGAGAGAAATAAGCTGTAGGCCTTTCTATCATATAGTGACAAACAAAAAAATCAATTAAAAATTATGTAAAGAAGTTGATGACATTAACACAGTTCATGGTCATATAGATTTTGTAAACAAGATTATGAATGCTGCAACAGTATTAATAAATCTATGGGGTCTTTTTTCCACATCAGTTCCAAGAATTGTTAAAATATAAATAAATTTCTATTCCCAAAAAAACTGATAAATACAAAACAAAACCAAGTAGTTCCGTTTATAAGACAAAAAAGTGTTCCGGCTCGGGAAATTATTTTCAATCTAGATAACTGGAACTGTGCCAATATGCAAGGTCAATATAAGAAATCGATAGCAATAAAACTTCATGATTTTTGACCATGCTAGTGAATATAGGGAGTGAAGAAGATTTTTTTACACCTTAACTTTGAGGTTATGTTTCAAGGACCTGCCCAATGTGTGCACTGTGCACTTCTACGGCTTAGAACTTGCTAAAGAAGAATTACTTGAACGATTTAAGTCATCATAACTTGTTATATTGGTGAAATCGAATTATTTTCACCGGTAATTCTCTACATTTTTCTTTCTAATAAGAAAATGTGTAACATACCTTTCCCCAAATTAAATTCGAATGGCTCATTCCTATCTCTACTGGAGTCGAATTTTGAGCCATCCAGGAGTGTCCCAGTATAGTGGACAGTGACTTGGCATCCAACGTTGGGAGTATCCGTGCCTTCGCCCTCCTTGATGATCCTCTTCAACACCCCACGGTCGCCATTCTTTGAGATATCAACGCCTTCGTCTACGGTCATTGTTGCAACTTAATTTTCCTTCCGTAAGCTTGGGAAATTGACGCAGTAACAGTTTTTAATTTTCTGGAAAACTCGAGTTGCGCGCCGGTATTTCTTTCTCTTGGNTCTTTCTCTTGGTAATTTAATTGAATGAATGATGTCAATGATGAAATGTCGAATATTGACCGACTGAACGAATGGAACTTGGAACGAATGAATGAAAACTGAAATTGGAAGCTATAGGGTTGCGCTGCTGAGTAACTCACTATTCGATTATTCTTCTTGGATTCGATACCAGTGAGTGTTACGATTATCTAATGCGTTAAGAAGGTTTAATTTTGTTTATTATTACATTTTATGTAATTCATATTCATTTAATATGTATGTGTGCTAGAACGATTATTTAAACATAAAACAATGAAGGCTTACGATTATGAATACGATTACGATCGTTCTTTTAGCATTTATTTATTCTAATGGCGCATCTCTAAGGGTTTTTGCCATGAATAATTCATGGCAAAAACTGTACTTTAGTAAGAATACAACTTCTTTCATTATTCTTTGGAAAACATCCACACAAAAGTAAAAGGTTAAACCATTCGAAAACTTGATTGGCTAAACTTTTACTTTACCATTGAATGCGATTTTAATAATCGATTTATAAAGAAATAACTACTGACATCACTAATATAGATAGATTTTTCTAGATGTCAGTGTCACATATAAAAATACTTTCCTTCTCTTTCACACACACGGCACACGGCACTAGGGATGTTCCGATACCACCTAAGTATCGATACCTACTCATTTCGATAATACTCAAATCTTTTTTCGATACTACTTAAATAAGTACTCCTAAAGTATCGATACTTACTGATATCGATACTTTTTGGAACTTTTATTTTTGTTTTATTATTTTGAGGGTGCTATCAATGAACGCTGAAGGACAATAATTTAAACAAAATTGAGAAGCAAACAACTATTTATTTATCGGTTTATGCCATGATAACATTGGAATAAACCGATGAATTTGATGATTACAATTAATAAAATTACTTGTAAATAATCACTTAACACTTTCACAATGGCGGAATGGCGAGATGATTTGCGGGCGGGTGCGGGTGTCTCCTTCTCTCGCTTTCGGCTCAGGCTCGGCTGAAGTCGGACGAATTCGGCTGGCCCAGCGCGAGACAACGCGTCACTCACGCCGCCACGCGACGAATACCGGTAACTCGGTAACCGATTAAAGCTAATTATCTGACTGTTTTTACTCTCTCAGTTCTGTATGATGCGTTCTCGGTTTTTTTTATTGTTTTCGGTTGTTTTGCTGATTCGATTCAATACCAAGTATTTTTGTTTCGATACCGATTATGTATCGCAAAATTGATTCGATACAATAAATACTTGGTATCGAATCAAAAGTATCGAGTACCTACTCGTATTTACTAGTATCGGAATATCCCTATACTGCACACGGTGGGCCGATATTAGAGCTTCATAGACTTAGCGTCGCTCAAAAATCAAGTGCCTAATTTTGAAAAAATAAATATGCCAATGTGTTCCTTTACCAAAAAGGAATATTTTATGTTATGTAACGTTTCTTGATAAAGTTATTATTTAATAAGTTATTGACAATTTCCTTTTTTTTTGTATGGAGCTCAACATTTATTTTTATTTTATTCGTTATTCTTAAGCTTTCTTAAGAAATTGACTTTTGTATTATGTAATGCAACATATAAGCTATGTTATCACCAAGTGTCGCATTTCGGAAATCTTCGGAACATTGTCATTTTGGACTTTAAAATAAAAAAAAAACAAAAAATTTAGAAACTGCCAAATTTTGTAATAATAACTACGCCAATGTGTTCCTTTGCCAAAAAGAAATATTTTATGTTATGTAACTTTTCTTGATAAAGTTATTATTTAATAAGTTATTGACAATAATTACTTTTTTTTTGTATGGAGCTCAACATTTATTTTTATTTTATTCGTTATTCTTAAGCTTTCTTAAGAAATTGCTTTTTTATTATGTAATGCATCATAAAAGCTATATTATCACCAAGAGACGAATCCCGGAAACCCTCGGAACATTGTCATGTTCGACTTTAAAATAATAAAAAAAAAAGATAAAAAAAATAACTGCAATGTTATGTACTTTATTCCGTACTACCTTAACGAGGTGAAGAACTAAGCACGTTTTTTATAGTGGTGTTCCCAGGAGGCCTAATCCACTTGTAAGATTATTAAAATGCGTTTTATGGAAATTAAGCCAGTTTGAAGTTAAGTTTATTGGTTAGACTCAAGAGCCACTTTCTGAATCTATAAAAGTAAAGCTTTCTTTCTCAGTATCAGCCTAGACATCAAATTGATCATTTATAGTGGACTTTTTGGTGGTGTTGAAAACCTTTCTTGTTGGCAATTACGTCTAAATTATTCATTTCTTTTGATATGGCTTTACAAATAATATCACATCGCTGCTTGTGCAGAGCTGCCATTTATCAACGATATTATTTTTCTATCTATCAAGTGAGAATCAGTTTTTACGAGATTGTTTTGCTTCCAGAACTACGATCTATTAAATTTTCAATTTCCGCGTCCATTAAGTTTTTTTCATTGATAACATTAAAATAGGTCGACAATAATTAAATGCAGCTTATTTTGAATTAAAAAAAATGAGTCTCCTTCATAAATTTGAAAAAGAAATGAGTCGATAGTAAAAAGTGGAGCTAGAAACCTTATTTTCCCTTATCCATTTTATCTGGAGACATCAAACCGAACGTTCATTTGGGCACTTACAAGTTGCCCTAAAACGCTAAAATCATCATTTTCGCAAATTTTGTTTCGCAGACCAAACTAAAGTACTTACATGGAGCTCTACATACGTGTATGCCTGCAAGCATACAAAATTATTGCTCACGGAAAAGATATTTACTTCCAATCAGAAAGTACTACACCACGCTCGAATTTTGCAGGAGAGCAACTAATGAAGATATTTTACGCAATTTATTTTTTAAATCTGATTCTCAGATATACATAATAAATTCAAATTCAAATTCAAATTTTTCAATAATATAAACTTCATAGAAATCACAAAGTTTTATCAACAGCAGCAAAAAGTTAATTAATAAAAGATCAATTTGATGATGAGGCTGATACTGATACTGAAAGAAAGCTTTACTTTTGTAGATATTTTTGTTTATCGTTTGCCTCCTATCACATAAAAAAAAAATATTAGCCTATAAACTTAACTTCAAACTGGCTTAATTTCCATAAAACATATTTTAATAATCTTACAAGTGGATTAGGCCTCCTGGGAACACCACTATAAAAACGTGCTTAGTTCTTCACCTCGTTAAGGTAGTACGGAATAAAGTACATAACATTGCAGTTATTTTTTTATCTTTTTTTTTTATTATTTTAAAGTCGAAAATGACAATGTTCCGAGGGTTTCCGGGATTCGTCTCTTGGTGATAATATAGCTTTTATGATGCATTACATAATAAAAAAAGCAATTTCTTAAGAAAGCTTAAGAATAACGAATAAAATAAAAATAAATGTTGAGCTCCATACAAAAAAAAAAGTAATTATTGTCAATAACTTATTAAAAAATAACTTTATCAAGAAAAGTTACATAACATAAAATATTTCTTTTTGGCAAAGGAACACATTGGCGTAGTTATTTTTACAAAATTTGGCAGTTTTTAAATTTTTTATTTTTTTTATTTTTAAATCCAAAATGACAATGTTCCGAAGATTTCCGAAATGCGACACTTGGTGATAACATAGCTTATATGTTGCATTACATAATACAAAAGTCAATTTCTTAAGAAAGCTTAAGAATAACGAATAAAATAAAAATAAATGTTGAGCTCCATACAAAAAAAAAAGGAAATTGTCAATAACTTATTAAATAATAACTTTATCAAGAAACGTTACATAACATAAAATATTCCTTTTTGGTAAAGGAACTCATTGGCATGTTTATTTTTTCAAAATTAGGCACTTGATTTTTGAGCGACGCTAAGTCTATGAAGCTCTAATATCAGCCCACCGTGCGGCACCACCACACCAAGCACCAACCATTGCACCATGCGGGTTCGATTCCCTGCCCGAGTCACGGAGCACGGCCCGAGGTGCCCGAGCTTTTTCTTTTTTGGAGAATGCCAGTAGAGCCAGGCCGTAATCAAAGTTTAGATCTCCCTTATAACATTAGGTATTTAATTAGGTTTTAAATATCAAAACAATGTTGAGTTCATAATAATTTATTTTTATTAATTCAGTCTTCTTAATAAATCTCTATTAAGTAGAAATATTTTACATACACATTGATAAGAATGAAAAACATTTATTTTACAATTTTATAATGCCTATTGGCACAGTGGAAGGCGCTCCCTTTGAGCTGCGCTGTGCGTGATAAAATCTAATGGATGATTTTATTCGACAAACGTATGAGCTTATCGCGTGAAATAGATAAAATGGCGCGATACAAGCTTATCGCGGCGCATATCCTTGGCTTACCTACAGTTGGTTCAAATTATGTTTTGTAATTTCACAGTATGAAGATGACAACTTCATTCAGTATACAGTAGGTATTTATTATAAAACAGTACATAATAATTGTTTTCCTATTAAAGCAAAAATAAAATTTAAAATAAATGATTTCAGATATGTGCAGTGTGCACAACTCCAATGATACAGCAATGAAATTCAAATAAAATAGTGTTGTAGATTTACAGATTTTTGGGTTGTAAAACTTTTGTTGCCAATGAACAAAATTTTATTCAGCTAAGTCTGGTGAAAAAAGAAGACAAGCATTATTGGCACAGAAAATTGGTAGTATGATCATTTTCCAAACATTATCTTATCTTGCCAAGATTTTAATAGGATTATCATTAGGTACTTATTTTAAAAGGAATATTGAGGCACTTTAAAATTATTAAAATATGCAGGAAAAACAATTGCATAAGGCTTACCATTCCAACAGATATAACAAGTATTACAATAATCAAAAGTATAGGAATGTTATTACTTAATTTTATGAATTAACTATATCTTTACAATCATCAGTATGTAGGTACTTGAATAAAGACAATATACCTTTTTACAGTTTAAACAATAGTTGCCAAATGCTAACAAATATTTTACAATTTGGTTTTAAGGACACAAAATTTATTTAAAACATCGACTAGGACACTTTGTCACATAATGTCTGTAATTTTTGTGGCTCTGAGATAATATTTTTTGATGAGGTGCATGTAGCCATTCATCAGAGCCATCGCAGCAGTCACAGATTCCATCGTTGACTTTATTTGATGGCACATTGTTGTAGGCCACTTGCTTGCTCGGATATTGGGTGTCGCAAAAAAAGGTGCCATTTACACAGGCCGTTGTGCTCGGTTCATCTGAAGAGTCATCACAGTCACAATAATCGTCATTCACTTGCTCGAATGGTATTCTTTGATCGGAGTTCAGACATTTGAATTGCATGTTTGAATCTGGCCGATATTTCGGCATCAAGGCATAATGCACACCTCTTATGATGCCATTTTCGTTTATGTACTTATCTGCTTCTGAACGAATATGTTCTTTTGGATCCAATTTGGAATGATCTATCACGGTTACTATTTTAAAGCCGGCAGCGGTTTCAGATGTGATCGTCAAAAAGAAGTACAACTGGTACAAGATAAAACTTATAAAAACGCATGCCGCGAGCACGATAACATTCTTTTTCTTCTTAAGACCCATCTCAGTTAATAGATAAGCACCTTTTTACTTGCTGTAATCAGATAAATCTTTACATAACCAGTTATGAATAACATCCACTTGTTTTATTAATCTAAGCTTGTTACACTCAATAGTTTTAACATTATTTTGGTGATTTAATAAAACTTTATGCTACATGACGTAGGTACTTATGAATTTTAAACGGTTCTTTGCATCAAAACAATTCGTAGAAGGTATTTTTTCTTCAAATTTTTAAATCAAAACAAACAAACATTTTTCACACAAGTACACGCCATGACTTGCACGTTCCGTAATACGTGGTTTGACATAACGATTTTGATTGTGTGGAACTGAAAAAAAGATATGTTGAAGTCGGAATAATCTTTTTTTATGTATTTGCTTAAAAAAAAAGTATAACGTCACTTTGACATTAATGACAGACCAGCTGTTAAAAAAAGCTGTGAAATTGGTGGAAGATTGTTTGCTAAAAGTTAATGAAAATAATCCATATTTAGTGAATTTTATACAACTGTGCGTTTATAATTTATAGAGATGAGGATATAAGCAAGTGTGGAATGATGAGTTACCTTACCGTGGACAGGCAAACGCCGTCCTCTAGCACAGACAAGTCTGGTGATGCAAGCGACAATAATGATGATCTTGAGGTAATCTCGGTTTAACTAATTTATTAGATAACACCTTTCGTAAACATATGCTAGAATACCAAGGGTATTTTGACCTAGATGAAGCCGCATCTACCGCAACCATTATGGTGTTAAAAAATCTCATTCAGATCATTTTGATCAGGAAATTTTAAGGAAAATATTCTTACTTTTGAAGTAAACAAAAAGACATACGATTATTGGAACTAACTTTGATATGATGGTTCCTTGGGTAACAACACCTTGCTTGAAATGTTATTAGAAAGTGATATGATGGAATGTAAACATACTTGCAAAATTGCACTGTTTACTTCTTTTGAACACCAATAACAGATGCTTAGTGTCTTTTAAAATTATTTGTAAAAATGCAATAATAACATTTCAAAACCTATTTATATTGTGTTTACATTATAAAACCAGGTTGGGGGCGTGGCCTAACTAATAATTGTCTAAAAATAGATGTCAACATGTTTGATAACAAAACATTTTTTTTGCAAAGTTATGAAAAACTTTTAAAAATATTTTTAAATGAGTCAGTGTTCATTTTTTGTCATCATCATCATTTCAACCACAGCTCCCCCAACTATTAGTTTTATTTAATCCTATTATTTTTAATTTTTGAGCAGGTGGACAACTCCAAGAGCGTCCTCCTCAAGATCGCCACGTTGTATGCGGAGCAGCTGATGAGCGACCTAGTCCTGGAGGTGGCAGGCGTGGGGTACCCGGTCCACCGGCTCATACTGTGTGCCAGCAGTGAAGTCTTCCAGGTAAATGATCATGTTCACAAGCACAGAAAACCGCACATCAGTCTACTTAATACAATTTTGTTGCTAAATCAGACTTTTTGACCAGCATTTAAAAAATATTTATTTTATTTCAAACTTATATGCACATAGAACAGTGTAAATAAGGCGGACTTAATGCCTTTCGGCATTTTCCTCCAGTCAACCTTAGGACCAAACTGAAAATAAAAAAATTATATGCAGCAATTTTAGCTTGATGTGCAGTCATTTACAAGATAAATTTGTTGAAACATTCTTTAGTATCTGAGATTATTCTGTTCTACATTTTTGGTAATCTGAATTTTTTGTCAATTTTGCTCACTTTGTCATTGTGCTTAAAATCAACACAAAATTAATATTTCTAAGCAAATTAGTAAAATCTTACTAAAACATATTATTTATTATTATCTATTTAAACATATAATTTAGGTTAAACTTAATATTGTGCTGTGTACTATCCTTAAATAAATAAAATAAAAGTATAAAAATTATTACCATTTTGTTCCAGGTCATGTTGATGAACCGTGAATGGAGCGAATGGCGGGAGAGCCGCGTGGTACTGCAGGAGACACCGACCGCCGCTTCTGTGTTCCCGCATTTTTTGAAGTAATTCACTATTAAAAAAAAATCCACACTAAGGCGATTATCACACTACACCGCGCTCCGCCGCGGTACGCGGGACGACAGATTTAATTATTGTACGCAAGTACCTCAGTTTGTATAGAAAACATGCGCGGCACAACACACTGACAACGCGTCTGCGCGCGGGATTCGTTATATGTAATCACGCGGACCGCGGCGGAGCGCGGTGCAGTGTGATGATCGCCTAAGAGCGCTTTTACATTTAGGCGACTTTGGCAGCGACAAACCCGCGACAGACGCGCTGCCGATAATTTCATACTTTAAGACAGAGAATGCCTGGCTTCACATTATTAAAACGCCGCTGCCGCGCTGCTGTCGCGCTTCTAACGCCTAAAGGTAGCCTTTCGAACTAAGCGTCACAGACGCAGCGTCTTTAGCTTTGGTCTTAAAGGTAGCCTTTCGAAGCGAGTTAGTGACGCGGCGGTGGTGGTACAAAACCATACCTAAAGACGCTGCGTCTGTGACGCTTAGTTCGAAAGGCTACATTTAAGTGATGGCTTTAATGTGAAGGCGTCTAATGCCCGTTTTCACCATCAATCCTTAATTTTAAGTGACCCCTATGATATTGATAACACATACTCATAACAGAAATTTTGTTTTCATAGGGGTCACTTAAAAATTAGAGATTGATGGTGAAAACGGGCAAAAGTGATGGTGAAAACGGGTTCTAATCCCATCAGAGACAGTCAATTTCAAGTTCCAAATCATGAGTATATGCCACATTATAGTTAAGAAATATGCCACATTTATATTTGGTCTTTTCCAGGTACTTTTACACTGGACAAATTCGGATATCCCATCAGACTGTGCTTCCCGTATTATCGCTGGCTGATAAATACAATGTTAAGGTACATTTATTTAACCATTAAAATGTGTATTTTTAAATACGTAGAGAAATTAAATCTAGTTTCGAGCGTCACTAGGCGTCACTTCATAATATCGGCCTTAGGCTAAGAACTCGTGGCGCGATTTTCACCCGCGCTCGCGGCGGTTGCGGGCCCGCAGCTTCTGTAGAATGCAGATACTTATGTAAAAACTAATGCATTACTCACGACGCGGTTTTCGCCCGCAGCGGGCGCGGTTGTAATCGGGTCCAGCTCGGCGGTTTTCGCCCGCGCGAAAACCGCCCGATCGGCGGGCGACCATTTTGTTCCAGTGACTTAGTCAATTAAAAATCACGCCGTGAGTTCTTTGAATAACCGCGCAAATAACGGCTCCTGTGAGTTTTGAAATAAAACCGCAATTCCACAACCGCCGCGGGCGAAGGTGAAAGTCGCGCCGTGAATTCTTAGAGTCCACATTGCATTTTCCCTTAATCTTATCATTCCCCAGGACCTGGTGACGCTGTGCCTGACGTATATGTCGCAGCACATCGCGCAGGCTGCCAAGCGCGGCCAGCTCATCGCCTGGATGCAGTACACCATGGCATGTGGCCATAATGACGTCGCCAAGGTACGCGCTTATTTCTTCAGCACTGAGATCGAAACTCAGAGTCGCATTAGAAATTTACACACACAAAGTAATCAAAATATGTGCTCATTATCCACTGCGGTATCAGTACTCAACGTTCGAATAATCTTTAGTACTACCCAAGCAATGTAAACTGTTTACATTATGACGTCGCTGCTGTCATCATTGTTGTTACGAGCAATGTGTTCTGTTTTTGGGCATATTTCCACAGAATAATAATAAATAAGTACTACGTACAGAAGTTATACTTCGCGACGGTATTTAAAAAAAATGTATGCTCAATGTCATTAACAATATGGTGTAATTAGCCGGTCTCAAGAGTCAAGCACCATTTTGTTGACAAACGTCAGTGATCGGCACTGCGCCGAAGGTATAGGGCTGACTTCGGTAAAATGATGTGACATGAGGTGCCAAACTGCAGAAAATGGCGGAGGAAATACATGAAGTAACATGAATAATATTAACTACCTACTTATTTACCTCTCAGTGTCTTCAGGCAACTTAAAAAAGTACATTCTGTGTTTTTATTATTATTTAGGCAGTTAAATACTGCACAGTATTTAATACACCATTTTCTTTATTTTTTCTATCACACACAAGAATACGCGTGCGTGAGTCAATGTTCGCTCGTATGTAGGGTTTCTGATTTCTCGACCTATTTTTTTTCTCGAGTTTCGAGAATTCTCGAGGCCAAAGTCTCGAGTTTTCTCGGGTCTCGAGTCTTTTAATGAAAACTGCTGAAATCGGTTGAAATTTAATAAAAACACAGGTTTTTTTTAATCTAATATACCTACTTTTATGCACAACAATCAATATTAGAATTTAGTACCACTTATTTTGGTAAGGAAATAAACAAAAAATAAAATCTTTCATAATTGATATTTACTAATAATCATAACAAAAGTCATAAAGTCGCGTGCCCTTTAAGGATAAATAACAATAAAAATCTGGAGCTACAATTAGCAAAATTACGATAAATAAAAAAATCTTTTAAAAATGGCATCTTTTAATTAAGGCTACACTATGAAAACGTATTGTTTTCAATGTTTTTTCCAGTCAATTGTGTGTGTCTTGTTAGCTGTCCTTAAATAAATAAATAAATAGTTTTTTTTATGAACAAAAAAAACTTTTTATTAAATTTTTAAATATCCTACAGATTACGACTTGAATAAACTTTGCGAGAAGGTACGAGTACCTAACCTAACGTCTGTTAGGTAAGGTAACTGTCTAGTTAACAATTTTTTCAGTCAGATTAAACATATATAATAAATATAGCATACTCGTTGGTGAACATTATTACTTAGTTTCAATTGTTTCAATTAAGATCATGACTTGCAAATCAAATCAGTTAAAAAAGGAAAGACTAGGCCAGTCTAAAAGCAACGATGACCTATTAAATAATAAAAAACTTACTTTTGTCTAAGAAAATCGGCTTTCAAGAATATTAAAGCTTTAAAATCGAAACTCGAGAATTCTCGAGCTCCGGCAATTTTTTTCTCGTCTCGAATGAAGACAAATTTCTCGAGTTTTCTCGAGTTCGAGAAAGCTCGAGCAGAAACCCTACTCGTATGTGATGCCTTGTCAAATAGTATCCTGTAGGGGGCCATCGTGCGTGTTTTGTTTTCGATGTAAACTCGCGGAGATGAACAGGCCTGATATTGCTGTGACACCGGCCCCGCCCCCTTGACACATCTCCCTTTAGTTTTTGTGATCTGTGGGCGTGTCTATACGCAACAACTACAACTATGGCTCACTCTTTCGTCAAATAAAACAACTGTGCCTATGCTCATTGTATCAAACTACATTAGCTTTTATTAGTATTACAGAAGGTTTAATTTCCAATGCCCGCAGGCGTGCCAGAACTTTGTGAAGTGGAACCTGGAGTGGGTGTGGTCGGACGCGGAGTTGGCCGAGCTGGACGGCGAGACGCTGCTGGCGCTGCTGCAGCAGAGCGACCTCGTGCTGCACAACGAGATGAGCCTCTACCAGTGAGTTGTGGACTTTATTGTCTGGGGCATAGGGCTCCTAACTGCTTGACTCTAGGTTATAAAATCCTTTGACGCCACACATTCCACATTTTGAGATAGGTGAGTGAGCTCTATTGTCTGGGGCATAAGTCTCTGAACTGCTTGACTCTCTAGGCCAATAGGTCACAAAATCCTTTGACTCACGGTCAACTTTTTGAGATGCGCCTCGTAGTAAGTTGCAGCTCTATTATTGTCTACAGCACAAGTCTCCAAACTGCTTGATGATGGCGAGGGCACCTTCTACTAGTGAATGAGCTCTATTATCTAGGGCATAAGTCTCTAAATTGCTTGAATCTCTCTAGGTCAATAGGTTGCAAAATCCTTTGATTTTTGAGACAAGCTTCTACCAGCATAGCGACCTCGTGCTGCACAACGAGATGAGCCTCTACCAGTGAGTGGGCTCTATTGTCTAGGGCATTGTTTCTCAAACTTATTTGAGATGCACCCCCTTTCGACCATACAAAAAAAAGCCGCCCCCCCCCCCCCTCCTCCAGTCAAGATTATTTATTGGTCGTATCGAGCAGTCTGGAATACATTCTCTCAGCGGTCGCAGGTTTTTTACAGATGGCCCGCGCCACTTTGGGAACCAATGGTCTAGGCTAGGGCATTAATCTCTAAATTGCTTGACTCACTCTAGGTCAATAGGGCGCCAAACCCTTTGACTCGCGGCAGCTTTTTAGTTGAGTTTCTACGAGTGAGTGAGCTTTATTATCTAGGGCATAAATCTCTAAATTGCTTGACTCATTCTAGGTCAATAGGGCGCAAAATCCTTTGATTCATGGACAACTTTTTGAGATGAGCCTCTACCAGTGAGTGAGCTCTCTCTATTGTCTGAGCCATAGGACTCCAAACCGCTTGACTCTCTCGAGGTTAATAGGTCACAAACACTTTACCTAGTGGGAAACTTTTGAACCTATACCAGTGATTTGCAAGCTTTGCAAGTGACTTCCAGAGCATAGGTCTTACTTCGCGAATTTCTTGCCTGATACTTGCACACCTCGGAAACTGCATATTTATGATGAATGAGCCTCAACCAGTGAGTGAGTGAAAGCTTTATTGTTTGGCTGGAGCATACTGGGGCAAACTGCTTGACTCTCTCTAGGTCATAGGTCACAAAATCCTGTGTCTCACGGACAACTTTTTAATTTAAGTCTACTAAGTGAGTGAGCTGGTCTGGGACACAAGTCTCGAAGTTCTTTCTTTCTTATTTTAAATCTACGGTTTCTAGGGGAGTTAAAGCTCTATTTTCTGGGGCATAGGTTTCAAATTTTTTTGTAATTCTTGGAATGAGCCTATATTTACATTGAGTTGGAGCTCTTCGTTGAAGATTTTTATTTTTGTCTTTAGTTTCGTGGTGCGGTGGCTAAGCAAGCAGCGGACGCGACTCGACGCGCAAGGACTGGGCGAGGCGGAGACCAAGCTACACTGGGACTCGTTGGTCGCTGCTGTGTTCTCACACGTCAGGTTAGTAAAATAGAAACGTTTACAAGTTTTGTTCTATTTATACAATACGGCAGCTTCGCCCGCGTGGTATTTTGTCTGTCACAAAAAACTTGATAACGCGTGATAACGCGCGTCCCATTTTCAAAAACCGGGATAAAAACTATCCTTTGTCCTTTCCCGAGACTCAAACTATCTCTATGCCAAATTTCATCAAAATCGGTTCTGTGGTTTAGGCGTTGAAACAAGACAGACAGAGTTTCTTTCGCATTTATAATATTAGTATAGATACCACCTTTTTTTGATGCTAAGGAAATTCATTGCGCTCTGTCACCACTGCGTGTGGCAGGCAGGGTGTTGTGTGAGATAGGAATCTCACACAACACCCTGCCTGCTTTTTAGAGCACCACCAGGATGGTGCTCTAAAAAGACGCTGCTCCGTCCTGAAAAGGACGGGGTATTGGCTCCGTGCACGATTACAGCGCCAACTAGCGTCCACAACTTTGTGGGCTCTGTCACATTGACATTTAGGTCGTATATTTGTGAAAAAATATCGAAATGAAAAAATAACAAATATTTTCAACTAATAAATTGTTGTGATACCACGATTTGGGTGGAAAAAAGGTTTTGAAATCATTTTGGTCATTCAAATCAAATGAGGTAAGTCCAAAAAGTGTGTTTAATTTTGATTGTGTCAGGGTTTGTTTACTTCATTTATAGTTGTAGTTTTACAGTAAAACAAAAAGAAAAAGCTACTTTAACGGTTTCATTATATAACAGTAAATATATTTAAATGTTTCTGTATCGCTAGTAATAAATTAAATATCGTTTTCAGATCGAAATGAGTATCGTTTTGAAGACCGGGTTTGTGAGAGTTACAATATCAAATTCCAACCACAAACCGTATTTAAAGGAAAGTTGTTGGTATTGGCTGGACAAGTCCGAGATGTAGAAGAATTAAGAACAAAACAAGGGCAGAGTTCAATAATTCACGCTCTCATCATAAGGCAAACATCTGTGCACAACAACTACTGTGACTCATTTTTGTACTACCACGTTGTATAGTTTAGTTATTTCCAAATTGTAAACGGCTATTAAAACAGCCCTATCGAAATACAGTCCACTCTTTTATTTAAGTTCCCAGTAGGACCCTTTTCATGCGATTAATTAATGATATTAAAATGTATTATGTACAATCGCTTTGCCATTGACAGATACATCTGATGACAGAGCTAACATTATTTCTACTTTTGACCACCATGAGCGCTGCGATAGATTATGTCCCCCCCACCTAGTACTTCGCACCCAGCGAATACCCACTAAAATCTGTATAATATGTATGTATTTAAAAAAAAAGTATATAAGTAGTATATCCGTTAAGCTAGCACCCATAACACAAGCATTAAGTTGATTACTTTGGGGCTAGCTGACGCTGTGTGAAATTGTTAAAAAAAATCTCTACGGTGTCCCGTCATTGCCCGAGTGGCGGGGTCACGAGTATCCGACTAAAGCCTTGGACTTCCACCTACATGGTAGACACTACCATTCCCATACAATGGACGTGGCAATGGTTCCCCCGCAACAAAAAAAAGAAAGGAACATTTGTACGGCGGTACGCTTTTTCCTCCCCTTGCGGAGTGTGAGAATCATTCATTTCATTAATTCCCGCGCGCATTCCGCTGCCTTCTTCTGTGAGATGACTTTCTCGCAGGAGGAGTGCAATACAGCTCTTATTTCAAAAGCGTTAAGGTTGTCATTCGCGTATGCGCAGGTTCCCGATGATGTGCCCGAACCAGCTGGCCAAGCTGCTGCTGTGCCCGCTGACGCAGGAGCACAAGGAGTTCTTCATGGAGCGCATGGCCATCGCCATGAGCTACCAGTCAGGTATGAGCTACCATTGCATGTAGCTAAAGTCCGGTCGCCGAGCAGTTAGAATTTTGTCCAATGACTCCAAGCTATCCATTCTTATCGCTCGCGCGTAATCATATTGCTGTCGCGACTATGCGACGGGCGGCCGCAGTGAGTGTGCGAGCGCGATAGCAATATAATTACGCGCGAGTGATAAGGATGGGTAGCTTGGGGTCATTGGACTAAATTCTACGTGCTCGGCGACCGGACTTTACCAGTCATCACCCTGTGTGATAGACGTGAGCTACTACTCAGATATGAGCGACCACTGCATATCGGTATACCATTGAATAAAAATCAACAATTCTGAAGTTTTTTAAGGGAAAATTAGTAAAAAAAAAGTACCTAACATATTAATAGTTTCAATTGTTCAAATATGTTGCACTCGTGTTCGCTGCTCGATTGTCAAAAAATCCTGTTTTCAAACAAATGTCACTCCAATTCGCTAAGCACCTCGTTCCATAACACCAAACCTTCAAAAAAGCGACCTTACTGGCTTGCTTCGAAAGTGAAAACGGGAGGTGAAGGTGCTAAGTTTACTTTTGCTAGGTGTAGGTATTTATGCGTTGTCAAGTAGCCCCTGCGGGTAATGTATACGTACACTCCTGGTGGTTGAACATGAGAAAAAAACTGCCATTTTAAAATATTTTCCACCCAGGTCAATACGAGCGCGTGGCAGAAGTGCAGCAATCGGAAGCGGGTCGTATGCTGTTCACACCACGCCTCTACACCGAGGACACGTGGGGTTCCGTGCTCGGCGTCGACAACTTCCACTCGCTGGCCTGCTACCACACGAGGACCTTCATCTTCAGCACCAGGTGACTGTGAAATCCATCTTCAGATCAATGGTCATATTTCAAAAGTTGGTAAACAGAAGAGGGTTGTGCTCGTGCAGCGAATATTATAGGTCGCGCAACGAATGTTGAGGCAAACACGTAGGTACTCACACTGATGAAATTTGAATAAACACAAACAATCCCGTACATATTCAAATATCTAATACACTAGCTACCATGCTCTTGATAGATGTCTGCAAGCTCTTGATTTTCTGTCGAAAGCATTTGTCTGTTCGCAAGACGAATCATTGCTTAGTGTTGATAGCCTCAACTCTCGTTCCGCGACCTATACTTGATGAAGACACATATACGCTTAAGTTTTAGACATACCGTGTACCTAAAATAGTAAGACACGGGTCTTAACGCGACGCCGCGAGCCGCCAGTCTGCTTGTGACCACGGCTGCCGCATCGCAGCCGAAACGTCAAGCCGTGAGTACACAATGTAACTCATTAATAAACGTCGCGTTAAGTAAGACCCGTAACTTACTATTTTAATGAGGGTTTTCGCGAATGAAAGATCCGCTAGATGGCGGGACGTGGATGTGGGGTCTGACTGCTGCGTGATTGGTGGATTTTGACATATCTGTCAATGTCATGTCAAAAATAACCAATCATGCAGCATTTGGACCTCGCGTCTACGTATTGCCATCTGGCGGCAGTGTTGCCAACTTAGCTACTTTATAGCTAGATTTAGCAACTTTTTGATGTCAAGCAGCTACATTTTTTTTAACTTGTAGCTAAATTTTTTAGCTACTTTTTCTAGCAACTATTGATTATGAAATATTTTTACAAAGTTATGGTAGCGGCATCCCCGGGACCCCGACAAACAAAATTAGTATTAGCAATATACGATACGACTCACGTAAATCGGTGCGGAATAACTTTGGGGATTCCCTCGTTTGAGTGGTTTTGGCCTGTGGGTGGGGGGGAATTCCCTTAAACTACTATTTATGGACTAAGTGTTTGTTTTTATTTTCTCTCTCACAATCACAAGTCGCTGTTAGACTCGCTTGGTTGGTCGGAGTTAAACAGGTTTTTCTGTGTGAAAATGGATTTACCGTTAAAAAAAAAAGTCATACGCACAGAAGTATAGATCGGAATGGGAAAATGTGGATGAGTTCAAAAGTTGGTTAAAACCAGCAAGAGGAGACTCGACTAAAGCACTCTATGGAAATAGTCTGATTTATTAACTGCAGTGTTTTATTTCTTTAGTATTTTATTTGTTTCGGAATTCAGCTACTTCTAGCTACTTTTTAGGGAGAAAAAAATACTCAATCTAGCAACTTTCTGTTAAATTCCTAGCTACGAGCCTTTGGTAGCTGTTGGCAACACTGTCTGGCGGACCCTCATTGAAATGGAACGCGAAAGTTTAAAATCTTATACTGTGTACCTTTTTTACGGCGATAAATGGCGTGCGACTTGCGATCCCAGATTCATTGACTGGCCATTAGTCCGCGGATAACCTGATGAATTTAAATAAAAATAGTTTAAATTTAGCAGACGCAGTTTTATTGCAGAGAGATTACCACAGACAACAAGATGGCGACATAGAGCGATTTGTCTATTAACTAGAGACGTAACTACATACTACTGTAGATCTGCTGAATCGGTAAATAGGGTTCAATATTAATAAATACAACAGTTTCTTGGCTGTAAAAATCAAAATCAAAAATATTTATTCAGTTTAGACCACTAGTGGCACTTATGAACGTCAATAGAAAATAATAAAAAAAGAAAAAGGTAGCCCATTATGGGGCACTTTACATGTCTCCTTATCTTTTGGGCCCTACCAGCGCTACGAGACAAACATATNNNNAAAAAAAAAAATTTATATTTATTATCACTTGGCAATTTTCAAAAAAATGAAACACGAAAATCTACAACAATAACTGGCAGTTTAAAGTTAATTTCAAACCTACATTATATTGTAACACTTGTTTGTTATGAATGGACGAATGAACATAGTCTCATCACTCAAATGATCGGAAAATTTCGCTCCATGTCGGTTCCATTCGGTTTACGATACGAACTCGAGTCAGAGAGAATTCAACTCGAGTGGGTTCGAGTTACGCCCAACTCGAGTTAACCCGAGTTACTTACTCGAATTGACCATCACTATTAACATTGTCCCGCCGCAGGTCGTCGATGGCGGAGGTGTGCTCGGAGCGGCCGGCCGAGTGGTCGGTGGACCTGTACCCTAAGGGCGTGTGGTTCCGCAAGAGCCTGCTCATCGTCTGGGCCGGCACCTTTGACGTGAGTCTACTTATTATACTAACATTCCATCATTCAAAGTCCAAAGTCAAAGCTTTTATTCAGTACTTGGGCTCTTTCCAGAACGCTTATAAACATCATAAACTTATAATACACTAGCTGACCCGGCGAACTTTGTTCCGCCTTAATGGCAATAAATAAGCAGACTTTTTTTAATTTCGAACGGGATAAAAAGTATCCTATGTCCTTCTCCTGGCTCTAAACTACCTCCCTGACAATTTTCAGCTAAATCGGTTCAGCCGTTCTTGAGTTATAAGCGAAGTAACTAACACGACTTTCTTTTATTATATAGATTAGCGGCCGCCCGCGACTTCGTACGCGTGGATCCCGTTTTACCCCCTTAGGGGTGGAGTTTCAAATCCTTTCTTAGCGGATGCCTACGTCATTACATCTACCTGCATGCCAAATTTTAGCCCGATCCGCCCAGTGGTTTGGGCTGTGCGTTGATAGATCACTATGTCAGTCAGTTACCTTTGAGTTAGATAAATTTAGATATCACCACTTGATTCCGTCATTGACGTGTGATTGATACGGTACAGTCAGCGTCAAATAGTTTAGACCCAAAAGTTGACAACACAACCTTATTACAATTGTAACAAAAACGTGTTGAGAACTTATTGTCTACTTTGGGTGTCACAAAATAATTGACGCTGACTGTACTGGCGCCATTAATTTCGGCACAGCAAATAGGATAGTCTCTGCCCTGGTACTTTGCAGTGAATACTAAATAGGCGCCCAATCAATGAGGTTTTTTTTGTGCTCATATCACAGCCACATGAAAAGAATGAATCAGCCTGTCAATCTCAATACCAGTGTGAGATCACAAGTCTAATAAGGTTGTGGGTATGCCCATCGTACACACGTGGTATACGTCTATAACTTATGATCTGCAGTTAACAATTCTCTGCAGGTGCCAGAAGTGGTACTGCGGACGGTGCGCATCGCGATCACGTGCCAGAACTGTCCCGAGCGCGCGCCCGACGACTGGGCCGGGCCCGAGCCCGACGTCAGGGTCAAGGTACAGTACCCAGAATCATCATCATCATCGTCATTTCAGCCACAGGACGTCCACTGCTAAACATCCTTCCTAGGCTTGTGTACTATGTACTATGTACTAATAGGAAGCAATTCCTTTAAGTGAACGAGAACGAACTATTCCTTTTAGGTCGTTCAAATCGGTCTTTTAGTTCACTTTAGTACAGCTGATCACGAATGAATAGGTGTGAACGAGACGTGAAATTGGTGACAAGCGCGCGCGAGCGAGATGGATTCGGCTCTGTGAGTGTGTTGCGAGTATTTTGCGACATTGTACTTTAAGGTGATAGTAATAAAGACGATTTTCGTCCGATCTGATTAAAAATCGATGTACTAAAATGAACTAATAGTGCTAGAATGAGACGTGAGATTAGTGACATGTGAGCGCGAGTGAGATGGGTACGGCTCTGTAACTCTGTTGCGAGTATATTTGATATTGGGCCATAAATACATAGGAATAAAGACTTTTTTCGTTCGATCTACCTAATAGAATCAGTGTACTAAAATGAACTAATAGTACTTGAAGACCGAACTAGTTCATTTGACCGATTGTACTAGTTTGGAGCGATCCGTTTAGTGTCCGAGTAAAAACAAGCCTAATTCTTCCCCAATGACTTCCAAATCGCACGGTTGGTAGCGGCCTGCATCCAGTACCTTCATGCTACCTTTATCAGGTCGTCGGTCTACCTTGTGGGTGGTTGTCCCACGCTGCGTTTTCCGGTACGTCCCAGAATGTTACTGTATTTATTATTATACTAGCTTTCCGCCCGCAGCTTCTGGAATTTTGTCTGTCACAGAAAAACAATATCGCGCGCGTATTTGCTCACCGTTTAGACCTACCCTGGACTAGGTACGACAAACATTTTAAAACCAAAATCAGCTCAATCGGCCCAGCCATAATCAAGCCAAGTTCTCGAGTTTTAATCAGATTAACGAATATCAATTCATTTTTATTTATACAGGGTGGAAACGATAAGTGATCTCACTCGATTATTTCTAAACTATACAAGATATCAATAAACTAGTTACTGATCCTGAAAGTCCTTCATGAGCTCTATCAAACGGTATTAATAATAGATTACAGAATAAACTAGAACTATCCGAAAAATCAATGTTTCCAGCTTCCATACATTTGGTAAAGTCACATTATTTTAAAAACTACACATGATATCGTAAAACTGATTACTGATTCTAAAAGTCCTTTACAAGCTCTATCCAATGGTATCAATAATAGGTTACAGAATAAACTGGATCTATCCAAAAAGTCAATGTTTCCTTTTTCCATACATTTTGTACTACCACATTTATGACACTCATCTTTTGATAATATTATAGCAAGTAAAGCCTAAAACCAATGTTTTTCATGAATAATTTAAAATAAGAATACAATTTACGAGTTTATTTTAAGAGTTTATTATTAAATAAACAAATTACACTTCTAATATTGTGTGTCTGGCATACATTTAGTATGGAACTGGAAACATTGAATTTTCAGATAGATCCAGTTTATTCTGTAACCTATTATTGGTACCGTTTGAAAGAGCTCTTGAAGCACTTTCAGGATCAGTAATCAGTTTTTCAATATCTCGTATAGTTTAGAAATAATCGAGTGAGATCACTTAACGTTTCCACCCTGTATAGATTAGGTGTCCAAAAATAGTCTCATGTTGAAGCCCAGAGGTAGACCATCTCAAGGGCTACTCGAATCCCATGTATGTTTCGCAATTTTTGACAGTTTTCGAGTTATGATTTTTTTAAAGAAGTTTAGAGAGAAGAGAAATAAATTGTACCACTGGCTCAAGTTATTTTTGTGAACTTTTTCAGATTGGAATCTTAGTATGGGGAGTGCAGAAAGGTGTAGAACACGTCTCTTCTGTCGTAGAGAGGGTGCATCGGTTCTCATCGCAAAACAGGTGAATTTACTTATCTATATACAGTTTCAAGGTAGGGTAGGGTTGGGACGTGAAAAAGTGGTCATTGGGAGCCTACTTGCAAATAAAAGATTTTTGATTTGTTATTTCACAAATTACTAATACTCCCGTTAGCTCCTCATACTAAGCTAAATATGCTTGTGTCACGAGTGAGCTCACCACAATAGTCGAGCGGCGGCGGGGACCGAACCCGCGTTCCCCGGATCACGAGTCGGCCAGTCCGACCCCTTCACCGTTCGGCTATCGTGGCTTAAATAAATTATTATTTATTTACTTAGTATTCTGTTTCGCAGAGTGCTCAACATAGACGGAGCGTTAGACTTTGACGAGTTAAACACTCCTCTCTACACGCCGTCCGCCAGCGAGGCCACCACCACTATAGAGCCGCCAGTGACCCACAAGGGACCCACGTGAGTCACGCCCTTTTATACATTACTGGCAGTTCGAAGCGATGGGAGGCCGATAACCTACTCACTGCGGCCGCCCATCGCAGTCTCAACAACAACATAATTAAACTTTCGAGCGATAAGGATGAGTAGCTTGGGGTCATTGGACAAAATTATTTCTGCTCGGCGACCGGACTTTACCTAGCATAGGCATCAGTCTCATACGATATCATTTCAGCCACAGGACGTCTACTGCTACCATACCCTCAATGATTTCCACATTGCCCGGTTTGTAGCGGCCTGCTTCCAGCGCTTCCCTGCTACCTACATTTATGAGATGATCATCGGTCGACCACAATTTTTTTTAAAATAATATAACTAAAGCCTGGTCCGTGAGCACGTAGAATCCCGTCCAATGACCCCAAGTTACCCATCCTTATCGCTCGCGCGTAATGAGGATCATTTCGATTTTTAGCTGTGAATGCAGATTTATAGGTCTAAGAAATCCTTAATATACAGTCCAAAAATTTTTGTTCTATGACAAAAATTGACAAAGTTATGGCCAAATTACTAAAAAAGTTCACTGACCGCCCGGCGCGGGACCGATGACGTCACTATATCCGATCCGAACGCTGCCGGCGTACTGCGTGGATAGAAAATATTTTTTTCTAGCCATACTATCAGTTTTAGAGAAAACTTTTTATGACATTTATTCATCAGAATAAAGTAAGCTATCGATAGGTAATTTAAAAAAAAAAGAAATTATGAAAAATATCGCAAAAAATCCATACGCTCATACGATTCAATGGAACGCGGAGACGCGAGTAGGGTCTCCGCGGTGGTATATTTGGCGATTTATGCAAATAAAGTGTTCATAAGTGTTGTTAGTGACTTGCCTCTCCCCCCTCTTACCAAGGCAAGAAGCTGGGTAAGGCTTGCTCCTCCCCCCAGGCTTTAAGCTGGGTATGACTTATCCCCCCCCCTCCCTCTAGGCCAGAAACTGGGTATTAGCATTCATATTATGTATTATTATGTTCAATACAAACAATCATAAAGTTACACTCTCCCCAACCGCGTCTCCGCATTCCATCGAATCCTATAAAAATGTGGTTTTTGGACANTCATATTATGTATTATTATGTTCAATACAAACAATCATAAAGTTACACTCTCCCCAACCGCGTCTCCGCATTCCATCGAATCCTATAAAAATGTGGTTTTTGGACACTTATTTTTCACAATTTTTATTTTTAAAAATTACTGGTCGATAGGTTACTTTATTTTGAAGAATAAATGTTATTAAAAGTTTTTTTCTAAAACTGATAGTTTATCTGGAAAAAAATATTTTCTATCCACGCAGTACGCCGGCTGCGCTCGATTCGGATATAGTGACGTCACGCGGCCCTGCGTACGTTGACTTTTAGCGGCAAAAACGGCCTATGTTTATTACTTAATATCTTCGTAAGTAATGGTCCGATTTGGATAATTCAAAAAGATATATCTTTCTTATGTCTTAAAGATTAACGTAGATACTAGTTTTATTGCATTTTCTACAACAGTACTGATCCTCATTATATTGCTCATACACTCACTGCGGGCGCGCGTCGCACAGTCGCGACAGCAATATAATTACGCGCGAGCGATAAGGATGGGTAACTTGGGGTCATTGGACGGGATTCTACGTGCTCACGGACCAGGCTTTAGTTATATTAATTTGTGTCACATTTCAGTCGGTGTCCAAAATGTACGGACACTAGCGACGACCCAGAACCGAGGCATCTATTGGGACCCAACAGAGACCAATTACGGGTAAGTTTTAAAATTGTATACTCGTATTATATCGTTTATTATGAGCAGCTAAATCTCTACACACAGCGTACTCTTATGATCAGCTCTGTACATACACAGTATACTAGACTTGTAAATATACAAAGTCTCATCATGTCAAATGAAACCAGTTGATGTTAAAAATTCAGTTCATCCACTTTTCTAAAGTGAACAGCTCCGCACTGTGGGGCGAGATTTTCGTGCAATAGAGATCATTTCAATAGAAATTATTGGAAGCGATAGATTTAATATTTGAAAGGTTTTCTCTCATTTAAAGATGATTGCAGAGACACAACAATCTTAAATTGAATTGAAGTTCAAAGTAATCATGCCTATTTTATCAATTTAATGGTCTCCATCCACAGATACAAGTAGTAATCGTCCCGCTAACGGACTACTGTCACGTGGGCGACGCGGCGTGACGCTCCCCGCCCCCGTGACGTCACGCGAACGCTCAGTGCTCGGTGTGAGACGTTAACCAATGCAGCGGTCAAGTGCGAACTCTTCTGACTAGACGAGCCGTTCAGAATGAAGAAATAATCGGCTGTTTAAAATAAATATATAATATCATGCAATGTAAACTCTATTATAACGACACACAAGGGACTGAGCTTTTTCGGTGTTATTGAGAGTGGTCGTTAAATAGAGTGGAACGGTAATGCGGAGAGAAAGCAAGGTAAACCAATATTTCGACGTTATAAGGGGTTTGTCGTCAAATCGAGTAACGTTGTAAAGAGATTAATATTGTATTTCTTGTGTGCGCGTGCACCGGTTATCAATAACATCTGTTCCTCAATGAGTAGTTGATAAGTATCAATTGTGAGCATTCTTTTAGTTCAGAACAGCCTGTCTAGTACGTATGATAGTTGAAAGGACATACTACACATTTTCGATGTAGCTACGTAATGTGCCAGTGCCTATTTGATTGCCGTCGCCCGCACAATTGGCCAAGTGCGTTTGAACCGACTGCCTCGGGTGAGATCCGAAAATACGTTTCGTGATTCGACTTA